CTTCTTTATTTGACACATAGATCTATAGGAATGAAGCCTAACCAAGTGAATGTTAAGAATAGTAAATATGTGCATGAGAGGTTGACTTCTAAAGTAGTGCAAGTTAAAAAGCCAAGATATAAGGTAGGTGATAGCGTAAGGATTTCCAAGTATAAACATGTTTTTAGTAAAGGTTATACTCCAAATTGGACAGGGGAACTATTTACAATAGCAGAAGAAGAATACAAAGCCTGTGACTTATATCTTGAAAGATGAAAATGGCAATATAATCAGGGGAGGCTTCTATACAGAGGAGTTGTTAAAGACCAAGTATAAGGACATGTATTTGGTAGAGAAGGTAATTAGGAGAAAGGGTGATTCGTTGTATGTCAAATGGCTTGGGTTCCCAAGTAGCCAGAACTCATGGATTTCCACTAAGGATGTCCAAGGGAGCACATCATAAGCTGGGAGCGCGCCCGAGTTCGCGTGCAAATCTCACATGATTTTGAGAATATACATGTGAATAGATGTGGATTTGAAATGTTAATAGAGTTTGAACATTTATATAGGGGTGTATTGGACGAAAGCTGGATTTTTTAAAAAGTGGCCAAAAAAATGAGCCATATTCCAGACGTGTTTTTCAGTATTAAAAAAGTAGAAAATTTATATAGAGGTGTATAGGTCGAGAGCTGGGTCTTTAAAAAAGTGGCCAAAAAAATGAGCCACTCATTTTTCTCATTTTTCCCCTATAAAAAGTGCCCTAAAAGTGCCTCCAAAACGCCGAAAGTGGGGTATCTTTCTGGGTTCACCACTACTATTATATTTCATATTATTTATTAGTATTTCATATTTGTTAAAATATTTAATTATTGATCGCACTAACTATCAATCTCAACTCAACTCTCCTGTAAAATGGCGTTTGCCGTGTGTGTAATAAATAAATAAATAAATATCAAAGCTTGTGTTAGCTTAGCTGTACCAGTAGATGCCAATGACAGGCCTGTGGGCCTAAACTATTTGGCCTACCTAAGTTAGGCATAATACTCTAAAGTTTCAAAAGTGATTTATAATTACCATATCCCCTAACATTAGCTCTAACTTAAATCAGCTTGGGAGACTGAGATAAAATTTTTGTTTGATCATCCTTGTAACTTACCTAGTCCAACCAAAGTAAAGCCATTAGAAAAAGAAATAGGCCTAATGAGTTTTTAGATTAGAGGTTTTTCTTTCAACGGTTAGGGTGAAACTGTAGCTTCACAAGAATTTTAAACACATTGCTAATCAAGGCTTGTGTAGTTGTGTACCAACAAAAATAAAGGAAAACATCTGAATTTTCGTTATTGAACACAAAGACGTTTGTCATTAACTCTTATTAGTTTGATTTGTAAAGTGTACAAACTAAGTTACTGGCTCGGTGTCAACTCAACTAAGTAAGCTACTGGTACTGGTATAACTTATCAGAATATTTGTTTACTAGGCTACTAAGTTAGTGAGCTTTCTGGACGGCCCTGCTTTCTGTCAAGTAAATCTTGCATTTTCCTTTAAACCAAGTAGCCTACTAACCAACAGAACAGTCAGAGTTGCGAGAAGATAAATTATTTTGAACTACAAGACTAAAACCGGGCTTAACTTACCTAGTTTTGAAATGAGAATTTTTTTAGAATAGGATAGGCTAGGAGTAGGACATTGGACGGATTGGTCACTGGGCTAGTGGGTTAGGGCTATAAAAAACGACTCCTGTTTGAATGTAGAAATAGATTTTCAATTAAAATTGTTTTGGTTTAGAACACTATATGTTTTATATTAAATATTTTAATGGATTTATAATCATTAATCATACATTTAAATTTAAATAAATAATCCGTAAATTACTGAGCTGGTGTCACTTGCTTTCCATGTTATCTTATGGGACTTCCGGGGCTGGACAGCACCACTTGCAACGTTGCCAATTCTACAAGGCCGCGGCCTGTAGTTAAAGGCGGCCGTGGTTATAGCTCAGTGGTTGTTTCGTGTTAAGAGGTGGTCCCGTATCCCATATTCTGCAGGCGTCACGAGCAACGACATAGTTCTCCCAAAACAGACTTTTATGTTCACTCATCACGTCAACCCACCACCTCAATCTTCTTATTTTTGGTGGCGGGTTGACGTGGTGGCTAGTTGATGTGGTGGTGCCTTGGCGCGTTCCCATCTGCGGAAGGCCTTTTGGCATGGTTTCGCACGATCTTTTGCTTGAAAAACTTGACACCATTGGAATACAGGAGTTTTGACAGTCAGACAGTTATTTTTAAAATTTATTTTAGTTCACATGTACAAAAACTTTGATAATATTTTTATAAAAATTACTCATCCCCACAATACGCGCTTTTCTCGAAATGTTGGTATAAATGTTCCACAAACTTTAAAATCATTTTCACATACGAATTGCTTTCACTTAACCCAAATCATTTATCGTAACATGTGTAACAGATATCAAAATGTCAACATTTTAAATTCACCCTCTCTCTCTCTATTTAAGAAGCATGTAGTAGCGTGGCTTGTAGGATTGAGTGCAGAGGACACCGAGGCCGTTATCGCGTTGGGCGGACCTGACCGTTGACCCTACACAATCACTGATACAACACCTTCACTGACTGACCAACACACCACACTCCACCTCTCCTCTCCAATCTTCACCAGATTTTTATAAATTTTCTCAGTTTTGTACAAAGAGTTTTTTATCGTCAATTTAATTCACAGAAGAAAACTAAACATTCAGTTTCAAGCAAGAAAATTTTTTAAAATTTAGAATTATACGAATTATTTTTTGTTTTCCTATACATTTTTCTACCTCCCATCTAAATTAACCTTTTTCGCAACTCGAGTCTACGCACAGGCCCTGCCTATGTAGACTTTTTCCTTTGTTATAGAAGGTATTTTTTTTTGCACATTTTTCGTTTTATTTCTACAGAATATAATTTTTCTTTTGTTATCCAGTTAGTAATGTTTGCTGTATTATATTTAAGTAAAAAAAAATACAATGTAATTATATGTATATAATTTATGGGAAATAAAATATTATTTCATTTCATTTCATTTCATTTCATACGAAGTGTGGCTATTCAGTGGTTGTCTTCCTATCTTAGGGGACGGAGACAAGTCGTCCAATTTTTTGACAAAAACATTCTGAAAAAGTGTGATTGCGATGTTTTGCTGGTCAAAGCTGGGGTGCCTCAGGGATCAATATTGGGGCTTATTCATCTTATACATAAATGACATCAGAAATAGTGTGATGTCACTCCCATTTGTGTTTGTTTGCCAATGACACGTCAATTGTTGTTGATAAACCCACCCATGGTGCCATGGAAGTTAAAACATTGACAATAGTCTATGTTTTAACAAAAAAATATAAATAATGGCAAGACCACTTTGGTGGACTTCAGCATATCGTCAAGACATCGCACTGATCTCAGTGTTTGGATTTACAACACCATATATATCTTTTAAGACCAATTTGAAATCTTTAGGGCTTTATATTGACGAAAACCTTAAGTTCTCATGTCAAACTGACAACGTTGACAGAAATAAAGGTAAATTCCGGCATCTTCGTGTAACGTCACCTTGCTCCTTTCACAGGCAAAACAGTCCTTTATCTGCTTACTATATGGTGGTTTTCCCCTATTTGTCACGCCGTCACTAACTGGGGATCTGAAACATCCACAACAAAGCACATTTTTGCGCTCCAGAAGGATGCTGACGGGTCATTGCTGGCATTCGCCGCGGTAGAGGGTCTATAGCTTTCGTCAAATTAAGGCTTCTTACATAACCATAGTTTGTTTTAACCTTTGATTCCCAAATCCAATTACAACATTAGAAAAAATCCAAATTGAACATTCCATACCACCACAAAACCTCCTTTTTAAAACCCCCTTTTTTATAATGCCAAACTATTTTACTCACTGTCTGACAAACTTAAGTCGGTTGGTATTAGTGATTTCAAACATTTTTCCATTTAAAAAATAGTTTTTATAGCGTAAAAGTTTATGTAAACTACAATTCATCATAAATAAGTTGTATTTTTTAGGCATGATGTTTCTGCAATAATGTGTATTGAATATCATTACTTATTATGTATTTTATTTATAAATTAATTGTGACGCAATCCATGCGTGTAAATATGTCAACTGGCAATAAAGGAATATATAATTCGATTTGAAAGAAATTGTAAAATTTTATGTTTTAGGGTAAAAAATGGGAAACAGTAACTCAATATAACAAAATAATTAATTTATTCCACCAAATTGACAATTAGGCTACAAATTTTCATTAGTCATGTAAATCCATCTTGACATCTAAAATAAAAAGTAAAACAATGGTACTTCAATCAAACTAGATTGATGACAGGCTCCTTTAAAACTAACTAACTTTTTTAAAACAGATTTTATAAAATCCATAAAAATAATATTTGATCGAGTTATTGCGCTAACGGATTCCGAATTTTCATATACGATCGGTCAAATCGATTGATATAAACGATTCTAAATTAATTGTTTTAGCGATATATATACAAAAGTACTGTAATGAATTACATTTTATATGATTATTATATTTTGGACTGATACTATCGTAAATACGATTGAGTCTGATTTGACTAGTGTCAGTGCACTCAAATGTTACCGTGCATTTAATATGCAGAAAACGAAAACAAACTTCAGACTTTGCAGTAGGAGCGGGAGTCTTCTACTTACACTATACAAAATAATAACTTTTTTAATGTCAAAATTTAAGAAATTTATGGTAATACCCGTGGGAGATAATCAATGGTAATACGGATTTAAGAATGACCATTTTTCAAATAATTATTAAAACATGTATAATGAGAAGCTTCATTACATGTTAGCCGAGACTGCGATTGTGTGTAGCCCCAAAATAAACCAAGCCAGAGAGATAAAGTGGGAAGTATAAACATAAACAAAGGATTCAAATCTAAAGCTAAAGTTGTCGTCTGTTACAAGTTAGTAAAATTAGATAATAATGGTCAAAGATAATAGGCTCTCTAGGGAAAAGAATATGTAAAAATAAAATTCCTTGACACTAACTTGACAGTTGTCTGTGGTTGGTTAGGTTATAGTTAAAATTGTCGTAATCCTTATCTTATAATCGATTCTCCATTGTCTGGTGAGTCTTAGGCCTATTACCTTAATATGTAATTTTTTGTAGACCTCAAAGTACAATCTGTTCTTGGTAAATATTTACGACGAAAACCTAAAACGTCCTATAAGACGTTGTTAAACTGTTCCTAGACACCAACACTACAACTTTCTAAGACAAGCCTAGATTACTAGACACCATGTCTGAAAAACTTGCTTAAACATCGTGACAGGACAGTTTCCTTTACTAGACACCTCACCGATATTACTAGACACGTAGACAACATTACCTAGATTCTTACTACACCCAAGACACTTACTAGACACCACACCTAGATTACTAGACACCTCGCATAGCCTAACCTAACCAAACCGTAACCATTGACTATATATAACTATTAGGATACTGCCCAGTCACGATGTTTGAGCGAGTTTTTCAGGCATGGTGTCTAGTAATCTAGGTGTGGTGTCTACAGGAAGCCTTGCTGACAAAAAAGTCACCTGAGAAAGTTGTAGTATTGGTGTCTAGAAGCAGTTTAAAAATGTCTTGTATAACATTTTAGGTGAGTTGAACGTCATAAATAATAACCCTGTTCGTTAATATACTTTTCAATTTTTACAATTGCTCTGCTAAAAAATGTTTGACTCTTCCAATGTATTGTAATGTAAATATGTCAACTGGAAATAAATGTCTAAGCCTAACTTATGTCTTATTTCTATTTTATTCACTTACGACGCTCAGTCATACCAACAGAACACAAGCAATAAACTTAACTAAACATAGGTAGGCTAACTCTCAATGGGAAAATAGTTAATAAGCCTATATGAACTTAGCTTTACGCAAAACAACAGAAATAGGACTGAAGAAGGCTGGCCTTGATGTTTCAGTTCCAGTACTCACTATAAAATTCTCCTCTGCAATATCTTTCATCGGTACCATTTGTCTTGGGAAGAATTGTGAATCATCACTAGTGAGGGTAGGCCTATAGCTCTTGTGGGGCAGTACAGTTATACCTATACGTCTGATGCGCATAGGGACTAGGTTTGCCCTTATAGCACATCACCCGATCTTGGCATCGCAGATGCGATAGACATAGACATGGTGTGGTTGCTCGGGAAGAGTACAAGGGTTGTCGCTAGCCAGTAAAAATAGGTGGTGCTAACTCCATAATTCCTCTACCACCAGCCATCTATTTTATCTTACATTAGTGGTTTACCTTATTCTTCTTAATGTGTATACAAAGCTGATAGTAATTTTTTGTAGCCTTCTGTTTTAACGGCTAAGGTAGCCTACCTATGTAATTTCACTTTTATATGGCAGTTTTAGTTTTACTTTTTTATGTGTCTTTTGTAATTGATTAAACATTTTTATTTGTTATGATGTTTACCTGTTCATATGGGATTGTTTTCAGATAAAAATGGCAAAACAGCACTCTTCAAGATTTTGGGATGTTAAGGGCGATGACACCCAGCCACCACCTGAGGAGGATTGTGATGCAACCCTGAATCTGGACAACCCACCATGGGGATGGGTGCACCCCTCTACAAATGCCAAAACTAAGTCATTCGGTATGATTTGATCAACAAGTTCATGAATTTAGATATGAATAAAATAATCAACCTTTCAGCTAGCTCATACATTCATACTTATGATAGTAAACATAAAAACTTTGACTGGCATTGGCAAAATATTGATTCTTAATCCTCTAATTTTAAGAACAAAATTATCAGCGTAGTATCGATATATTCACAGCAACTTTATATTACTTGGTTACTAGGTAACATTTTTACTATTTTAGGGAGAAAAAGTAATGCTTTTGCGCACGCAGGTGGCAAGCTTGTATTGTTAGACTCTTGAATTGATCAGATTACTAACTAAAAACCCCATCTACTCTGTTGGACACAGACCTGGGATTGATTGTCACTTTACTTCAGGTCAGGTTATGTGACCTAAGCCCTCGGGGCTCGTGTCGTTTCTGGCATTTAAATGTTTTATGACATAGGTCACCCTAGTCAAGGTCGAGCTTCTTGGTGCGGAGAATACCCAGACAAACTGTAACACACAGGTCCTATTATCCTCACCTTACGCCATCATCTGAATGACTGTCTCCACCAACAACAGTCCTTTAAGGTGTCGAGCTTCCAATGCGGGCAGCTGAAGAATTGTGTATTCTGTGTCGTTGAGAGTGCCTCCAGGCAGTAGGGATGCAATCGGGAGTCACAGCATTGCCTAGTCTGAACATGGGCGGCCGGAAAAAGCTGTGACCCTTAAAAAACTGGATGAGGTAATAATCCATCTCTTCAGATGTACCACCGACTAACAAAAGGTTCCCCCAGGAGTAATTTTTTGGGCTGCATTAATCGCTCGGTCCAACCTACCCATGTCTCCTGTTTCAAGCTCTCTTGCCAGAGCTGGTAGGTGGCTCTTCTATTTTTGCCTGGTCCTCCCCGCGCCACTGATAAATTGCTTACCTTTTCGCAACAAAATGTTTGACAGAGATGACTCCAGTAGGTACCAGGACAGCAGGCTCAGACACTGTTTGGGAGACGGATGCTACCCCAAGTACAGCTTGATGCTGCACACGGGCAAGCCACATCTTGTCCTTATTGAGCGTGTCTGCCCACACTTTCCCACCGTACAGAGATACAGACTAGACTGCAGACATCAACAGCCTTCTGCAACTGGACCGAGGACTTACAACTGTGCGGGCTTAGTGCCCTTGTCTGCCATACGGAAGATCTGGTCCTGCCAGTAAAGCTTACTGTCCATGATGACACCTCAGTACTTGGTGGAACAGTTTGGACTTTGATGGCCCTATACCTTCAACAACGTGGGTCCTCTGTCCCCTTCCCCACTAGCACAAGCCTGGCTGTTACACAAGCTGTCAAGTAGATAAACTAATTAGTCTCACCCTGCTTACCTACAGGGTTACACCTGAAACAAACAAGGGTTAAAGTAGGTCCAGCCTAGGTCCCACAGACCTATGGTCTGAGTTTCACTAAAATAAATTGTCCTCCTAAGTTGCCAGTGAAAAAAAAACACAAAATTGAAACAGAAAATAAAACAACTACTTAGACGTGAAAACAAAACTTTCGGAAATTACCATTACTATAATCCCAACATGTAAATTGTTGTTGTGTTGGCTTTGAATAAAAGTATAATTTATTATAGAACTTAATGCGATATAATTTATACTATAATTAAACATGATTAAGTTGATTTTGATGATAACGATAAAAATGAGATTTTTTTCACATTTGATTGAAGGTAATGATATTTTATTGATAGCAGTTTTGTCTTTTTTTATCAATCAAGGAATTACATTTTTGATTACAGCATTGCACAAAAACAAAACCCGTTTTGGAAGACATCCAGATTGTGAATACGTCTTTCATGAAAATCAGTTTGAAGACGTGGCTCTACACAAGACCATAAGTAGTCATCATTTTCAAATTACCAGAGAAACGGACTCAAGTAAAGGACCAACTTCGGTTTTCATCATGGACAAAAGCTCCAATGGAACATTTGTGAATGGTGACAAGTTGGAGAAGGATAAGAAAACAATTTTACTTCATAACAGTGAAATATGTGTCTCTACCTCGACAAACAATGGTTAGAAATGTTCACATTCCTTACAATAGTTCATTTTAACTATAGCCAGTTTACTACAAACTGGACTATTAACATTGTAAGAGTATTAAAGTACAGTAATAGCTTAATCATTTTCTCTTTTCTTTGCATGATAGTTATTTGAAAATTTAATCTCTTATAAGGATGTTAGAACAACAACATTAGTGATGATTAAATTTTAAAATTTTAACTCTCAAATCGGAACTTTGTTTGTTTTTACTCAGAGTAATATTGTAGACCAGGCATAACATTTACAACATTGACCACTTTAATCGATAATTAATGTTACTTTCTTAATTATTTACAACCCTATTACAACAAGATATAACTATTTACAAATTTATAAAGCCACACTGTATATTTCCATGACACACACACACACAATGTAATCTCATCATCATTTCCCACATTCTTGGCTACAACAAGATATACTCCTGCAAACAAATGTGACAATATTGTGACTATTACCAACATATAAAATTTTATCTTCAGCATGCCTAGCACGAATTGTTGATTATTAAGTCAATATCGTAATTTCATTTAAAACATATCAACTCAACAATAACCTTTAAATGTGAATTAAAAAACAAAGCTGAGAAGTGTTTTAATCTGGACAATTATAGGGCTACAAATAATTTTACTTTTCCTCAATATTTCTTTTAAAGTAAGAAATACGGGTGTCACTGCAGACTTGCAGACTGAGCGATTATCCATTTACCTGGCTGGATATCTTATAAAATATTCCCTTAAAATTTTAAAACTAATTTCCTATTTAAATAACATCAATTTTGATGAGTACTTAGGTTTGCTACTACAGGGAAGCCAGGGATTGAAATTTTGGTTGTTGATAGCTTAGTGTGCAATAAACAAAATTGCCAAATTTTATTAATATATCCATAGACAAGCAAACAGTTTATTTATTCATCATAAGAATACCATAAGAATTTACCATTTTTTTTAATTGTCTCCGTAACCGTTAGGCGTACAACAATGCTTCAATATACAAAATTATTTCTTTTTTTGAACTTTTTTGAACTACGAAGAGGTTTGGAAAGAAATTGTGACATTTACCGTTTTTAGAGTCAAAAAATGGGATAGATTATTTTTTATCCCATAAAACACCATAAACACCCGTTCCCATAGTCCGATCAGGCTGGTTGGCTAACTTGTTTAAATAAACGTAGATTTACAGGTTTGTACCAAATTTCATCAAAATTGGATCATTCTTGCACGAGTTATCGTGCTCAAGGATACACATATATATTATATACTGTTTATGAATTTGAACGGAGTGTGTGTTTGGCCTCTGGGGGCCTTAAATCGAAGAAGTAAATCAGTCCGGGTCTAGGTCTTACCATGAGACCTACGGTAATAGCTTATTCCCTATTATGGGAATTTTGTTAAAAGTTTCAATTAGAGGTGGCAGTATCCCTGGTTTATGTAGTAGTACCTGGGAACCAAGCCATGGCAGGGTAGTGGTATTAGTTTATTTCCATTGAACCCCTACATCGAGTAATCTTCAGTGTAATCTTTGCTCAATAGTAACAACTGATGTTTTTCCCTTTGTACTGCAACCTTTGCCTTAGTTCCCTAGATGCCTTTGTTCTGCTTTGTCTGCTTTGTTTTATTAATTTGCTTGTACAAATATGTTCCTTGCTGAACATAACAACACACTACACTTTGAAATAGTTCTATTTGTCTATGGTTCAACCGAAATGGTTACTTGGCAACCCATGAGGCAAATGTTAACAATTAATTGTTAACTCTCAATTTAATTTTTTTGCGTGGTTAGATTTTTGTTGGCAATTTTAACTGCAGTAAACACATTTTAGGCCAGATATGAATTACTTACAAAATTTGAAGGAAGTCGTTTTCAATAGGTATTTTAAGGATTAAAAACAGTTAGTAATTTAAAAATTAATGTAAAGTTAAAACTGTGAAACACAGGTACGCTTCTCAAAGAAATTAATGTATAGGTAGTATAGAAGTAAGAAGTATAGTAAGTAAGTAAGAAGTAAGTAAAGAAAACAAAAATACATAATCGCTGACAACAGACTGTACAATGCTGCAATGGCTGACTGTATGACAGCGAAGTGGACTGCACAGGAACTTGTGGCGCTGACTGTACCTCACATTCCATTCTTGGAGTTATGAGACTCCATTCAACTGTTGGGGTTATAAGACTCGATTTAATTTTTACTTGGTTTTATGAAACACGTTTAGTTTTTGGAGTTATGATCACTTGGTCTTATATTATTTACTTGGGTTAGTAAGCACTTGGAAATAAATTTACTTGGAGTTATGGGATGATCCCCAATTTAGTACGGTATGTTTTACAATTTCATCAATATAATTTGTTATAAGTATACCAGTAACTTAGATAGGCTACTGTGTTGCTTAGCTAAGTTTTCATCTCTGATTTTTTGTGTTTTTTTCTGTTTTCTAATCAGTTAAGTACCAACTGTTAGAATTTACGTTAGGGTATTCTAAACCCTTACTAAATTTAATATTTGTTTTGAGTTTTAGTGTACCTTGAAATGTTTACATACTACATGGTTACCATAGATTTTTGTGTTAGGCCTAAAACATCAACAATATAATATAAGGAAGCTGTGTTTCTAAATATATAATTTTAATTAAGCACATGCAGCCAAATTGTGTCTACAATATTGGTCATGTTCATCAAGTTCTTATGTATGAATTAATCATGTTGCAGTTTTTATTTTCTCACTTAACGACAATGAGTGGCTCCCTAAGGAATACCAAGCAAAATACAAAATGCATCAACTAATCGGCACTGGTAGCTTCGGAGAGGTATACTTAGCTTCAAGCAGAGTAAGTAATTTAAGTTTTAAACCCTAACCTAATCAAGTTTTCATCTTTTAAAATTTAAAATTATTTACCTTTTTTATTGTAGGATAAAATCTGCTTCCCTAGAAAAACTCCTAAAAGGGCATCGATTTCTGTAATCTGTTCAAAATAACTTACATTATTATACCCTACATAAACTATCTATTCATGACAGGTCTAGTAGTTGTTAACCCTTTCAGTGCTATAACGCTTTACCCAATGCCATACTGAAAAGAGTTAGGGTTTAATAAACCAATATTTCAAGATCTGAGAAAAATCATATAAAATTATGAAAAAATGAGTTTATTCCTACAATAAAAAAAAATAAAAAAAATTGAATAACTTCTTGATCAGCATTGTACGTGTTATTAAATTTACGGAAAGTAAATAAAAGAACACCTTATAACACTTAACATATATTTACGCTTATACTGTTACTCACAAGACGGTAAATTATCGTAAATAATTATGTTATAATTATGGTCTTATCGTTATAATTATGGTAAATTATTAAGAAGGTAAATAGGCGAATTTTGAATAGGCGAGCATTCGCCTATTGGGTCTGATGATGATTGGAGTGTTTAATCAAAATCAATCTCCACTTACCATCTTTTATTTATATTTACCGTCTTGTGAGTAACAGTATAATCGTAAATATATGTTTTAAGTGTTATAAGACGTTTCTTTTATTCCGTAAAAATTATTACACTTTCTTATAACTAATTCAAGTTCAAAAGTAGATATAAAATAAAGTTGCATGAATAATATTTTGAAAAATGCTCAAAACTGTTTTATGTACATAAACAAGGGGTATCTTTTGTTTTTGTAATATATTTATATAAGTAATATAACAGTTTTTACTATTTAATAATTTACAAGGCTATGTTGGCAATATTTAAATATGTACGTTGAACTGTAACCGTTTGTATTCCCCACTACCAGTTAATAATATTTGAATAAACGAATGCTATTGGACGATCGGGTCACGCCACTTCCCCAACCCATGAGTCCATGTTAACCGACACCTCTACACCTCAGTTATAGCCAGCTTCCATCCTGAGTAACTCCGGCCCGTTCGGTCGTTAGCAGTTTTACAGTGTTAAACCGTAGTGCTTATTAACTTCCCGATTCCCGTAGTGTAAGACGTCAGGGTGACGTAGTGACTTAGTTACAGTGTATAAGGATAGCACCGTGTCAACGAAGGTACGTCAGGGTGACGACACTTCAGTGGCGACGAGGACAATTGGAGCAGTTTTTAACGTTCGGGAGTGAAGCGTCGGTCTACGTCCGGTAATGTACGCGTGGTGTAAATGGCTTGTTTTAGCGCCATAAAAAGATTTTCGTTAGTTTGTGTGGGGAAGGAATGAACATAGAGAAGCTATTTAGTGAAGGATTTAAGTTCGGACATAAAATGGCGGGAATTATAGGAAGTGTCGGGGAGTTCGACCAACACGAGGAAACGTGGGATTCGTATATTGAACGTTTCGAACTATTTTTAAGTTGTAATGAGGTCAGTGAAACGAAAAAGGTTAGTACGTTACTCACAGTAGTTGGTGTAAAGACGTTTAAACTTTTGCGAGATTTGTGTACACCGGACAAACCGTCTAGTAAATCGTACGCTGAATTAGTAAAATTAATTAAAGACCATTTGTACCCGACCCCATCTTTCATTGCGGAACGATATAGATTCAGCTTGAGAAATCAGTTAGAAAACGAGAGTGTTTCACAGTATATCGCGCAATTAAAGCATTTGTCGACACATTGCGAATTTGGCGCGAATTTAAATGACTATCTACGAGATCGCCTGGTTAGCGGCATTAGAAGTGATTCAATGAAGCAGAGACTTTTATCGGAATCAAATTTAACATTCGAGAAGGCAGTGCAGATGACGTCACAGTTCGAGATGGCGGAGAAGAGCGCGGCGTCACTTTCGGCGGGAAGCAGCGATGGTCACGGCGGGAGGATCCAACGCATGGCGGCGGCATCAGCTTCAGCTTCACCACGCCCACGAGGTTCAGCGCATCACAACACCGGAAGAGGTAGACAACAGCAACAGCCAACATCGTCTGCAGCGGCGTCGGCGTCAACGTCAAATGATAGAGTGCAGTGGCAGTGTTTTTGTTGTGGTGACTTCGGTCACATCGGCAGGAATTGCCGTTTTAAAGGTTCGACATGTCACAAGTGCGGTAAGAAAAATCATTTAGCAAAAGTGTGTCGATCTCAGCAAAACAGTAAGTCACAGTTTCAGTTCCGTAGTAATAAGAGTGATTTTAGATATAATAGAAATAAGCAGCATAACTATGTAGATGAGGTATCTGATGATGTAAGCGTAAATGATGATATTGAGGAGAGTATAGGTAATCTGTTTGAAATTAGTGAAGGGTCCAGTAAAATAACTAAGGTAGATCCTTTCAAAACAGAGGTTATTCTTGAGAACAAATCAGTAACTTTTGAAGTTGACACGGGTGCTTCGGTAACTGTAGTAAGCGAGGCTTATTACAAAGATAATTTGAGTGCTTTGAAATTGTTTCCTACTGACATAAGGTTAAGCTCGTACACTAATGTGCCAATTTACCCTGTGGGTAAGCTAGAGGTAAATGTTCAGATCAGAGATAAAAGCAGGACCTTAGACTTGTACGTAATTAAGGACGGAGCTCACCCCCTTATGGGACGAGACTGGATAAGGGAGTTAGGAGTAGAAATTTCTTTCAAAAATGTTGAGGAATTATTTGTCGCTACAAGTAGTTGTGAATCAAAGAGTAAACATGACAGTTTAGTTAAGGAACTAGTAAATGAGTTTCCGGAAGTTTTCTCAGATCGTTTGGGGCAGTGCAATTGTAAGCCCGTAAGGCTGGTTGTAAAAGAAAATGCCATTGCCAAATATCATCGACCCAGATCACTACCCTACACCCTTAAGGCTAAGGTAGAAAAAGAACTAGAACGTTTGGTGGAGTCCGATATTTTAGTCCCAGTTTGCAGTTCGGAGTATGGTTCGCCTATTGTGCCAGTTCCTAAAAAGGATGGTAGCATTAGGATTTGTGGGGACTTTAGGCATGTTAACGCACAATTAGAAATTGATAGGTACCCCATTCCTAGGGTCGAAGATTTGTTTACAGAACTACAAAAAGGGGAATTTTTCAGTAAGATCGATCTAAGTCAAGCCTATATGCAGTTAAGATTAGATGAGTCATCACAAAAGTTGTGCACAATCAGTACACACAAGGGGTTGTTTGCGTACAAAAGATTGCCTTATGGCATTGCATCAGCAGTAGGTATCTTTCAAAGAGTCATCGAACAAGCTTTGCAAGGGTTGCAAGGTGTGAAATGTTTTTTGGACGATATAATTGTATCAGGACCTAATGACGAAGTACATTTAAGTAGACTAAGGGAAGTTTGTTCACGCCTCAAGGCTGTAGGTTTCACAGTGAAACAAGATAAGTGTAAATTTTTTGCATCAAAATTGGAGTTTTTGGGGTTTACTATAGACAAACATGGGCTTCACACCTCGCAAGCCAAGATAAAAGCGATTGTCGATGCCCCTGTACCGAGAAATGTGACAGAAGTAAAATCATTTGTGGGTCTAGTCAACTATTATTCTAAGTTTGTCCCTAATATTGCGGGTGTTTTGAGACCTTTGTATGACCTTTTGAAGAAAGATGTAGAATTTTGTTTCGATGACGAGTGTATGAAATCGTTTAAGAAAGTTAAAGAGCTATTGTGTACGGCTCCTGTGCTAGCACACTATGACCCCCAAGCACCAGTAATACTTACAGTAGATGCAAGTAACCATGGGCTAGGTTACATGTAGATCACTTAGGCCCATTCAAGGGAAAGTTGTATCTGATAGTAGTTGACGCACATTCAAAGTGGCTGGAAGTTTTCGAAACTAGTTCGACTTCAGCCTATCACACTATAAATCACCTTCGTGATTTGTTTGCACGGTTTGGTTTGCCAGAGTCAATCCATAGTGACAACGGTCCTCCATTTAGTTCAATGGAGTTTGCCTCATTCTTGAAACATAACGGTATCAAGCACACAACATCGGCTCCGTACCATGCTCAAGGTAACGGACAGGCCGAGAACTCGGTTAAGTATGCTAAATCAAAGTTAAAATGTGCATTTAGGGAAAATGTAAATACTTCTGTAGCCTTAAGTAGAATCCTTTTTGACTATCGCAATTCTGTGCACATGACCACTAATGAGACACCTGCTATGTTAATGTTTAACAGACCTTTGAGAACCCGATTAGACCTACTCAGACCTAATTTGTCTGAGACTGTAAATAGACAACAACAAGCTCAAAAGATGTATGCTAGGGGTAGTAAGACTCGATATCTGTTTGAAAACCAAAATGTATTGATTAGAGATTATAGATCTAAGGATAAGTGGATTGAAGGATGTGTGGTTAGACAGATAAGTCCAACTATGTATATAGTTAAGTTAAGTTCGGGGGTTACGTGGAAAAGACACATTGATCAGCTGATAGCTATCGACAGTGGCCCAGTGTTGACATCAGATGCAGACAACAGGCCCACGGCAACTACAGTCATCGCGCGCCCAGCTGTTCAGAGTACACCAGCTGAGCGTGACGTCAGTCCTATGACGCGCGAGCTTCCGGGACATAGTACGCGCTCGTCCCTCTCTCCCACCACTCCGCGGCGCTCTACGGTTCCACAAACAGCTGATCGCAACTCACCACCAGCTGTACACCGTACACCTGTACAACACCGTACGTCCACTACACCACAGAGACGTTATCCCATGAGAGCTAGGAAACCAGTCGAGAGAATAGATTTTTAATTAGTTTGTTTTGTTGTCATATAACGGTTGTTGTGTTTGTGTGTTGTTAGGTTGTTTTACTGTATTTATGTATTTGTTTGTCAGCGTTTATATTCTATCTGTTTACTGATACTGAAATTGAAAAATAATTATTGGTCACATTTTATGGTCAGATTTAAAGGGGAGGAATGTAATATATTTATATAAGTAATATAACAGTTTTTACTATTTAATAATTTACAAGGCTATGTTGGCAATATTTAAATATGTACGTTGAACTGTAACCGTTTGTATTCCCCACTACCAGTTAATAATATTTGAATAAACGAATGCTATTGGACGATCGGGTCACGCCACTTCCCCAACCCATGAGTCCATGTTAACCGACACCTCTACACCTCAGTTATAGCCAGCTTCCATCCTGAGTAACTCCGGCCCGTTCGGTCGTTAGCAGTTTTACAGTGTTAAACCGTAGTGCTTATTAACTTCCCGATTCCCGTAGTGTAAGACGTCAGGGTGACGTAGTGACTTAGTTACAGTGTATAAGGATAGCACCGTGTCAACGAAGGTACGTCAGGGTGACGACACTTCAGTTTTGTACTGCACAAAACATGAAACAGGCCCAGGAGTGCAAATATTTACATATTGATCCAAATTTGTATGCTTGATACACTTAGCTTAGTTTGATTTTGCTTTTACTTTTTTCTGTTTTACAGTATAAAAGAAAGAGTTTAGTGTTTTACCCCTAAATATATTTAGGAGACTTAGATTACAATTTTCGAATAATCTTATATTTCCAGGTCTAATTTTCATGAATGCACTGTTTTGTAGATAACAAAGAAAAAAGTCGCAATAAAAAAATTAAAAATAATGGGAACTGAGGGAGCTTTTCCACAAGAGGAAGTCAAAACTCTTCAAACACTCCACCATGTAAGTCTGATTGAATATCTGTCTAAACCTATATGTAAAGGATATTTATTTAAATACAAGTCTGGATTTAATTTGTTTGTATTGCATATTATGTAGGCCTACTAAATGTTTACTCATAAATCTGGTGTACTTTTTAATGTATTTAGTTAAAAAATTGTTTCAACATACTGAGACATTTGGCTGATTACATCACTATGCTCCCTTCCCAATGCACCATCTCAGGACAGTTGAGTTTGTTTTAAATATATAAAGGCTACTTACAGTCTTCGCAATCCTGATTAATTAAGCACTATGGCCGTTTCGGAGATTAAGCACTACTCCACCATTGGGTGCGTAGTCGTGGCTTTTAACCATACCACGCTAGATTATTCGTTTAATTATATTAATTAGGCCCCGACGACTCTGTAGGGATTTTTACACTATATTTTGTTCATTCAGTCGCCACACGTTCATTTATTTTACCAGAGCCTTTAATAATTAGTTAAAAGTTTAATACGAGTATTTTATCGCATTGGCCAGGATAGAATACTCGCCTGCCCTACAGAGTAAATCTAAAGGTTAGGCAAAATTTCCCAAAATACTTTAATGAAGGTGGTGATGAAATAGCTCCTACTGAGCGTCTGGAGGATTTCCTGAGCGCTTCAAGAGTCAAGAGTCAAGAGTATTTATTCCATTGATCTATAGCAATACAGAAATAGGAACAGTCAAATATTCTTACTAAATGCTAATACATTAGATTAAAATTAACTAAAAACTATGTACAACAGGTTAAAACTTAACATTAAACTCTGACATTTCGAATTCATCAAGCGAATAAAAAGGGTTTTCAACTAGCCAATTTTTTATAGTTTTTTTGAAGTGATTAAATGGGATGAGTTTTGCAGTTTGGGGGAGCCTATTAAAAAACCTTACACAGTTGGCTTTAAAGGATTTACCTGTTTTGGCCAACCTGTGTTGGGGTAGATCCAGCTTAGCCTTGCCTCTCGTGTCATGTTTATGAAAGTGGTCTCTGGTGGTGAAATCTGAAAGGTGTAGTTTTGTGTGGATAAGTACTTGGTAGATGTAAAGGTTTATTACTGTCATGATATTTAGTCTGATAAACAATGGTTTACAGTGTTCCACTTCATCCACTCTACACATAGTTCTCAAGATTTTCTTTTGAATTATGAGAATGTCGTGTACAGCAGTAGAGTGACCCCACAAAACTATTCCATAACAAATATGTGATTGGACAAAAGAAAAATAAGATATCCTCAAATACTCATCCCTCACACAATCTCTAAGTTTCCACATTAAAAAAGACACTCTGGAAATTTTCTTACAAATGCCATCTATATGATCATTCCAATCAAGTCTAGAATCCAAATGAAAACCAAGAAGCTTTACTGATTTATAGTTACTTCTACCTGCCATGCTTAGCAATAAATCTTGAGTTTTATCATTATTGCAAAGCAACTTATTTGATGAAAACCATATTTGTGCAGAGTTGTAAGCATGATTTATGTTCTCCTCAAGAGTTTTCAGATTGGAATGTGATGAAAGTAACGTTGTATCATCAGCATAAATGACTGTCTGAGAGGGTATGTTGTAAGGTAGGTCGTTAATGAAAACTATAAAAAGAAATGGTCCAAGAACAGAGCCCTGGGGAACACCAGTTGTTACAGTTAATGTTGTTGATTGGCTAGAATTAAAAGAAACATATTGTTTACGATTAGACAGATAGGACTTCAATAAATTCAGAGAGTTGTGTGAGATGCCGTAGTAAGAGAGTTTGTCAAGGAGAATACGATGTTCAACACAATCAAAGGCTTTACTCAGATCGCAGAGCTTTAGAGACACTGATTCCTTATTTTCAAAAGCAGTAAGAATGTTGTCAACCAGAGTAGACACAGCAGTGGTTGTTGATTTCTTTGATCGAAACCCAAACTGGTAGGGACTAAATAGATGGTTTATGTGGAAGTGATGATTAAGCTGAACGTGTAGGAGTGACTCAAATACCTTAGAGAAGATGGGAACAATTGAAATTGGCCGATAATTCTGTACCAGAGCCTTACCCCCTTTTATATAGACAAGAATCACCTTAGAGACTTTAAGTAAATCAGAAAAATAGCCCTGAGTCAAACACTGGTTAAAGATGAATGCAAGAGGCTCACTAATATACATTATGGTTTTTCTTAGAAGAAAATTAGATATCCAGTAAAAATCTGTTGCTTTTGAGTTGGAAAGATTTGTCACTATTTTCATTACCTGATCCGTGGAGACGTGAGACCAATTGAAAGCAATTGACTTTTGTTTCGAGTTCCGTGTGAGGTTATGTGCCTGTGTGTTGGTGCTTGTTATATTTTTCTGTATATCTGAAACTGAATTAATGAAAAAATTGTTAAAATGGTTTGGATCAATTGTTATTTTAGTGTTGTTTGTATGTGATTGTGTTTCTAAAGAAATCACCTCCCACGCGGCTTTACACTTATTACTTGAGTTTTCAATATAATTTTCATACGTCTGCTTCTTAGCCATTTTAATATTATCCTTGTATTGCTTCTTAAAAAACAAGTAAGCTCTGTAAGCCGCATCAGTATGGACCGAGTGATCTCTTTCAAAGCACTTATACACATTATGATAACCTAGCATTAGATCTCTAGATTTTCTTAGATCGTCTGAATACCAATTAAATTTTTGTTTGGTTCTACATTTACTCTTAGATGATACCAAAGGAGAAGCGAAATGCCAAAGATTAACATACCTTTTAAAAAATAAGTCAAACAAAGCTTCTACATTTATCTCATTACATAGATAGGAGCTTATCATTTCCCAATGTTCATTTTTTAAACACTCAATAAACAAGGAAATTTGTTCTTCATCTTGTCTGCGAAAATAATGTTTGATTCCAGATTTATCTGAGTTAATTTCTACATGTTTCTTTCTATCTATTTTATAATTAATAAGAAGAGGATCGTGATCAGATAAACAGGATTTCATAACTTTTACATTGTATAGATCCTCAGAAAAATTAACAAAAACATTATCAATACAAGACTTTTTTCTGGTTGGAGACAAATTGGTTACAACTAAGTTATATGAGCGCAAGATATTAAGAAATGTGACGGTAGTAGGTTCGGTAATTTGATCAAACTTCAAGAGCTCTGAGCCTTCGACTAATTAAATATATTGATCAGTCAAAGCCGTGACAACTTCGTATTGACCCCTGGATTTTTTTCTCGGTTCCTTCTGAGTAGGCTACTCCGGGGAAGAAATTTGAGTGTGGCTGGTTCTCGGGGTAGGCCTAGCCTGACTTTGGTGAATACTAGTTTACTCCCCCCGTCAAAATAGGTTAAAGACAACCACAGGGTTTTTAAAAGTATGAATTGAAATCTTTGACTACTCAGCTCAAGGTTCAACACACGAATGAGTTTTCTTTATGTCCATATTTATTATGGTGGCCAGTGAGTTGTTGACAGTGTTGCCAAAAGTATGAATTAAAAAAACACAGTTTCAGTTGATCTTATATACACTATATATATGAATAAGTATGTAAGCCTACTTGTTGGGTTGGATGTTGAAGTGGAGTGGGTTGGATGAAAGTTTAGGTTTGGGGGTTGTCTAGACTTTGTGAACCTTGGTAACATAATTCCCATCTTCTCAGTTGTAACTAAATCAATAAATAGAGTTACCTTCGTCAATCAGCTCATGGTAGTTGTAACATTGTTACGGCCGTTTCAGCATCTTCGTGCCATCATCAGACATTCAGCCTTAGTGGCGTCGTTAATATACAAAAACACAAACTGTCACATGCGACGTACACATACATAAACATAAACGGGGGTTTTTGACTAAACAGGCCTGTTGATTACACATATCCGCACTCGAGCAAGTAGCTGACTCAGTGACAGTTGGTGTTTTTGTATATTAACGACGCCACAATGGTCTGATGATGGTACGAAGATGCTGAAACTGCCGTAACAATGTTACAACTACCATGAGCTGATTGACAAAGGTAACTCTATTTATTGATTTAGTCACAAGATCAGCTCAGGGGCTAAAAAATATGGATTTTAATTCTTAGTTGTGACTGATTACATTGAGGAGGCAGGGATCTGGATCTGACTATTTTATTGTATCAGACATTGACATTTGGGTTGTTATCACTCTGGAGATGTTGTACAACTGGTTTGTCTTTGGATCCAGTAGATACATCTTGTCTATGGCCTACATACTGTGCCTCACATAGGTTACACTGTAGTTGATAAATTATATTATTCATCAAATAAATTATCAAATTAACAGTCTCTGTTAAGAGAACAAAGCGCCTCAAACCAGACCCGAAATATAGGTCCTAGCCAAAAAGTCAGCAATTAAAAATTACAAAACTGAAATTGTTGAAGAAAGCTGGAATGCCTTTCCTTGTAATTTTAAACTGTCACAGTTTTGTCAAGGATGAACCTTTCGGGGTCGGGTTTCAACACTGTGATCTAATAAAGACAGTAAATTTGATGTAATATTTGAAGATTACTCATGTTAAAGATTTCCCTCTGACTCCTTGCAGACTGTCCATATTATTTAAGATATTTAGTAAAAATATATTTACTTTAGTAATTAGATTCTTAGGAATGTGTAAAACTTTGTTGCATTTTCAGCAACAGTTTGAAACAAATTTATTTTTGTGAACCCTGTGTATAGATATCGTATTGAGTAATAAATAAATAGCTTAGATTTATATCAACAAATTAATGAGTTGTTGCAAGGCAACACTAAATAACCAGGCCGTAATGCTCCTCTGGCATGACGTCATCATAGGCGACAGCAGTGACGTAATGTTTGATTAAGGTTATATTTTTGTTTTTCAAGAAAAGATTAAAACAAGCAGCTGATCACAAATGGCAAACATTACGTCAATGCCGTCACCTATGAATTGATTTTAAGTTGACTTGCATATTGATTTTAAATCATTTTGAAGAATAAGAATGGAATAGTAATTCGTTCACAATTTTCTGGGATATATATTGATTAAGCCTAGTGACCCATAAATTTTGAATTCGGTCCTGAGTCCAACGGTGAAGAGGGTATCCTTGCTTGGTTAGATTGGGTTTTAACCATCATACTCATGTTTTTAATTGAATATAAGAGATGAATGGGGTTTTGGGAATTTCAATTATTTACATTATGTTTTTTACAGCATAACATTGTGATGATGGAGGACTGTTTTGAATCTCCAAAGCAAAGATATTTAGTACAAGAGTATGTGAGTGGTGGAACTCTTAAACAAAAGGTTGACAACCTGGGACGTATAGAGGAGAGGGACGCAAAGTTGGTATTTTACCAACTGGCGGAAGCCCTCCTGTACCTACATACTAAAAAAATCATCCACCGAGATGTCAAGGTACAGTTAAATATCTCTAGCTCTATGACTTTAACAAATCATGCCCCAGCATTCGGCTCAACTGAATCTGTCCACCTTCTTTTTGATGTAGCATTACAGCTGACATCGTCTGCAATGACACACTTTGAAAAGTTCTTTAATTTTGATGTTTCCACCACCATAGTCCCTGTTCCCATAGTTAGCAATCATGCTGGTTAGCAAACTCGTTCAAATAAATATAAGTTTACACATTAATACAAAATTTCATAGAAATTGGATAATTTGTGCTCAAGTTATTGTGCTAACAGACACATATATATGTTTTATATACATTATATATGTATGAATTTGAACTAGGGATGAGCATCGATGGTAACATCGATTTCAACCATTGATGTACTAATAACATCGAGGCGAAAACATTGATGTTATTCGATTTTTTTACAGTTTTTTGTATGCTCTCTGTGCAACAGCAAATTAACCTAAAACTAATACAATTTAGTTATGATAAACATTGATATTTCAATACTTGGCCAAAAACATCAGTGTTCGACAAAAACATCGAAGTATCAAAAACATCGGTGTATCAAAAACATTGATAATCCACCATCCATGTAAAAAACATCGATAATCTACCTTCGATGTAAAAAACATCGAACACCGATAGAAAAACATCGATGTTTCGAAAACATCGACTATCGATGCTCATCCCTAATTTGAACGGATGGTGTTTTTTACCTCTGGGGACCTCAAGACGAAAAGAGAAAATCGGTCTTGGTTCACTATGAGACATAGGGTAATAGCTTATTCCCTATATGGTAAATCACTAAAAGCTTCATGTATACCAATTTTGGCAATTTTCAAAGCAATCAATTACGTGGATTAAATCATATTGAAAAACAGGTTTCAAAGAACTGTAACGGGTTTTTTTTTTTTAACAGTTTTTTAATATCAAAGTCTCATAGGCAGAGTATTAAAATGGGTGTCCCACAAGGAACCTTAAAACCTTTGCTCTTTTAGCAAATTTCCCATATAGGGAATAAGCTATTACCGTAGGTCTCATGGTAAGTCCTGGACCCGGGACCGATTTTCTTTTTCGTTTTGAGGTCCCCAGAGGCCAAAAACACCATCCGTTCAAATTCATATATATATACATGTGTGTGTGTGTGTGTGTGTCCGTTAGCACGATAACTCGAACAAGAATTATCCGATTTTGATTAAATTTGGTATAAACGTGTAAACCTACATTTATTCAAACGAGTTCGGAACCAGCATGATCGGACCATGGGAACAGGGGTTTATGGGGTAAAAATGGGGTTTTCCCATTTTTGACCCTAAAAACATAACATTTTGGAATTTCTTTCCCAACCATTTTGTAGCGCTTAAAAAAAGAAAAAAATTAGTATATTGAAGCATTATTGTATGCCTAATGGTTACGGAGAAAATTCAAAAAAGTGCAAATTTAAAATTCCCATGTTATTCTTATGGCGAAAATGAAAACTGTTGTAGTTTACTTGTTTATGGATATATGTTGATCAAATTTGGCAAATTTATTTAATTCATCCTATACCATTAACGTTTGGTCAAAAAATACTGTTCAAATAAATGTGTGGTTTTCAAAAGTCAGTTAAACGTTTACTTTATTAACAAAGCTTATAACATTGTTCTTGACTTCTTACATGATAATCCGTAACCAAACTAGTATGTAGGCCATAAGATTTATCAGGAAATTTCACCACTGAAAAAAACCGTTAACATTGTTAATGAGCAACCTGTATGCCTAAAAAAATGGTGGTCAAATTTGTGAATATTTTTTGTAACAACTACTTAATTTTCAATTCTTAAATTTTTATCCTCATCTCAAATTAAAAAAATGTGTGTATCACTTGATTTATGCCATATATGATTTTTTACCATAGTTATTAGTTTCATTGTTTAACAGCCTAGTAATGTGCTGATCGCCCCTTACCGTAGTGGAGACTTGGTGAAGCTTAGTGATTTTGGTATCAGTAAGCAGGGGGTCGACAATCCTAGCATTGTTTGTGGCACCATCTTGTACAAAGCACCTGAACTTGTGAACCGTCTTCGATACACTGACAAAGTTGATGTTTGGAGCTATGGAGTTTCACTGTTCTTCTGGTAAGAAATATGTTTCACTCATTCTTTAGATTTAACATTTTAAAACCTTAGCTCAGGTATAGCTCGGAGCTTTAGTTTGCTTTACTTCACTTGCAAGCACCAGTTTGCTTATAGCGGCACTTGATGTGTTCGACCAACAGTGGCATGGTTACTCATTTGGCTAAGGGGATGCTCTAACTTAGCGTTATTTCTATCTTGTGTGTTTGAATCTCGCCATAATATTAAGCTTAAATAATGTGTGGCCTAGCTGGTGTGGAGGGCCCACCTTTAATAAATGGTGGCTGACTCGGGTGCAAGTTTACGGCATTATTGAGTTAAATAGAGATTTCACACAACAAGTCATAAGTATTTTTTTATTGCATAGTAACATTCTTCATTACAAAGGCAATGATGAACAGATGCATGGTCAATCTATAAATTATAAAAACTAAAAATTTTACAACAAAATAAAAACAAGAAAGTACAATTGAGAGAAAATTTCCAATTCATCTGATTTATAAAGTGAATTTTTACCAAAGCAAAGAAAAAAAATGTTAATGAAGATCTTGAAGCAATGTCAGAGATAAAACAATAAAAAACAATCTGAGTCAGATTTCACATAAACTAATGGTCAATTAATTTAACAAAGTCATTTAAGAAATCTGCCAGGGATGAGTAATATTATTTTCCACCAATAATGCTTTAGTCCAAATTTTAATTTTTTTTTGGTGTGTAGGATTTTACTTTTAAGATGATCTTATATAGGCGAATCCCCATATAGAAAGTGTTTTTTTTTTCAAAATAAGAGTTTTTATTAATTGGATAATTTAGCATATTTAGGTGTCAGGAAACTGTTTAGCTACACACAATCCAGTTGAAAAACATGTATGATCAAAGACATAAATGGGCATGACCTAAATAAAATAATAGAGAAATAAAAAAATATTCCTGGCCTTCTGGGTCAATGGGTTAAGTAAATAGGTAAAATATCCCAACAAATTCTTCAAATCCAGTGTTTCAGTTCAAGAAGTATATGATATATAAAGTACCATGAATACCTACCATGACTTAAGTAATTAGAGTTCATATAATTTTGTTTGAACATTAGCTTCACTTACTATTTCCATCCTAGGTAACGTAGTGCTTACACAATTTTAAACTTGTTTTAAATAAAAAGGAACATAAAGTAGACCGCCTCCCAACTTACCCTAAAGCAACCGCCATTCGGATTAACCACCTTTGTCTGGGGGAAAAAAATTGGTTCACCCGTCCTAAACAATACAGCCAAACCACCAATTGGTTACCAAGCTATTTCAATCTTACTTGTTTGTTAGTTGTCTCATGGTATCCTAGTGAAGGACGTATACAGGGTTAGTAAAAAGTCTGGAGACCCCCTGTTAATTTGTTAACAGACCATACTAGAAAAACTAAACTCGGCACACCTTTATGGCATGTTATGAAGTACTTTTTGGGCATAACCGCCACTTGGTGTACATCCCCAAAATGGGGGATTTTGGGGGAAACTCAAAAATTTCAAATGGTAAGACCCATCGAGTGGCCCCTCATTTTAAAGATCCTGGTAAAATAAAACCAAAAACGCAAACAAGAGGTCTCTATCTCAATCCAGTAATAAATGGCAGCCAATTGAAATTCTCAGAAGTTAAATTTAACTTACAGCTTTCAAAGTCTGGAGACCCCCTGTAAATTTTGTAACAGCTCAAACTAGGAAAACTAATCTCTACACACCTTTATGGCATGTTATGAAGTACTTTTTGAGCTTAATTGCTACTTGGTTCCCAAACCCAAAATGGGGGATTTTGGGGGGAACTCAAAAATTTTAAATTTTAAGCCCCATCGAGTGATCCCTCATTTTGAAGGTCGTAATAAAATAAAACTAACAACGCAAACTAGAGGTCTCTATCTCAGTCCAGAAAAAATTTGCAGCTGATTAAAATCTTTAGAAGTCGGAATTAACTTGCAATTTTATATTCAATTGGCTTCCATATTTTACAGTGTTAAGATGGTATTACCCCTTAACTTTTACCTCAAGATGGTGTTGAGATACCTCTAGTATGCGACAATAGTGAAAATTATCATATTTTTCTTGAAATAGCCCAAACGCCTCATATATACGACAGTTCATTTTTGTTTGTGTTTTGAGGTGAAAGTAAGTAAAAAAACATATTATTCAAGAACAGTTTATAACTAAACAAATAAAAAAGCTACATAGGCTAATGCAACATACATATTGCATACAGTGATGTAGAAAAGTAAAGACCAGTTTTTCCAACTATCATATGACGTCACCAATCATCACATCCACAGACCAAGCGACGTGGTTGCGCGTCAGACATCCCTGTAAAAGCAGAGAATTCAGTGCCTTCAAATAGACTGTTACAAAGATATAAGCATTTTGATAACATTGGAACACCGACACAAACATGCGTCGTTAGTCTATGGGTAGAAATCGGCCATCGCATATGTGCGTCACTGGTCTATATGAATGAAAAATGTTGTACTATTGCGGTAGCGAACGTGTTAACCTCCAAACTTCTGCATCAGCGTAGTAGTCTCACCATGGAATATTCCGGCGACCAAGACCCAGCGTTAGGCCAGGCCAATGTTCTCAGAAGTGTCACGGCACGTGGCTGAAATTCGCTGAGCTCTGCTCATACTGAACTATTAAAATTTTAGAAACAAAAAACACTCTACTGTATAACTTTCCCTGCATCAGAAAACCTACATACTCTTTAAACTAATGTTACTTATGGTATCACAGATTCAACGAGGATAACAGCCTGGTTGCGGTGTACAAGCAAACTATGTATTTATATGCAAAAACGGCCCTTACTTAAAAAACCGGCTTCGTATATGTGTGTCCGTGAACTCGACAACTTGAGTAATTGTAGACTGATTTGATTTTGATTAATAAATTTAGTTTGAAGGTGTACGGCGGGATAAACGAGCCGGCAAGACCGGGTCATGGGAACGGGATATTATGAGGTTTTTACATTTTCACAAATTGGTGGTTCAAACTTCTACCCTTAAAACAAGAAATGCCCGATTTTCAATACAACCATCATGTAGAATTTAAAAAACAAATAATTTTGTATATTGAAGCGTTGTTGTACAATTAAAGGTTATGGAAAAAATGCAATTTTTGTGGTTTGCTCGTTTATAGAACTATGTCAGTAAAATTTGGAAAATTTATTTATTTCATCCCATTAACATTTTAACTATTAACAATTGGACAAAAGAAAACAATCAAACCTAAGTACTTGCTAAATCTAGTGTTATTTCAATTGGGAATAAATATGCTTGTTTATAGAAATATTTTAGTAAAAACCCAATAATTAAAGACAAATTGAAATTTGCTTAGTCTGCAGGTTTGCTGTGATGGAGGTATTTAAATATGTTTTATGTTTCTTATTCCATTGTCTTTTATGTTGTTGGTTGCAGTTTGAGCGGTGAACATCCTTTCAGAGAGGGAAATACACTTGGTATGTCTGTCCCTGAACAGATTGTGCGTGGATACTACTCCATGGGGAGTAGGAGATGGAGAAACATCAATAAGAAAGCTTGGAAGTTAATCACCTTGACCTTAATGGTTTCACCAGAAGACCGACCTACTAGCACGCAAATTATAGATCACGGTTGGTTTGAGGTAATTCATCTACAACTGTTTATCTAAAATTTATCCTGACTCATATCCTAGCAGTCAACATGAGAGATGTGATAACACTACTATAATATATTATTTAACATCTTCCTCTTTACTAAATATCTAAATTTGACATGTCTAGTTTTAAATTAATTGTATAGCGCTATATTGAAATAAATGTCAATTTACATTTGTCTTCTTGAAAGTAAAAAATATGTCAAATAACGTAATAATGTAAAGTTATGTTGTAAGATTTAACAAACATTTTGATTTTGTTTTTGAAAAGGTAAAAAATAAATAGTTAGTTTCACTTATAATGCTTTTGAATTTAAATGGTCTAAACTTTTCTAAATACGTTTGATTTACATTATCAACTAAAAACTACAATTGTTATTTGTTTTGAGATCGGGATCTTTGTTTTTCATCTTAGAATGCTTTTTCTCAAAAGGTCCAACCCATTTTTTGTATCCATTTTGCAAGGGGCAGAATTATAATCAAGTCTATTGTTACACATGTTATAAGAATTGTCTGATTCTAAACTATCACTAAAACATCAACTCAAATTCAATAGTTTTATTAGAATATTGTTAGGTTATAAATAAGTTCTTAATTTGTTCAATTTCAAGATTAGTGTTTTACAACTCAGTGTATTTTTAATAATGTTCTCTTTGCAATGTTACAGGACATGGAGATGAAAGAGCGACACAGTGCACTCTTAAACGAAGCAAATGTCCATTTTGTGTTAAATGACAATCTCAAAAAGATGAAATGATTTTCAAAATCGTTCTGCAAACACTGACAAGGGCACATTTTTCTTAACTAGTCGTAAATAGGGAATTCGATGAAAATAGAGCCCTGAAACCTCATTTGTCTAACAATGACAGTTGTTAAAAAAACTTCATAATTAGGGTTTTTTATGTATTTATTGATTTTTTGGATAGGTATTTGTTGTGTGTTTCATGCAAATGCAATATCCCTTGTATTTTTTCAAACTTAAAGATGAACAGAGGATTGGTCAGGAAATAAAAAGTTAATTTTAAAGTTAAAAGTTATCTTTTTTTAGTATATGACCGCCTATCTCAGGCTTGTACTTATTACTTTACCTTCTATGTATAGATCCAAATATAGCTCTCTCAACTCTGTTATGTTTATTCTACATTATCCATCTTCCTTAGTCGATCCACAAACCTTTCTTAGTACTTTATTCTCAAATCATATCAGGCCTAAGCGGTTTTCTGAATTTCACTTTGTCTTTTTTTAATTTAAAATACATATTACAATACCAGAGGTTTATTAAAAAGTAAAAAATGTGCTACTGTTTGATTACCTTTTTCTGTGTAAACTTTATTGTAGTAATTGTTTCTAACCGTAAGTACCTTTGAGAACAACAGACTCTTTAGTGATAGCTTAGTTACAACTTACAATATATATTTTTTTATACAAGGTGGCTGAAAATTCCCTTTACACTAAAGGTAAATTCAATTGGTGTTGATTAAAACAATAGAAATCTATTTTAATCAGAAATTTACCGTGGACTACACCAAGTGAACATCATTTTTAGTCCAAAAAATCGGCATGCACACCTCCATTGTCTCGGCAAAGCTTAACTCGACTCCAAGTTCGTTAGCTCATTCGTTTCAGCATTTCTGGGATGACTCGTGCAAAGGCCGCCCTTACTCTCCTGGGTGTAGAGAGTGAGGCTTCGTTCTTTCCCTCCACTGTTGCTTTACTACTCACGTACGAATATTTGCTGATCAGTCGTATTTATAACAGTGTAATAAGTACTGCAATATCGTGTAAAGGGACTTTTCAGCCACCCTGTACTTAAGATAAAGCAAACTATTGTTAAAACTCAGATATACATTTTATGTTTGTTTGTAAATAAAAATTTATATATTATTTTTATTTTTTGTAGGTAGCAAAATGTCTGTTAAAACTCAAATAAATTTTCTACTTTTGAAATCAAATTTCATTATTCTTCACCCTTTATAGACTATTTTTAGCTACTTCAACTGAGTTTTGAATATTTTAAGTTTTTGCAAGTAAACTTGTGTTCTTTTAACTCTATATGCCTGAATGAGAGATTTCCGTATGTATAGGAGGCGTCCCTAAGACAACCAAGGACAATGGTATAAACCCTAGTTGTCTGAAATATAAACGCTAGGGGAGGGTGGGCCACAATGGAACGTGGACCACAGTGGAACAACTATATTTTTTTGTATTTGGCTAGTCGGCCAACTGCTGCACTCTATCAGTGATCTCAAAAACTGTCCACCCATATAGTTCATTGGTGCAAATGGCTGCCTCCATGTAAGGAAGAGATATTATTCATATTATGATTTTGACATCTTGAAGTAATTTTTCCAGGTTATTTCTTCACGGCTTTGACTTCTATTTGCAGTTATTAGAGATAAGTATCACATACCAGTATAAAGAACATCTATTTTTCTAAAACTTATAGACTAGACTAGTTGGAACTATTTCACTGTGACCCAACACAGTATGTTTCATTGTCACAAAAACTATTACATATTATATGGTATTAATATATTAGTTTGAAACCCAATTATGGTTTTTCCATTAAATTATCCTTTTTGGGAATTTATCAATGCCCAAAGTCTTGAAATGGCTGTTCTTTTACAGATCAATATCAAGAGGAAGAAAGTGAATTTTACTTGCTTACTGTAAACTAATTACAAGTAGAACCATTTGAAAATGCTAGTTTTTACTTTACATGTATACTATTTGTGGTGAGTAAACAAAATTTATTGTACGGTATTTTTGCATTTTAATTCATTGTGTCGTGCGGAACACAGTCGAAAGCCTTTGAAAGGTCACAGAGAGTGTGCTCTCATGCTTTTCAAAACCATTTAAAGCAGCAGCAACAAGGCTACCAACTGTGTCCACAGTTGACAGACCCCCTCGAAAGCCAAATTGGGATTTAGAAAACAGATTAGGAAATGATAGGAACCCATCCTTATGTGAAACCTAGTCTCAACATTGTAGGTGAAAATGATGTGAGGGAAATCGTCAATCGATGGTCCCGCTGTTATAAATCGCATTCCATAACTAGGTTTCTGTGGAATATAGGTTATTGAAATCTGCTGTCTGTTGACACAAATACATGCAGAAAAGTGTTTAGACATAGGAAATGTGCTTAAAAGGCTTAGGGAGTTCGCAGAAGGTCGTACTCATTGGCTTATTGAGGCTGAAAGTGTTTCATTAGTTTCTATAGAGACAGTGATTTGAAGATGATAGGTAGTGGAGGGAGGGCCACAATGGAACAAAAATTACAAAACATTTTTTGTTTTTTTTTACCTGTTTTTTGGTTAACAGCTTCAGAAGATAAATTTACTTAGAGAACAATCCTGCATATAAAAAAACATATAATATTTAAGTAATTAATCTCTACAAACTGCTTTCGTTCAATTAAGTAAGTTTTAAACCATGAGTGTGGTAGTTTTTATTAAGTGCAGTATGTATTATTAAAATTTTGAAAAATGCTGTCCAATCTATCATATGTCAAAGGTTTTGGCGTTTTCCTGGACAGAATTATTCAAAGAACTTTTGATTGAACTTAACTTTGGGATGAACTGAGATTCAATCATACAGTATTGGTATAATGGTCACAGAATATGTTACAGACAGATACAGGATGACCGACTAAACTATTATTGTGCATTAAAGATACATTTTCAAATTTGGAAGTATTCTCAAGATTAATCTCATCCAGTGGCGGATCTAGAGCAGTCACAAGGGGGGGGCGAACCAGGGAGTCAGGGGCGGTTCGGGGGTACCCCTCCGAAAAATGTTAAACTAAGTCTCCTAAATCACAGTTTTTTACCATTTCTTTGTCCAAAGTTAGTGTGACAAATTATTTTACGCAATTTGTATGCACTACTGTATTACATGCAGTAAAAAATATATGTATATGTATGCCCGAGGGGGGGGGGGCGGTCGCCCCCCCTCTGGATCCGCCACTGATCTCATCCTTGAATACCTTCCACTTGTCTTACAAATATTGCTAGAGCATTTTGTTCTATCATCATAACAATTGTATTAGGTTTTATTGACAACACTAGTGTATTTTTTTTAGCTTGATTTTGACGATGATCAAAGGATTTTTAGTAATTCTAAAAAGTTCCTCAAGATTTACCATTTCTTCTTTTAGGCTTAGCAAATCTCTACTATAAATTTTAGCGAATTTTCCATATACAGAATAAGCCATTACCGTAGGTCTCATGGTATGACCCGAGCCTGGGACCAATTCACTTTTTCGTTTTGAAGTCCCCAGAGGCCAAAAACACCATTCATTCAGATATATGTATGTATGTGTGTGTACGTTGCAATAACTCAAGGAAAGATGATCCGATTTCGATGAAATTTGGTACAATTGTGTAAACCTAGGTTTATTCGAGCGAGTTCACAAACCAGCATGATTGAACTATGGGAACAGGTGTTTATGGGGAGGTTTTATGGAGTACAAATTGGGTTTCCCCAATTTTGACCCTAAAAAGACATAACATTTTACAACTTTTATATCCATATTGTAGAATACAATTTTTTTTTTATATTTAAGCATTAGATCAAATACATTTATCTAATGCTTAAATATACGTGGATGCCTGACGTGTTTCATTAGTTTAACAAGTCCTCAGGATTGCAGCTACAGGGAAGGAAAAAAGTGATGTTATGTATGATTTTAATGAAATAAATAAATTTGCCAAATTTCATTAAAATGCAGGGTTTATTACAAATGGTGTTCCTGATTTTGATTATAACTATTGCTGGGATAATTTGTTTTAAGAAGACTATTTTAGTTTATACCATTGGAAAGAAAAACTCTTACATTGATTTGGGCGCATATCAGCTATCAGCTGTTCGTCAAAGTTCGTACACTTTGTAGTAAGCGACAGCACACAACACATTGACTTATGGCTGGGTTCTCTGAGCCCTCTATTCTGACATTATGTCTATTCACATTACCACACAAGTGGAATGTTGCTTCATCTGTAAAGACTAAACGTTTTACAAAGTTTTCATTTTCCACCAGGATCTGTATGTTTTCACAAAAATTAAAAAAAGTCTTACAACTTTTTTGTTTTGTTTTAATGCTTAAAGCAGCTCTAGTTTGTAAGGTTTGATTTTTATATCTTTACTTAGAATCTTCCAAACAGTTGATTGTGGTAAACCAAGCTCTTTGCTGCATTTGACAGATAATTCCTGTGGACTACGGGTAAAGCTTTCCCTCGCCTGCTCTGCTACTGCATTGCTCACTGATAGCCCTCCAGTTCATTGTTTTTTACAAATGCAGCCATTTCTCTTTAAATCCAAATCCACTTGCAAATAGAATAGTTACTAGAGGTTCAGCATTACACCTGGTTGCAAAGTGTTATTGCAGATTAATCTGTCAGTAACAGATCGATTAATTTGATAACACAACAGGCCAAACGCTTTCCTGTCTTCAAATTCAGCCATTACACAACACTTACACAAACAACTAATATGCACCCAATCCAATATAAATGAAACTTTGTGAGATTTTCTTCCCAATAGTACCAGCTAAAATAGTCTTGAAACTCATTAACCCAATCAAAATCAGGAAAATCATTTGTAATGACCCTGTAACTTATATCTATAAACAAGTAAACTACAACAGTGTACAAAACTATTTCTTTTCATAAGCTCTACAGGATGGCTGCAATGAAACTTGGTGCGTTTGAAGGGTAAAAACAAAAAATATTTATTAAAAAGTGTTAAGGCTCTATTTACAGACCATTCCCATTACCCAATCTTGCTGTTATTTTCTAGGTCACACTCACATTCATGCTAAATTTCCCCAAAATTGGACCACATTCGCTGGAGTTATGGACACACACACACATACAAATTTGGATGCATAGTGATTTTGGCAGGCACAGCATTAAGCAGGGATACTTGCATCGTGTTAAATGAAGAAACCAGGATGATTACGCTAAAGGAGAGCTAGGTTGATTCACTGAATAAGTATAGCTAAAAGCATTTATTTACCAAACATAAAAATTCTAAATGTCCTTAATATTTATGTTGTAAGTACAAATGTAAACAAAAAGTAGGTAAAACTAAATTTCCGTGCAAGAACATTTTTGATTTTTGATAAACTATATAGTGACATGGCACTTGCTGACAAAGAGATCATGTACATTGTTTACCATACAATTATTGTGTTAATTTATTGGACTAAATTGAACGATTTCAGTTTTGGGCAGATCAATTGAGTTTACTTTTAAGATTTTAGAATAGTACACAACAGGATTTAAAATGGCTGAAAATATTGACTAAAATAATACCTTCTATTTATATAAATAAACATAAACACAAAACTTTTAAATTATAATACTAAAATATCATTTTTATTAAAATCAATAAAGAACATTTAAAAAAATACTACATTCAGATTCACAGAAAATTAATGAAAATATCACATCTGCTGCTAATCAGCTTAACCGAGTAGTGTGGTAAATAAATAATCTGTTGTGAATATACTTAACTAATATGACAATTTTTTGTACCCACACATGTAAATAAAACGTCTAATTACACTTTGAAGTATTGACTAGTGAGAACTTTGAAAGTAGGTGGTTAGTAAATACAAAATCGTAAAAAAAAACATTATATTACTTTTACCTTATATAGCTCTGTTTGTAGGTGTAGGCTACAAATATATAAACACATATAAGTACTTCCTTTAGCTGTGTGTAAAATGGGTAGTCCATCCATCATAGTCAATAAGCAGGCTACTGACACATAATTATGTATGAGGGATTTGGAAAACCCTTATGAATAGATATTAAATTTGTGTGTGACATGTATAAAAAAAACAAATTGTGTATCAACAATTATTAAGCTCTGTGATGAAAATAGTTGTGCACAAATTATTATGTATATTTCAACATCAACAACAATTTACAGAGAACCTACTTTAGACAACGAATTATTCAATTTATAAATTAACTGAAACTAACCAAACTACGTTAGTGATTGTAATTAAAAAAGTATAAGTAACTATAAATATTACTCATAATAAAAAAAAAAAATAAGGAAGGATGACTTTTATTGTGGATAGTAATCATTCATTAATCTATGAACTAGATTAAGAGTACAAATAATAATCTTCATGTACGGTATAAAAAGTATATAAATGTGGAAAAAAGTACCTAATACACAAAACATCTCTACTATGTACAGCTCTAAAACAATAAATAATACAATGTAAGTATCAACCTTAAATATAATCATTTCATTTTAAGGCACAATCAAGTCCTTGATTTTTAAAATTTGTTCGTCATGTACCAAACATAAGTGGCGTAGCCAAGATTGGAGCGCCCTGGAGCAGAATTGCTTAATCGTCCCGCTAATCATTGAGCACATACTAAATTAATTTCCCTCATAATATTCTTTAAAGATGATGATTTATTCAATAAGCACCTAAAACTCAACTTACGCCATACTAAACTTGTATTTTACAATCAATTACTTATCTTGAAGAATAGAGCCATAGAGCCTTCTGCCCTGGAGCAACTGCTCCACTCGCTCCACCGTAGCTACGCCACTGCCAAACATTGATCTAATCATTGAAAATTCAGTGCTAAAAATATTGTGCACAGCTCAAATATTAACTATCAAACATATTTCAAAGGAATAAACAACCATTGGACGGAGTGGTAATTGTACTAAAAAAACATAGAAAGATATTTATACTACAATGCAATATGTAACAATAAAACCCTTTTCAACCGCTTTCATTAAACAGGAACCCAAGTTAGTCACACCATAATAAAGAATAAAAAATTCAATCAATTGAAAAAATAGCTAGGAGACTGGAACCGTCCGCCATGTCGTAAATAGTTGACTTAGCTTTACCAACGGAATGTAATGGAGCAGGTAACGACATGGATCTCATACCATGATATGGATGAAGTTCAGAACACAACTGTCGATAAATAAAATAGATTTTCTGTTTCAAGTTTTAAGAAAACAGAAATTAAAATAACCTAAATAGTGACTGTTGTACACCTCTTTGAGACAAAACTACCTTTAAATTCCAACCATAGGTTACCACATAAACAGGTTATCCGAAATGGCTCTTTATTTCTGTTAGTTTGGGTTTTACTGCATTACAATCCTTTACACAACAGTGTATATTTCCCAGCTGAATAAAGAAAATATTTCAAACAAAATGTAATACCTTGTACTAGTGATGGGTTGGTTATTTTATCAGTTCGGTTTTGGTTTTTTCCATTTAAATCACTTATTCATATAAAATTTCTCTTTCTACTTATGTAAAGGTAGTATACAAGTTTAAATTTATTGTCTTGAACTAAATTATGAAAGCCCTATAGGCCTACTAACATCTAATAAACCTTTTTTGGAGACGAGAAGTGGTTGATTTTGTGGGCTTCTTATCTGAATATTGTATCTCTCTTTGTAATAACTAATAATTCATATGAGATACTTGAGTTCCACCTTTGTCAAAAGTGTAGACAACGGGACTTTGAGCCCAATCCACGTCAGTTATGACATGTCTTGTTGTTATAATCAGTGAGAACCACTGGTGCAGTGGATTTCAAATCCGAGTTTACGAAAGCAGTAGTGAGTACTACTACACTACTGCTTTTGTAAACTCGGATTTGAAATCCCGAGGATTGTTTCTTGCAATGGAGTTGAGTAGTCCCAGCATGTATCAGTCCTCATAACCTTGCATGATTTCAGCGCACAACAGAACCTCTCGTTTGTGCTGCCTTATGGTGGTCTTGTATTGTAACCAGGCCACAGCTCAAGGTAATATTTGGGAATGTCGACCTTAGCTTCGGGGTCATAGTAGACCGGCTGATTGAGTTGAAGATCCAGAAGTTTGAGTCCAGAAGTGACCTGGTCACTTGGTGACAGTGACAGAAGTTTTGAGCACATTCTTGTAAATATGTTGAAAAACTGTAGATTGCAATTTTTCAACATATTGACATGAAAGTGCTATTAAAAGGGGAATCCCAGGCCAGTGACTTTGGTCAACAATGTGATCACTCTATCAGAGAGATATGATTTTTTCATCGTTTCTCAGTTTTCCAACCACGGAACAGTAAGCCCTACGAGCTCCAATGTGATCCATGACACTATTGGTCTTGACCCCAACAAGATGCAAAGATTAACACTTCAATTGTAGTAAGTATGTGTCATCTTATACATAAAATGACTCATACTACTACTGGAGTGGTACTGTTCAGGTGCCTGCGCCAGTCCAATATAGCGTTTCTTTCTGTTAGTCAATCGCTACATCAGTCTCCTAATCCCAGTCTTGAGAAGCTTCTGTTATTTTTGTAAAGATAACCCAAAGTGCCTTAATAAGTACTCGTGATATTAAATGCAATTCATTTTACAGAATGTATAAACTACTTAAAATTGCATCATGAAACTAATAGTATAAAATACAGTACTGTAGTACTGAACCATTTTTAAGTGCCATAAGAATGTTGTTAGTTCAGTATTAATACAGTTAATTAATACAGTTAATTATCATCTAGAAATAAGGTTTGTGCTGGAATCGCTCTATATACACGTGGTTCTGAATAGCCACCACTTGTCCTTACCCTAACAAATAGTCACATTTTAGTTGATAATCTACATGGAATGGATCATGTTGTTCGTCTAGTTGTGTTCGAGATTGGTTGAACAAGTTTCATACTGGAAATCCTTGTAAGTGTTGAAACTCAACTCCATGAGCAACTGAAAAAGGAAGAACAGATTTGGTAAATGCTTTTTGTAACGTTTGTTTAAAAAATAACTCGAGCAGCAATAATTACAGAGTGTCATTTTCCTTAGAACAGAACATTGTAGCCAATAGATGATAACAGGTTAGCTGATCATTTGTGCTATCACAAGTAATACTTCGACTCGTATTAGAACTTAAAACCAAATCAAACCTTCATGGGACAACACCCGTTAAGTTAAATCTATTTTTTAAATATTAAAAGGATACCATCTTTTAATAACTTGCTTGATTGTCTGATCTGTAATTTGTTTAATACAGTTTAGAATGTAAAAAATAGAATAATAGCAAAAACTATATGCCTACTGTGGAAACTTACTTGTAAAAACATTCCAAACAACAACTTTAGAAAAAGTTGAATTATTGCTTAACCCATTGGCGCCGACTTACGAGCGTTACTCGTACAGCCGCTGCAGGCCCGGCGGCCTACTTACGAGTGCCGCTTGTGTCACCGCTAGGCAGCGCCATTAGTTATTTAGTTATTATTATTTTTCGCCCTTTTTGTTTCTTCTTACTATTATAATGTTTATATATCTTGCTTCTTGATTTGCGTATTTACTCATTTATTTTAGCGAATAACAAACAATTTTGTGTTGCCATGGAAACCACATATCACCAAAAATCAGCTGCGGTAAGGTAAACAAACAATTTAAAAATAATGTTATTACTTATAAATGTACACAACTTTTGATTTTTCTACGTAGGGAATCGATTGAACTTTATAATAGTAGTGTTATTTGGTGTCTGGATTAATCTTGGAATTTGTATATCAAGTTTACTTTCAAAATATTGTTTTTAAAATTTTTATTTTTATAATCTTTATATATATATATATATATATTTTTTTTTTAGAACTTTGACTATCCAATTACCACTTTTCTGTAGACAATTTTACTGTGAACAAAATGGTGAAAGAATTATTAATTTATTACCTAAGGTTTTATTTCTATAGCAGTTAGAGTAAAAGTCTACAAATTCGGTAAAATTAATTGCCGCCAGAGGGTGCTGCAGGTAGCGCATTAATTCCTTCCCCAATGGGTTAATTTTACAGTAAAAACCAATAAAATGCTTAAAACTTGATGCATCCAAAACAAACAAAAATTATTCAGCGTCTCGATGACAAAATTTTAATTAAATTTTATTCAGAGGTGTGTTTAAATCAGCCTTCAAAAAATATTGAACATTGAACACACTGAACATTTTAACAAATAAAACTATATGTGTATTTGAGGATTTATTCATTGAGTGTTTTTGTGAGGAATTATTTTTGTTTCTGAAGTTGCACATCATGAGGTCGTATGTGTACAAACTAAACTAACATTAGTCTTAATTCCCTATTCTGTAGTCAAAGTCAATAATTTGTTTTCACAAAACATTTACAAATCCAGCATAACTTTGAAAGTATGGTCATGGATAATTAAAATACATAACACAATAATAACAAAAAAATATGCTAACAAATAAAATAAATACATCATTCAAAAAATCATTAACATTGTAATACACTCTATTAAGCAGCAATTTGGTAACTTAACTTCTTTTTAGTATTTTTCAAAAGATTTATGATTTAATATTTTCAGGCAGTTTACACAACTTTTCCCTGGATATTGTGTCAAGCGAGTTAAGTCTATGAATGTTCAATAATATAGAATATTCAATATATTCGAATATTCAATATATTCGAATATTCAATAATTCCAGTAATTTCAAAAATATATGAAAATATAGTTCAAGATCAAATCTATTCCTTTTTTGAAGTCAATACAATTTTCAATCATTGTCAGTTCGGATTTCGAAGGGACAAATCAACAGTCCTAGCTGTAGACAAACTAGTTTGTGAAATTATTTCTTCTTTGAGACCAAGTCATATGCCCAGGCCACCTTCTGTGATCTTAGCAAGGCATTTGATTGTGTTGATCCAAATGACCTAATAAATAAATTAAATTACTATGGAATTACAGGCTCTGCTCTAAAGTTAATAAAATCTTGCTTCGAAGACAAAGGGTTTACACTGATGGTTTCTGGTCTCAAGAAATATCAATAAATGTGGGTGTGCCCCCACATTTCAGTAAATTTTAGTTAGTTGATAATGAAAAATTCCACTTTGTAAACATTGGTTTATTATGAAGCTTAATGGACCTGCAATAACATTGTTGGTTTTTTTATCAGCGTTACTGGAATTTCATCCCAACCGGCTGACATTTTATTTTTTAGGAAATAAATTGATTTAGACACTTTTTCTTTTGAAATTGGCGAAAAATCAAAAACAGGTATATATTATGATTAAGATTAAAATTTTCAATATTACATAAGCATTGAAAAGGTTAAAGTTAGCTGAGTTTGGTTTCACAATGTCAGCAAATTTGTTAATAAAATGTTCTGCTATTTCTTGACCATTATTGACTATTATGTTCAATATTGGATAGATTATATTTCTTTCTACCCAATCCAAGTTTTGAATTTACAACTAGTTGGTTAATGCTCTTTATGGTTTGATCTGTTCTTTACCCTTAAAACTGTTGTAAAATGTTAGAATTTTAATTTGTTCCACCCTAACTCTAAAATTTAATCCATATCTTATAGATTTAAAGTTCACAAAATATGCTGTTTTGGAATAATTTGTTGGAATTAGTTTGTTAAATTTCTCTAAAAAAGATAAATATTCCAACTACAGTAGAGTACTTACTTCAGGGCTCATCTTTATAGATTCGAGGTCTGATATAATCTCTGGGAAATTAGGTCTTTCATCCAGATCTATTTGCCAGCAATAGAGCATCAGCTGGTATAAAGTGTCCCCGACGTACGACAGCTGTGGCAATCTCAGCCCCCTCAACACTCCCCCCACCACTTGCTCTCTGCCAACCTCTGCATACGGCGTACCACCTACACCATCACAATCAAATGTTAATATAACCTTCTTAGTGACATTATGTTGCTATTATTTAGAGTATCAAGGCTTTGCTGTACAATTTCTGACATGGTGGAATAGAGTTTTAAATCAAAGATCAGAAGATCAGTGGATGAGTAGTTGAAGACAGCTGAAGAGAGAGAGTAGCAAAGCAAACTAAGATAATTTAGACATCTAAGAAGAATGGAAGAAGAGGCAAGTTGATAAAGAGGAAGACCTAAAAGAAGGTACAGTAGACCCCCTCTTAACCGACCCTAATGGGACCGGACCTAGGTCGGATAACTCAAAAGGTCGGTTAAAACGGGCAATCCCTAAAATCATAACATAATGAAGTGCTATTCATTTGGAATTATTTATACTTTTTAGCGAATTTCCCTATAGGGAAGTAGCTATTACCGTAGGTGGCACGGTAAGACCTAGACCCGGGACCGATTTACTTTTTCATTTTGATGTCCCCAGAGGCCAAAAACACCATTCGTTAAAATTTTTATATATGTATATATATATAGACTTATATATATATATATATATACGTCCGTGAACGCGATAACTTGAGTAATTTTTGTCCGATTTTGATGAAATTTTGTTTAAAGGTGTAAAGCGGGATAAACTTGAATGAGTTCGCGAACCAGCACGATCGGACCATGGGAACGGGGCTTTTTAGGGGGTTTTATGGGGTAAAAATTGGGTTTTCTCACTTTTGACCCTCAAAACACAAAATTTCCCGATTTCTCTTTAGACCTTTTTAAAGAGCTTAAAAAAACAAATAATTTAGTATATAAAAGTATTTTTGTTCGATTATTAGTAACGGAGAAAATTAAAAAAATTGCTAATTTAAAATTCCCATGTTATCCTTATGGAGAATATTGTCAAATGTTGTAGTTTGCTTGTTTATGGATATATTTTGATCAAACTTGGCAAATTTATTTATTTTGTACTAAGCTATCAATATTTTACTCAAAAACACACTTTTTTAGTTTCCTTGTAGCAGCAAACCTAGGTACTCGTTAAACCTAATGTTATTAAAATATATTTAACTGAAAATCAATTCAGACAAATGGAAATTCGCTTAGTTGGCAGGTTTGCTGCGGCGGGGGTATTTTAATTGTATCTTTTATAAAAGAGTTAGGGTAGTTGCATGAATTTATATTTATCAGAGAAGACCCATCTTTAATTTCAAAGATGTGAAGACTTATGGGTTCAGTGTGAAGCTAGTGAACCTAGGCAGAGTATAATGTAAAATTTAAAATAGGCCTAAGTTAAGAAGGCTTAAACTTACAAAGAAAAAGGCGAAGGTTACAATAGAAAAGTCACAAATAAACACAAAACACGGTTAAGTCAAATAGGCCTACTTTCAGTGGAATATATTATAATACTAGGCAAGAGTCAATAAAATTCCTATTTTAATAACTTTAGTACTGTAATGTATTAATTGATGCTTTTCAAATCCACCGTAATACAGTACAAAACCTTTTGTCGAAATTAAAGATACAAGCAACCATTTTGTTACAAGACAGGATGTTTATTTATAGCCAACATGGATGTTTATTTACTGGATGCTCGTGGCACAAAAACTATCTTGACCTTGGAGTTGTTAACCCCCCTTCCCTACAAGTTGCGTTGTTTGTTTACTCCAGCGATAAGATAATCAGTTCTCAAAATCGTAACACACTTTATGATGTTATAAATTTGCGGCACAGATAACAAATCAGATCAGATGTGCTCGAGCTACGAACAATGATGACAAACTGACAATAGGCTATGCTATATTTTTTGTGATCAATACAAAATAACTTATTCTTAGTCATATCCTGTGGAGATAAGTGTATGATTCAGTTCTCATCGCCCAGCGTGGGAGAGGAAATGCCGAGATTCCTAGAAAGCGGCGGTTAAACCGAACTGCTCTCAAAGCAAGGTCGGTTAAAACAAACTGTATTATTTTGCGATCGAAGGCGGATAATCCGATTATCGGTTAATACGAGGTCGGTTAAGAGGGGGTCTACTGTAGATAGGCAAGATGAAGAGAAATATAGAAAAAATATAAGTTTTCATGTTACATTGTGGAAGGAGAGGAAAAGATGGGATAAGATGGAGAAGCCTAGTTGACATCCAAAACCAGGAATAACAGGAACACAAGACAAACATATGCATGTATATTATGTGTACTTATGAAGTTTCAATAAAGACATGAGTAATTTTCACAGTACTTGGATGACAAGTTGTGCTTTGCTACTGTTGCTAGTAGACCTGATCAATATTACACTGTTAATGTAGATTCAAAAGAAATAAATGTGTCTCACTATAACAAAGGACATTTTGTTTGAGTTAAGCCTCCGAATCACTGATCAATACGTGTACTGGTGAAATTACCTGCTGTCCAGTGATTCTTGTGACCTTGAAACCAACCATTTGATTGATAACAACCACAGCTACAGTAATTTAGAAATACTCCATAAATGCAATAAAGGGCCATTTATGACAACAATTGAGGAGTTTGAAATGTACAAGGCTGTAAAACAGGACCCACAAAATGTTTTGAACGACAAGCTTTCTTTCGCATCTAACATTATATTCGATACAGCAATAAAAATAGTCAAAGATGGATACAAACAAAAGCGTGCACCTGATAAGAAAGATTAGGGGAGGCGACAAGGAAACAATGACACCGGCATACAGCGGTCAGCCTAGACTCTACTTCCGTGTCGCCCGCTGGTAATAGTTATTGGTAGGAGTGTGCGAAGCAGCAAAAAATTTTCGATTCGAAGCAACGATTCGATTCAAAAGATTTTCGATTCGATTCGATGCAACTCGATTCGAAGCAATACGGTATTTTTCTATTCATAATTGTCAATTGAGTGGATTAACAATAATTAAAATGTATCACATTTGTGTAATACAAATTTTTGTTGATGTGGTATTAGGCCTATTTCATACTTAACATATGAATTTTAGGTGAAAAAATATTTATTTTCAATCATATGTATTAGAATAACTGCTGGAAATACCAGTGAGCTGCTTTACTTGCCTATTTCATAATTTTTACTTAAATTGGCTCAACTGCAAGAAAGAAGAAAATATTTTTTTTATCAAGACATTCATTCTCATTTTAATAACTGTTTAAATAACGAAATAGGTGCCAGTAGCTAAATTACAACAAATTTGAATGGAACTTAATATAAAAAGACCATTAAGAAATAAATTTACATATCACAAGTTTAGGGCCTGTGGACCAGCTTCAGGACTGCAAGCAAGAAGAAAATAAAAATAATATGTTTCCACCATGCAATATGTATCATTCATTCCCTGCCTCCTAACCTCCTTAGTATAATAACCTCACACTTACATTATTTGTTACATCATCATAAATAAAGAATTATTATTGGCATCAGTAGGCCTACAGCTTTACCTAGGCATTATTTTATAGGGCCTAAAATAGTAATAGGCTAGAAGCAACATGTCAAGTGGAGAACTCATTGAAGAAAAGATATTGTGTAAACTAATTTCCTATAAAACTCAAAAACAGTAAATAACATACAAACATTGTTTATGGTATAATTAATAAGGACTAAAAAATGCATATCATGTCATACAGTAGTATAGACCTACTGCAAGAGATTAAAATCCTAAAGCAACTGATTTGGATAGCTAATGAATGAAAAGAATTAAAAATCCATAAAATAAAGCCAAACAATATCACAACTAATTAGGTACCCGAAAAGTAACTCTTAAATAATATATAGAAGATTAAAATAATATTAAATCAAGAGACAAGAAAGTTAAATGCTATCTTCTAGCCTAGTGCCCTTGGCAACACAGGTCAATGTTTCTAAACTACCCTCAATGTTTTTGGAACAGCAGGGCCTTTTTCTCTTAAGGAAGGGTAGTAGTATGTCAACAAAAACAATGAATCAGTCTCACCAGCCAGGCCCGGGCAACGATGTGTGAATTCAAGGTCATAGACCTTCCCCCTCCCCTCTTACACCACCCGGTTGCTACCCAGTTGCTTCAATTGCTGACAAAATGCAAGTGATGAAACAAGGAAGTAGAGACAAAGAAATATATTTCTTTATTCAAAAACACAAATCTGTTAGAGGTTATTTTCAAAGAAACTAATTCAATGTAATTTGTGAGTTGTAAATATTGTATTGGATCTTAGAAATATATTTTTTTAACCCCATCTAACCAAGATACAGATCTGTTCACTATATCAGATATTTCTTTTGTTTATAATTTATTATGTAAAATAATAAAATATATTTTTAATTAGGTATTGAATAAACAATAAATGATTATACTAGTATGTCTGGATAAATAGTCTTTCTATTCTTTTGACTTTGTTTTCTTTGCACTGTTAGTGTTGCGTCACGGCTTTTGTCTTGTTACTCTTATCAGTAGACGACTAGACCTGGCTCTGGCTAGTGGCAGTGCGGCAATTGCTCTGTTGTGTCTTTATTCTTAAAGGTCGTGAGCCAACTTAATTTTTAATTCTCATTTGAACATTTTAATTCCTCTGTAATAATAGATATAATAATATAAGAGTGTTTCTTTGGAAATAAATTATTCTTTTTTTTTCTTTTGCCCCAACAAAAATTCGGGGACGGGGACCGGCAGACACCTAACAAAAATACCAAATGAATCAGTCTATAACATTAATCTTACTAGTTAAGTATTAAGAAGTAACAATTTTTCAGACTTATTTTTAAAATGATTTTGGAGTAACCTACCTTGTTTTGGCTAGGTTCACAGTAGTAAAATATTTCACACACTGCTTACATCAAGACAAAAAACAAACCTCTAATCATTTGCAATGTCAAAACAAAAGAATATAAAACAATTAAAGCTATATTTAATGCAAAGAATGTATTAAATAAGAACGCCTTCGTAAAGGAAACGCAACAGCAACGCGCTCCTGTATTGCGGGTATTGCATTGACTTTCTGCAGGCGTTTTTCGTATATGGATACTGACTCCCTCGTGAATCGAATCGTTTTTTGACACCAACTGAATCGAATCGCGATTCGATGCATCGAATCGAATCGAATCGAAATTTCGATGCATTTTCGATGCATCGCACACCCCTAGTTATTGGCTATTTTTACGTATTTTGTGTTAGCCTAAGTGTTTTGTAAAACTGTAACTCAATGTTAAAAAAAAAAACAACGTGTTTGCAAGAACGAAAAGATGATGACGACGTCCGCCTGAAGATGATCCCGTGAGGATTGAAACCGGTCGCCTTTCAAGGTCACAAGAATCACTTGACAGCAGGTAATTTCACCAGTACACATAATAAAGGAATCTCAACAATATCAAATCAAATCAATTTTATTTCAGATAATAAAACATTACATAGAATATGTACAACACAACACTCTGAAATTAGGTCCCTGCAAAGCAAAGCTTGAGTGCAGGGACAGAGTCGAAATATTAAATGAATATTACACTTACAGACTGTGTTACAACTAATAGATAAATATCTCTGTTACAATGCATTGAGACGGATTATAAATAGTTGAATAGAAATAAATTTAAAGGAGTAAAATACTTCTCAACATTTTGGGTCGAGCAGTAAATTTTCTATAAATTGTGTAATAGATTTGCAGCAAGAATTTTAATAGATTGTAAATCTCAAAGAAAATGTTATTTTTTTCCGGACAAAACCCAGATTTAAATCAAATGAATGTCACAAGGTCTTTAAAATACTTATCTCAGCCTCAGCAATTCTTACAACCCTCCGCAATGCAGAGTGGGGCACAACTAAACAAGGAATGGTTCTACCTTTTCTAGGCAGAATCCGGAATAAAATATAAAATCAATAGGGATGGACGGGTCCCGAAATTTCGGGAATTTTTCGGGAAAAAAATATTCCCGATTATCGGGACGGGATTACATTTGACTCGGGAATTTTTCGGGACGGGATTTGGTCCGATCGTCGGCGATTTTTCCGCTTCGCGAGTGCCGATAACGCCGTTATTGCGAGCGACAGGTCCGCGAACAAAGGAGACGAAGTCATGTCGACGATTACGCCGTGACCGCGGAGTCCTACCGACGATCGCGCCGTGACCGCGGAGTCCTACCGACGATCGCGCCGTGACCACGGAGTCCTACCGACGATCGCGCCGTGACCGCGGAGTCCTACCGACGATCGCGCCGTGACCACGGAGTCCTACCGACGATCGCGCCGTGACCGCGAGTCATACCGACGATCGCGCCGTGACCGCGGAGTCCTACCGACGATCGCACCGTGACCGCGGAGTCCTACCGACGATCGCGCCGTGACCGCGGAGTCATGCTGACGATCGAGCCGTGATCGCGAGTCATACCGACGATCGCGCCGTGACCGCGAGTCATACCGACGATCGCGTCGTGACCGCGAGTCATGACGACAATCGCGCCGTGACCGTGGAGTCATACCGACGATAACCCCGTGACCGCGGAGTCATACCGACGATCGCGCCGTGACCGCGAGTCATACCGACGATCGTGCCGTGACCGCGAGTCATGACGACGATCGTGCCGTGACCGTGCAGTCATACCGACGATAACCCCGTGACCGCGAAGTCATACCGACGATCGTACCGTGACCGCGAGTCATGACGACGATCGCGCCGTGACCGCGAGTCATGACGACGATCTCGCCGTGACCGCGAGTCATGACGACGATCGCGCCCTGACCGCGAGTCATGCTGACAATCGCGCCGTGACCGCGAGTCATACCGACGATCGCGTCGTGACCGCGTGTCATGACGACGATCGCGCTGTGACCGTGGAGTCATACCGACGATAACCCCGTGACCGCGGAGTAATACCAACGATCGCGCCGTGACCGCGAGTCATGACGACGATCGCGCCGTGACCGTGAGTCATACAGACGATCACCCCGTGACCCGCGAGTCACAAGTTTCTATAGGTTACCCATTTTTTGGTTTTTATAGATCAGTGCCACAAATGGTAAAAATTGATTTCGTATGTCTCTTTTGGTATCTGCAATACAGTACCTACTTTCTTTTTATGCACAGAAAAAAATCCCGTCCCGTCCCGTCCCGAAAATCGGGAAGGAAATAAAAATCCCGTCCCGTCCCGTCCCGAACTAAAAATTCAATCCCGTCCATCCCTAAAAATCAATAGTGTGCAACTGTGCACATAGGCTAATTATGAAAATTACTCTTTTTTGGAACAATAAAGAAAGCAGAAGACTAAAAATTGAGAGAAATAAGTTTCATTCACTAAACCACCTAACTCTGTCTTAAAGTTTGAATACCTAAGTACTACACCTACAGGGTTATTTTAGCTAAAGGTTTGTTTTATACTGTTATTGTAACTCCAGTAGTCCTGCTTATATACCTAACATAGGCCGGATCCCATTTGTGATGGACCAACAAAGGACTTCTGGATCACCACTTACTTAAGAACATTTTGTAGTTTATACTCACCTAGAGCACAAGCCTCCCAAAGTACAACTCCAAACGACCACACATCACTCTTGGTAACATACATTCCTCGGGCCAAAACTTCTTGAGCCGACCAGCGAGTGTAATCTGGTACCTACCACAAACAACAGAGACTTAGTCTGACAAGTACATTGTACTATTTATTTTTATACTGCATATGCTGTAACTGTATTTCTTGTGTTCTTTGACGTTGTCTTAGCAATGTAATGTTGACAAATGGCAATAGATGTATTCTGAGACTTATAAGGTATCTGTTACAAAAAAAATAGATAACATAAAGGGTACTTGTTACAAACAACAAACACCATACAAAGTCTGCTCAAGAAGTATTTGAATTTGTATGTAGGAATTAAAAAACTGCATTGAGCTGACCCCTGGCGCATAGATCGAGGCAACTGTAAGGCTAAACAACTTCTTGATCAGCATCGTACATCTTGTTAAACTAACGGGAATTACTAAAATACATCTGTAATTACAAGTGTTATTAGATGTATTTTTTGTACTTTCAGTTAACTGTATGGCACATATTGTGACCTTGACATGGCATCAGTTTGTTGCGTGAAAATGTGTAAGTAGTTTTTTTTTGTGCAAAGCAAAATTACGTAACGGGTGGAACAGCGATACTGAATTAAATTTTGCCAAAAACTGGGTTTCGCCAACCTTAAACGATTCTTATGATTCAGCAAGCCTTTGGAGAGAAGCTATGAGTGTAACACAGATAAAAGAGTGGTATCAGTACAACAGATTCGAAGATGGCCGCACTTCGGTGGACAGTGAACCTCGTTCTGGGAGACCATCAACATGTCAAAATGATGAAGTTATCGATCAAGTTTTAGTTTTAGTCATGGAGGATTGACATACTAATGTTTTGTGAACTAGCTACGGGATTTGGAATCAGTATTGGTTCAGTTCATTCAACTTTAACGGAAGATCTGGCTATGCGCAGAGTTGCTGCAAAACTAGTCTCAAAGAACTTGACTGATTAACAAAAGAAAATGCGGCTTAAAGTTGCTCAAGACATGCTTGAATGCATTCAGAATGGCCCAAACTTTCCCAAAACAGTTATTATAACTTGTGATGAATTGTGGTTGTACAGGTATGATCCCGAAACCAAGGCACAGTCTTCTCAGTGGAAATTGTCAACATCACTAAAAACAAGCACGCCAAGTTCGAAGCGAAATCAAAGTCATGCTGTTTTTTCGACTGCACTGGAGTAGTTTATCATGAGTACATACCTGAGAGCCAAAACATTACTAAAGAGTACTACTTAGAAGTTCTAGGCCACATGTGCCATCCAGTGCGTCGCATGTGTCCCGATTTGAGGGCCACGAACTCTTGGAGGCTTCATCAAGACAATGCTCCAGCGTGTTCTTCCAATTTTGTTCAAGGCTTATTGGCAAAACATAGCATTCCTGTGCCACACCAGGCCCCCTACTCACTGGATATGGCACCACCTGACTTTTAGCTGTTCCCTACCTTGAAGATCCCGCTTAAAGGGACCCGATATCAGAGAAGAAGTTCCTGATACAAACAATAGATAACACGTATGGTACCTGTTACAAACAACAGATAAGATTGATACATAATAAAAGTTAAGTACCAAAAAAACAACAGAGGAGTATAAGGGATCACCGCCTCGAGCAAGTTAATGAAGAGGTTAGCTCATACAACTTGCCTGATAATGTTCACATTACAAGTTTCCAAGTTTGATACAAGGCTTGAAATTGGCTGCCATTAATCATTGCATATTAACAAGATCCTTGTTTAAGTATCAGCAATAACAAAAAAAAAGTAAATTATGCTATGATACTCATCCCTATTTCAGCTTGCACTTAGTTTGAAATACACTTAAACTATGTCTCCGTCTAAAAAGTGATGAATAACACATGTATTTACAATAATAAAAATACCCACTAGGCTTATATGATAAAGTTTGAAATAAATAATCCCTCACAACTCAGAGAGAATATTTGTTTATTTCATTAAAACTTTAAATAACTTACCTTATTTCTTCTGCTGTACTGAGCGATACCAAATCCTGTTATTTTTGGTAAAACTCCATCTGCCATGAGGATATTGGAACAGGTCAGCTGTTTATGTACAATCTGTTAAAACAGAACACTTATAATTGAAATGAAAAATCAAATGTTCTGTGTCAGCATAAAATGTCCTTCATATTTTAACAGTAAATTTAAATTTTTGATGACCATTTTGGTTACATAACTCTAACATAGTTTATGTATTTTTCATAAAATTCCACTGTTAGGATATTATAATCAAGGATATTTTGCAAATTAGGATTTAAGAATGAGCAAACTTTAAAAACCAACTGGTCGTTTCTATGGGTACATGCAAGCGGCTTTTCATTTTTCAACTTTAAGACTGTAAAAACTTAACCTTCTCATTTTAAATTATGAACATTACATTAGGAGATGTAAAGTATGAATCATGACTGTTACATTTATACTGGAGATGAATGTACTACTTAGATTACTTATTCAAACCAATATCTAAATAAAATCTAAATTAAAAAAAAATAATATCATGGAACAACGTAACTAAACAGAATATTATGTTTCATAATACACTCAGCTGCCGATTAACCGTGACGGATTAACTGCCTTGCAGCTTAACCGAGATAGTTTCAAGAACAATAAGTAAAATTAAGTGCAGATAAACAAAACATAATTACTCCTCCAGGCGGGACCCACTCAGGTCAAAGACCTCTCCCCGCTTACCCATTCCTCACCCGTGCACCCTGGGCCCACTCAAGGTTGTAGACCAAAAAATGTAATCCAGGTTAGTTGGTGCCTCGTTAATATTTTATTAAAAATTTTATTTTTGTATTTACGTGTAATATTGTGTTTAAAATTGTGTGCTATTTATCATGATTCCCGTGAAATATAACACTCAGGTACCTATATTTTATTGCAATACACTCCACTGTAATGTTAGTTACCACTGTTAAGTATTGTTTTGAATTTTAATAAAATTCCCATTCAATTGATAGATTATTGCAGATTAACCGCGATTTTACACATCCGGGAAGCCTCAGCCCAACTTTATCCCGGTTGATTTAGAGTTGAGCGTACAATACAATCCCATGTCAGTTGGGAACGGGACTATTAGTTATACAAAATTTCTTGACATATCACACTTACAACATAAATTGAAATCATCACACTATTAAAATATCAAAGTGGTTTAAACACTATTGACACATGCCATGACTTAATGCTGGGGTGAGCGGAATTACAATGGAACGGTTAGACATGGTAGTATTATGAGGTTTTACAGTATGAATATAGACTGAACCAATATTTGAAACTTAATTATTTTAGGGTATAGTTGTGAATACAAAATACAAACCCTTTTGGAAGCAAGAAAACTCATTCCTTGAGCAACACCAATCAGGAAGTCTAGGAGAGTAGATTCAGAGAGAGAACAAAATCTAGATTTAGAGAACTCTGAATGTTGTAAGCAGCGACTCTGAAGTAATATGTCCTTCAATGTAGCAGGATGGTGTTCCAACACAATGTACAGGGTGTCTTGACTCTCACAGGTTCCTGTGAGAGAGAGGGTGTTCTTATGGTCTCCACCTCTCACTAACACATCCAAGTTCTCTAACATACTGCGTTTATCATCACTCGGTAAATCCCCATCTGTAAAACAATAAAATCAATGTTGTTTCTACATTCACTGAGCAGATAAGCTATGTATTTCAAACAGCAGTTTCAGCAATTCTAGCCGTTGTAAAAACAACAGAACCTAAGAAATGCTTCTTCACTCATTACTTCTTTTCCTTCGTTTTTCCTACACTGACTTTTCCTATATTTTCTTATAATTAATTAGAAGACTTAAAAAAAGATAAATATCTTGTTGAAAAAAGGATAAAGTACAAAAAAAGTTGTAAGTACAATTTTAATAGCTTAATATTATGTTTTAAAAGTAAGAACCTGAAATATGCTGATATATCTAGGAATAGGATGGCAAAACGTAGAAAGATGACCTCAAATCCATTATTATGCCGAAATACCCACACTTCCTGCCTAATCACAGCCTTTTTTGCCAAAAATGTTTCATGACTATTAGTGATGGTCAAAACCAGAAATTTTGAATCTCATAACCGAAACCGAAACTTTTTAGAAATCGAATCCCGAATCTCAAAACCTTAACGCAAAACTTTTTTACTTAGCTGGTTACATAGGTCAAGGTTACAAAAATATAGGTAATTAATAAAATGTTAAGTATGCAATCAAAACTGAAAGAGATCTACTCCTGACACTGACATAACATAAATACTTATCTGATAATCTCAAACTTGAATAGGGCCTACATCTTTTTTTTATAAACAACCAACATTAAAATAAATTAAACCCCTAACACCAACATAAACATGAATATTAGACTAATTAGAACATTTAGTAGTCAATATTTCTCTATGAAATATTGATGTGAAACTGAATTGTAAGTCGTTTGAGTTATAGTATTTAAGATGCCTTTTGAAGTTCAGAATACAATTTACTTGTTTCATTACTTTTGATGGTGATATGTATGCTCTATTGCTACGAGCATGTGTGGAAACAGTGTTATTAACAATAATAATGACACAAAATATGTCAGCAGTTTTAAAAATAAAATTGCCAAAATCTTAAATTTCAAAACTTTTGAATCTCAAAACTCGGTGTTCGAATCTCGAAACCGAAACTTTTCCAAAGTTTTGATGGTTTTGAGGTTTTAGATTCGGTTTTGACACATCACTAATGACTATTCAAAATGTGGACAACCCTCAACAATATATGTAAGTTTTTGTATGCAAATCTACTCAGTAAGTAGTCTTGTAGTAAAAATGCACATCATTATTAACATTGAACAAATGACAATAAATAATCACCTTGTATAGCATAGATGGCAACTGGAGTCACTTGGCCCTTTCGCTGTACAGTCCCTTTGTATACTGTGCCGAAATTGCCTTCCCCTAGAACTTCAGGTTGTAGGTCCAAAAAGTTACGAGGAATATTCCAGATTCTCTGATGTAACATATCATAGTAATCTACTTTCTTGTTCTCCTCCTCTGGAAGATATTCGTCGTACACAAAGGCACTGTTTTCCTATGAAACATTTTGCAATTTCAGATATGTGTTTATCAGCAATACATTCTTAGTAGGGGTCTGCGGTGCACCGAAAAAGTCGGTACGGTACGGTACAAGCTTAATTACCGTCATCGGTTCGGTACAGCATTTTACACGGTACAAATTCGGTTCGGTACAGCCTATTATAATAATAAATTACTTTCAGTTTACTATCGTAGTCAACGGCAGTTGGTTCCAAGCACATAAAAGTCTTATCAGTTGTTTGTTTACGATCTTCATAATTTATTACTAGCGTGATGATGCAATAAAAAACCCATTAGCAGTCCCAAATCCATTAACATTTTATCACGACAATAATTGTTGTATTGAAGTACTTCCAAGAACTGTTGAGTTTTATCACTTTTATTTCTTTACGACTTTCCCCAATTCTGTTTTATCATAAAAATAATAGTTTTATGATGACTGTTAAATGTTATCTCTAACTTAATCAGTATTTTCATGAATATTGAATTTGCCGCTAGCCATTGCCTACTGCCATAAAACTGTTTATGGCTACATATTAAACTTGTAACTAATCTACAATCTTATTTTATAAATTAAATATTTGTTATGGATATTTTATCTTTCTATTGACGACCATGGATATATACAAACTTTTGTCGTGATTTTAATTTTAACATCAAAATACAATATTGCACAATCGTGATATTTTAGGCTATTGACCTTTATTATGCATCCGGTATTGCTGTTTCAGAAGAGAAGCACGTTGATAAATTATAAATTGATATTCCCGTAGTTAAAAAGAATTATTTTACAAACCTATAAAACAAAATCATAAAATCTTACATAAAGATAACAATAACGGAAATTGTAAAAAGGGTATAAAGATAACAACGTCAATCTTTATCTTTGTTCTTCTATTTCTTGGGTTTCCCTTCATCACGCATTCAACAAGTTGCCATGGTTACTAATCACCCATGTCGTTATCAGCTTTTGTGACATAGCGCACAGCAGGGGGTAAAACTTGACGAAAATCGGTTAATTTTTACCTATTATTTAATTACCAATGAATGTACGGTACTACTTTATTAGTATTTGGTATTGTATTAATAATCGGTCCAAATGGCAGATTTTTGTCAAATTTTACACCAAATTTATTGAAATTTCAACAATTATTACCAAATATTTGTATTCATTTAAAAGATTGATTTGTGGTATTGGGTTCCCCACTGAGTGCAGCCGAGCGGCACTAATGAGGGTCGGACCTTCTTGGGGGTGAACAATAGACGGCTTATCAGACCCTCCCCTCCCCTCCCCCGTGGTCTGGAGAAAGCTTGTAAGCAAACTATTGCACAAGCGCGCGTGACTTGACATTGGGCTGCTTCAATTATAATTTTGTCAAATGAACTGTGATGTTTCAAAATCAAAAACAATAATTTGGGACCATACTGCTTAACAATAATGGACTGCAATTATTGTTGAACATACAATCCATTTTTAACAAACTAAGATTATACGATTCAAATACAATTATAAAAATTATTTTGGTATTTTACTTGGGGTAATGAAGTTATGTAGGCTAGTGTAATTCTCGGTTCATCAAGGTTCTACTGAATTATGTTTGGCAGTGAATAAGTGTAGAATGCAATTTATAAATTTAGGGATACACACCTTTTACACAGTTATAAAGTCTAATTGCCCAACATCAAATCTTACTCTGTGATAATCCAAATTTTAGTTTCAGAAAAAAACTTTGCAAGAATTGTATCCATCTTATAACTTAACTAGTTTTGAAGCTGATAAAAAAAAAATGGTCTTTGCCATTACTTCATCATAACCTCCAGTTTTTCATTGTCATCTGCTGTGAACAGCTGGCAAAACTACACTGTCTTCTACTGAATGCTTTTATATGTTAAAAAAAAAAACAAAAAAAAACAACTTGACATTGTGTTGTTTGGAAATAATTTACCAGTTTTGTGAAATTATCTTGTCAATAAATGTTTCAAACATGTTTATTCATAAAAACTCTTATCCTATTTTTAAACTACTTTATCATGGCTATTCAAAGTATCTCAGAGTAAAATAGGTAAAGCCTTTATCTCAACTGTGATTTTTCTTGACACAATCCTCGTAGTAGTAAAAGGTTTTGTTTTAATAATATGTGGTACAGTAATTGTTGTTAGAAAACCATGAATGTAGGATACTATCCATTTTCATAGTAATGTCTATGTATTAAAGTTAAAAATAATGGTTTAGATACAGTTCTGAGAAGAAAACCGCAAAAATACGGGTAGCCGCGTACCGTACCGATTTTGTACCGAGAACCGAGGTACAAAATATTGTACCGTACCGAACCGTACCGACCTTAAATTTTCTGTACCGCAGACCCCTAATTCTTAGGAAAAATACTGTTATTTTTACAGGATTTTAATTATGGCACTGTTGTTGATGTCCAGGAAACTACAAACTTATAATACATTTCAATTAATATAAAGTGTGATGAAATAAATTTTTTTGCAAATCTACTAAAGTAAAAAAAAGTATTTGAGAGAATTGAATTTATTGCTTTTGATAACTCCAGCAATTAATTAATACTGAGTTCGCGAACCAGCATGATCGGACCATGGGAACGGGGGTTTATGGGGTACAAATGGGGTTTTCCCATTTTTGACCCTAAAAACATAAAATTTTGGAATTTCTTTCCCAACCATTTTGTAGAGCTTAAAAAAGAAATAATTTAGTATATTGAAACATTGTTGAATGCCTAATGGTTACGGAGAAAACTCAAAGAAGTGTAAATTTAAAATTCCGATGTTATTCTTATGGAGAAAATGAAAACTGTTCTAGTTAACTTGTTTATGGATATATGTTGATAAAATTTGGCAAATTGATTTATTTCATCCTATAGCCTACTATTGACGTTTGGTAAAAAAACACTTTTTACCTTCCCCGTAGCAGCAAACCTAAGCATTTGTTAAATCGAATGTTATTTAAATTGGGAATAAATATGTCTTATTTATGGAAATATTTGAGTAAAATTGTAATCAGACAAGTTGAAATTCGCTTAGTCTGCAGGTTTTCTGCGGCAGGGGTATTTTATTCTGTTAAATGAACTGTGATGGTTAAAAAACAATAATGAGGGAGCCTACTGTATATCAATAATGGGATGAAATAGTTGAATACATGACAGATTATTAAACACTGGGATTAAAAAGTACAATTTTATAATATTTTTTGGCATTTTCTTGGGATAATGAGGTTGTAACGTAATTTTCGAGTTATCTATTGACCACGGTTGATCCGCTCCTGGTTAGTCAATATTCTACTGTATTATTGAATCACAAGATACTGACCACTTCTGTCATTGGTCCTCGCACATTCAGCTCTTGTTGGTCCCTTCGCAAGTAACGACGGCCACCATACTTCTTGTGGACAAAGATGTAAATGCAGATTGACACCAGCAGCAGAAAGCCACACACTATGATTGCTCCCTTCAAGATTGTTGTTAACCCGTCATTGTTGATTGATCCAACTAGAAAAATATTTCACAAAATTATTGTACATTTTAAAATTGTTAATCAAGTAGATGCCAAATAAATAGACAGACTCCGAGACTCACCGAGGTTGGAAATAAGTTCTACAGTACAAAATTTATTTTAACATTGTAGTGACTTTGACAAAATACGATGGTCATTATTTAAGAAAGTAGTTTTTGCTTATAGCTACCTGGTTCGCATGTACACCACAACGGCTCCTCCCCGCTTACTGGCATCATTTGTGAACAGAAAGACACAATTTGCAGCTCTGTAGCTGACGTGTACACTTCACTTTGCTGTGTTTTTAAATTATTGAACCTCCCGCCACGAACAAGATAAGGTCAGTCGTTTATTGACCACAAGGAACATATCCGATGCCGACAATCATCGCCAGATGACTGAAGGATATTGATCTAATGCAATGAGTGAGGGTATAGTGTTCGGACATGGGTTATGGATAGTAAAAATGGCCGTGAAAACCTTTTTCCTTTGTGGTATTCCAGAAATTGGGGGCCCCCTAGAAATTGTGTAGACCCCTCCAAACCTAGAATCCCAACACCCTGAGCTAGCTGGAGCGCCTATGGAGGGTTACAAACTACGCAACCATACACAAAATCGGCCTTTACAAAACCACCCATGTATGTACATTGAGTATCAATATACTTATTCCCTTTAATTTTAGTAGTTAGCTTTAGTAACATTAGACTTAATTGATTTTTTAATGTTGGCTTACCTGGAGGAACATCCAGAAGGACAACTCCTTGTTGGGATCGAGAGCGGGCAGATGAAGAATAAGAAGCCTTAGTGATTCCTTGGAAGCTGCTAACCACACCCAAGGTAACCAAGAACTGTCTGTTAGCCTGTAGTGGAGCGTTGTAATAGTCTCGGTCACCTTCAATCTTGTAATGCTTACCATCACCCACCACAAACTCTGTTCCATTGGTTACACTCTGTCAAAGTATACTTAGTTATTGTATCATGTTTTTAAGTTTAAGTTTAAAGTTTTTAAGTTATTTATCATATTTTTTATACAGTGCAAAAATGCCAAACTTGTAATATTGCCACACACTACACTTTAGGGATGTTTTTGCCAGTTACTTCAACTTTAATGCAATTTTTATGCAAAATAAATACTGTTTATACCTTTAGCATTAATTCAAATTCACATAGGTTGTGATAAATAGTTAAATATAATAAAAGGTTTTAAGACTTGACACAAATAACAATAAAAATGAACAAATGTTACCTCCGGACTTAGCTCCGCTGCAATGTAGTATGGAAGATCTTCTTTCTTGTATTCATACCAAGACTTGAGGTATTTATGATCAAAAAACGTTTCTTCTTCGGAGACAATGATCCTATATTTACTGATAGGACCAAATTCGTTTATGGCTGGTTTCAGTCTAACAGTTATTGTCCCTTTGTCTTTTTTTACTACTTCAGGGCTTTCAGGAGGGGATGGTTCTGAAACATATAAACTTTAAAAAAAAACTGAGCTTTTCCATGAATAAAAATATGAAAACAAATACGAGGGCTATCCAGAAAGTGACCGACGTTTTGGCCTTGCGCGGCAGTTGGTGGGGCTAGGACCACCATCTTGGCGTCAGAGTGTACCTACACTCAGTAAGCAGCCAGCCGTGGTAGCTAGAGCATCGTGGCTTCTGTACTTTGTATGCAGTGGAGTTTTGAAGTGAGCGCTACAATTATAAATCACGCCAGTTGTAACAACAGGAACTCTACGAAAACATATGAGCGGCCATCGACATGATGTAAAAACAAGCAAGGAAAAACCAGTTGCACAACATGCGTTATCTCATCAACGATTAGACAACTGTTTCATTACAAGAACACTAAAATCATTGCCAAAAACCAACGCAATCATAAAAGATGGGAACTGGCTTACTAGATAGATAGTCACCAACTCCAGAACACCAGCAAACCCCAACATGAGATAATATCCTTCTATCCTCACCCTCACAGTTAATTCTTTAAGAATTTATGTACACGTAGATAAACCAATTTGCTTTTCAATTTATATATATAATATTGCAACGTGTCTGTATTTAGTGCTTTGTGTTGCTTCAGTTGATTAACCCGTCAGCCATTTTGAATTTAAACTTTGACATCTCATTTTAAACTGTTGTCTTTGAAACTGCCGCATACTTCTGCCTCTGAAAGATGCAAAATATCAAGTCTTTATGTGTGTGAATATAACTTATTTGTGCTGTAACTAGTCTGCAACCTTTCCTCATGTGAGTTATCTGTGTTCTCTCCATCCTATATAATTCTTTAAATTAAAGAATTGATAATTAGTAATTAACGAAATATGAAAAAAAACCTAATTTAACTATTGCAAACCATGTTTTAGAAATTATTTTTTACATTAAATACCCTCGATTAACAATTAAGTAACTTAGGCTGAAAACTTATTGAATAACTCTATCTAGTATCTAGCAAAGAATAATTGATCCGGATATGTAACAATTCTACTCAATTGATCATTGGGTCGAACAAGATGAATCAAGGTGAAAAAGATATACTGTACCGTACTCAAGAACTTGCCAATGAAATTTTTTTTGTCAAAATCCAAAATCCATTTTGGTGTCCAATAATAACTAGGACTAATATACTCTGATAATATATCCTCACCTCATTCAATTTAAATTGATTGCCTTCGCTGGACTCTGATTTTAAATACCCAGACATATATATATATATATTTTAAATTCAGTAATGAACCTAATGCAAAGTGAATTTCATACCTTGTGGTATTTAAAAGACGTACAAATTGCAAAACTAACCAAACAGTAATTTAATCTTCAATCAAACCACTAGCCTATTGGTCACCTTTGATTTGAGTCCACACCAGAATGTTTGCAGATCGCCCGGCACCAAATTCATTGGCAGCAGTGATTGAAACATTGTATTGAGTCCCAGGTGACAGGCTGAGCAGACCAACCCTTGTGAGACTTGCAGGGTATGTCCAAGATCTGGGATGTACAGGTGACTGGGAGAAGGTTTCACTTGCGTTGGCAGTTATGTAATACAAACTGAGGTTCCCATTGGCTGCGTCGGGAGGTTCCCATTGCAGTCCAATTCTTGTTTCCGTAATTCCTGTTTGGTTGACAATAATATTCTTTGGTGGTCCAGGTACTAGAACAAAATTGGCCTTTAGCTACACAATACGTTGTTGGTTTTGAACAAACTTTTCTACATTTATACTATTGTGAGAAGATTTGAAAATAAAATCTGTGCTATTATTTTCTATTTTGATTCAGTCAAATTGGCCTAAGCGAATAGCTTTAGACAACCATATTCACTGATAGTTGTTTTTTATATACAGTCGGATCTTGATTTAATCAATCTGAATGGATTTAACAATAAATAAAAAAACATTAAATGTTGGTTAATATTTGTTGTTGGTATTGTTAAAGCTTTTATTGTTTAAAGGATTATTGGGGATATTTCTATTGCAATAATAAACATCAGTAAATATTTTACACTAGGCCTATTTAAGTTACTTTGCAATATAAAAACCACCAAACGCTCACATGCTCTGATGGCCATAAAACACTCCAAATGTCATTTGTTGATGTCTACCTAGTGGGCAACTTCAAAAATAAAATAATTCCGAGCTGTAAACTGCTATGACAGTTGCTGAACTGACATACATGGCAAGGTGGTCAGTGGTTATGGCCACGCTAAGATAGCAGCAGAGATTTAAACGATTCTGCAATGTTGACATCACCATTACAACTGGTCAACAAAAGACGATGGATTTGTAGCTACCATAAAATTCTGTATCATAGAACAGTGCCCTGTTAAGCCTATGGAAATTAAGAAAACCAATTAAGATAACATGAGTCATATCCGTCTTGATTGCACAGATACAGTAATTATGTCAAGACAAAGAAATGAACAATTCTGGGAAATATTTGTCAACCTTTGGCTATGTTGAGGAATGTAGAGGTTTATTTAGCAATAAAGTTGTTATTAGCAAGGGTAGGCTACTCAACTTTCTACAGACTTGTTACATTGAGATTTTGAACCAGGCCTATTAATTAAATCCATAGATAGTATGGATCATCATAGCTAGTTCAAGGGGATTAAAACATATTAAGATATAATATAATCTCAGTGGTGTTTTATTTACTACTTTAATTAAGATATTAATAAAGGCTTTACATTAGCATTTTGTACTAGTCAAACTGAATTTCAAATAAAAAAAAACTCTAGACAATCATTGTAAATCAACCACAGACCTAAGAATCCTGTAGCATATACACTGGTTGCTTGTAAACCACCACACAACTGGGTAGAATTTCCGTAGCATTGCTGTGTACAGTTGCCAGCGCCTTGGCTTCCGTAACTACTTCCACACAAACACGATTGGCCATTTAGAATTCCTGCATATCTGTTAAGTAAACAAATATACAAATATTATAATTTTTAGGGCCCAGATGAACAATAAAGTAATTAAGACTACTATTAACTATGGAAAACCATCATAAATGGTTCATTACAATCCATTTTTAGCCCCTGAGCTGTGATAGTATTAATAATATTAATATTATTATAGCAAATGCTTTGCGCGTATTGCGGGCCAAGTACAGACCCCTGGGGAACGCCACAGTTGCTAGTAGCAATAGAGGAAGTCTCTCCTCCTATGCAAACCACCTGCCTTCTATCCGCGAGGTAGGTCTCAAGGAGACTGAGCGCACCACCATGGATCCCGTAATACTGCAGTTTGCGCAGTAGGATGCCATGATCAACACAGTCAAAAGCCTTACTTAGGTCGACAAACGTGGCCCAAGCATAGTTGCCGCTCTCAAAAGCGCTCAAGACTGTGCGGACCATGCCATCAACAGCACCCATGGTAGAGCGACCAGCCCTGAAACCAAACTGATGTTGATTAAAAAGTGAGTTAGATTAAAAAAACTTACTGATTTGATCATAAATTACATGATCAAAAATCTTTGCCAAGACAGGAACCAGACTTATGGGCCGATAACTACCCACATTATTCCTATCACCTTTCTTAAATTTAGGAATGATTTTGGAAAGTTTGAGACACTCGGGAAAGTGTCCCTCTAGAAGACAAGTGTTAATGCTATAGGTGAGAGGTACAATGATTAGGTCAGAAACCTCCTTTACTAACCAGTTAGAAAAGCCATAATAGTCCCTGCTTTTGCTATTTTTCATTTTACCTATTATTGACAAAATGTAGTCACAAGAGACAGGGGCAAAGTTAAAATTCTTATTACTAACAGGGAAAGTACTTAAGAGGTCATTAAAATTAACATTTGGGCGATTAATTTCAGATCTAACTTTGTCGACAGAGTCAATCAATGATTTGTTAAAAACATTTGGATCTAGACACAATAGACACAATAGACCAATAGACACTTGGATTGGTTCAACTTGTCCCATGTTCAAGCTTGGCTTGATTAATAATTTTCGGTTTGTGTACAACGATTCTTCAATGGACTGTTGGTCCAACACAATCCAAAAACAGCGGGGACCCATAGAGGCAAGTGGGGAAAATGCGTGAACTATTTCCAGGAGTTCTTTGGCCACCCTGTTACACTTTTTGCATTTATCTATTGTTTCGGCCAAAATATTTACATAGGACTCAACATTTTAAATTGCCTTAAATGTATAAGCTCAATTGTTACAGCATATAAGTTTAGGGACAAAAGTATTTATCCATAACCAAAACCAGATGGAAGTTAAACAAGAAGTGTGAAGATCAATTATGTTTTTAAGATGAACCATTTATTAAAAATAGGTATTTACTTTTGTCTAAAGCTCAAACTGTCGTACAACGCATTTGCCTAGACGCTTGACCACCAAGATGTTTGATTTTGTCACAGATGCTGGCGACGTTCACAATTTTGTTGTGATCGTGGGGGACAAATATGTTCACGATATCAACATGACGGTGGAAGATGTTCTCGGTTTTTCCACGACTGTGGATGGCATTCACGATTTCGCCAGGCGGTGGAGGATGTTTTAAATTTTACAGCGACTGCTGAAGATAAGAACAGTTTGTGTGACGATGGAAGATGATCTCAATTTTGGCGTAACCGTGGATAGTGTTAACAATTTCATCATGACCGTGGAAGTTGTTCACTATTTCGTTGTGACCGCAGAAGATGCCAGAATTTTACAATGACTGTGGATTGATTACAATTTCAAATTGACTCAGTTTCCCCAGGATTCCCAATTCGTGGCCACCCTGTATAACTCTGTTTGATTGCAATAAAAATTACTCTATCTCATTTAAATACAGTACAGGTCAATAAACATGCTTAATATTTCATCTCTTCCTGTAATGCACCAAATTGCTCCTGCGACCCATAGTTTGCGAACCACTGCTAGGCTATATGATGTTAAAACATGTATATCAAACAAATTAAATTGCTATTTGTTACCTATAGCACTATGTAGGCCTAAGATTTTAAACATTTTTACTTTACTAAACCTAAATTTAGATAAAACCTTATTTCTGATCAGTAGCAGGCATATTGATTGAACCGAGAGGCTTAAAAGCTAGTCTTAAACCGCAATAACTTCATCAACAGATTAAAACTTTTTGAAACCTTACCCCAATTTATGGGTAAATGTTTTTAAATTGCCAGTGCAAATTAAACGTATTAAGTCAACAGAGCCATTTAAAAAAGAGATGTCAAAGTTGCTTACTGGTATGGATAAAACTTATAGTGAACAAGATTTTTTGAATGATAATTTTTGACGTATTTCATACTCTTTTCTAAACCTTGTTTATATTTATTTATGTTTATTTATCTAGTTTTAAGTTGATTTGTTATTGAACTAGACAATTTCGCCTGTTTACCCAGCCAATGTAAGCGTTTCAATGTAAACGTTTATGTGAAAATAAATAATTGACTTGACTTGATTAGTTAGGCTTACCTGAAGAAATGCTCCAGACAAGATGACAGGCAATTATCTACTGTCTGGGCAGCTGATGTGCCATTAATATACAAAGCCAGGTCTGAATGGTTTGCAGACTGATGTTGGAAACATCCAATATACTCTCCATTTAAATCTAAGTTTTCAATTTCCTTGATATTTATGAAAACTGTAAAAAATATTAAAAATACGAAATTCATCTTCTTGTGATACCTGTAAAAAATTGTTATTTTTATTTACTGTATAATGTAATAAAAGGACAATTAAGTTTAGGAGTGTAGCCAGAGGACTTAATTCCAACAGCAAAATTTAAAGGTCTAGCTAGATAGAGCTCGTGCGTTTCTTGGTGAAGCCTGGGGGTAGGTGGTTAGAGTGGCTCTGAACCGGTTTTGTAGAGGTGGGGGATGCCGAAAATCAGTCTGCGCTCTCACCCTGTCCGAGCAACATCGCAGATACACTCTTTTTCAAAAACATTCGGGATGCCAGTTTGATTATCTCAAAACTTATTTTGTTTATTTTTAAGTTTACAACGTGGTGTGGAAATACAATTTTTTTAGGTACGTTTAAGCCATAGTTTTGTATAATTAGTAACGCATTATTTGTACTTGTTTTTGCCCACGAAAAATCTCTGGCTCATTAACAAGTAAATTTTGGAGTATTAAAAATAGCCTACTCTAAATTTTAATATGGAGAATTTTATAAAACATGCTATACTTCGTCCATAAATATTTTCATATTCCTCTTAATTAGGTAAAAAATTTTATCTTTATTGAAAATACTCATCACACAACTATCGTGTGAGCAACCTGAACCGCCTCCGCACCGCAGTCCGAACTCCGTGTCTTTAGTCAGACTAGTAGCAGAATAGGACGACGACGTCAACTTCCCCTCTCGTGCTCGGCTCCCCACTTGCCACTACAGCCCCTCATACCCAGGCGTCACGAAGAAACGCACAAACTTTAAACTATTCCAGCAGCCTGTTTACAGAGACCTATTACTGATGTATCACAATATAAATAGGTTATTTTTAGGGAATTTCCCATAGTCTATAGGCCTAGGGAATAAGCTATTACCGATCTCTTGGTAAAACCTAGGCCCGGGACCGATTTACTTTGTCATTTTAAGGTCCCCAGAGGCCAAAAACACCATCCGTTCAAATTCATATATATATAAATATATACATAGGTATACGTGTCCGTTAGCATGATAACTTGAGCAAAATTGATCCGCTTCTGATGTAATTTCATACTAAGCTATCAACATTTCAATCAAAAACACACCTCGATACCTTCCCTGTAACAACAAACCTTGGTACCTACTCATTAAAATGAATGTTATTTAAATAGGAAATAAATCTGACAATTTTCAGGGAATATTTTTGTAGAAATCCAGCCAGGTAAATGGAAATTTGCTTAGTCTGCAGGATTGCTGCGGCCCTTGGGGGTTAAAAGGGCATGAGTTTACAACACATTTATTGGGTGTGGACCAATCCCTTCAAACCTTTTTTTATTCGCTTTTATAAAATGTCATTGGCTTAAATTAGGCCCTACAAAAATTCATACATGTCCTTTTAGTTACAAAAAAATAAAATCATTAGTGAATATTCATTCAGTAAAGAGTTTAAACAGTAATTATATCGACCTCCGAACCTCACGCGAAATTAAATTTTTTTTTCAAAATGGTCTCTACACTGATTTCAAAAATGACTGTCGTTTTTCCCGGATAATGGAAAAAACGGGAAAATTTTTTTTACTCAAAACCCATGTTGTGGGTACTCAAACTGAGCGGAATTTCATCCAGAACAAGAATATGTAGTTTCGGACTACTAAGCGGGCCGCTGGCTACTCATATACTGCCGCATAGCGCTAGCATTGCGGGTGACTCTAAGCCATTGTGGAATGCGGGCTTTATTTTAGGTTAGGATTGTTTCGGTTAGGTCAAATTTTGGTTAGTAAGGTTAGGTTAGTTTACGGTATCAATAACATGAGTATTGTAAGTAAACTAACCTAACCTAACCTAACCAAACCAAACTTAACTTAACCTAAGATAATAACCTTACCATAGTTAGTGGAATGTGGGCTTTATTTTGGGTTAGGATTGGTTAGTTAATCAATAACATGAATAGCCTATTGTAAGTAAACTAACCTAACCTTACCAACCTAAGCTAACCTAACCATATGGGTTGTGAAACATAACTTACCCTTTCTCTCACGATCACAATGATCAGCTGGCCTGCTAATGAATAGGCCTACTGAATACCTTTGTTAATTAAATATGGCCCGCTTTTCCGGTGATATTTAACTTAATAGCGTAATAAAAACTAGGCTACATTTTCTTGTTCAGGATGAAATTTCGCACAATTTGAGTAACTTACCCACAACATGGGTTTTGAGATAAAAATGTTTTTCCTGTTTTCCCCATTTCCCGGGAAAACGGGACGTTTCAATCAACGGTCAAACGACAATCATTTTTGAAATCACCGTGAAATTTCGACCATTTTGAAAAAACAAACTTGTATTTCGCTTGAGGTCCGGAGGTCGATATAATTACCGTTTAAACGAGAGAGGTTAGGCTAAGCTAATATAACTACAGCCCGTCCTCGCTAGTCCGACGCTTTGAAATCCGACGTACTTGGTAATCCGACACGCCGTCAGGCGCCGCTACGGGAGCAAAAAATCAAGCATGCAGTGACATGAAACACTGTGACTCACGTCTCGTTGCCGTCGGAGCACTTCCGTTCAGTGTTCAGTTGACTTTCGAGACGTGCAGTACACTTTCCCGGTGCAGTGGTATTTTCTTTGTAGTAAGTGCAATTGTGTTTCCTTTATTCTGTGTTTTTAATTCTTCCCAAGAATTGAATGGTGATTAATACATTGTTTAAAATTATAGGCTAGTTATGTCTTTTTGGCAATCAAATGCAAACAGAATAGCCATTTTCGATAATCCGACGTTTTTGGTAATCTGACACTACGTCAGTCCAGTACCTGTCAGACTAGCGAGGGCGGGCTGTATTGGATCTTAAGAAGTTATGACACTTCTTTTGGTATGTTTTGGCCTTCCTATAGCCTTAGCCTCTATCACTGAGAAAGCCATTATAAGTTTAATTTGAGCTATCAATTGAGGCCCAGCGAGCTTGAAAATTCATACAACTACCTACCTAAGTTAGTCGGTGCCTATCCGGCCCTGGCTGGTCAAAGACAAAGAGGAGGTAATAGCTGATTAGCTGATTTTCAAATAAGAGGGCAGCTTCACGGTCACAATCTGAGAAACAACAACCTGATCTCTATTCCCAGATGCCGCACTTCTAAAGTGAAGGACAGTTTCCCACTACTGGCTTGTAAGATACTGAGAATAGACTGCCTGAGAACATTAAGAACCTGGAGCCGAAACTGTTCAAAAAGAAGTTAAAGTCGTGGTGTTGCCAACAGAGCTTTTATTCCTTGGACGATTTCTTTGATGCCCAGTTAATTTTTTAATATTTTTAATGCCGCCTGACACTCAAGTTAATTAAATAATAATAATTATATGTGTAAGTATTTTTTATTTGTAAGTTTTAAGATATTATGATATTTGTATCATTACTGACGCGACCTATCCAGAAATGGTCAACGGTTAAGAGGATGGTAATTATGAGGCCTAATCGATAATAGGATAGCCCATTTAAGAAACTGTACTCCGAGAATCATTGTTTATAGAAATAATTTAGCAAAAATGTAACTTAATCAGACAAATTGAAATTAGCTTAGTCTGAAGGTTTGATGTTTTTTTTTTTTTTTGTCCTAGGACGGGCTCGTTTTTCACATTAGGCCTACTTCAGGCTAGACCTAGAGGTTGCGGCATTATCACTTAGATAAAATCCATTGGTGACTTGGCGGGGATCGAACCCGGGACCTCAGGGACTGAAGTCTTGCGCTCTAACCACTGCGCCAGCTCGCTCCCCTCGCCAGCTTGCTGCTGAGGTGGTAACTTATTGAATGTTATGATGGGCTTCAATTGAATTATAAAAAAAACTGTAAAATATCTCAGTTCAGCTGAGGCGCAATAAGCTGCCATACAAAAAAGTTTAAATGGCTTAATCTTTCGGTCCTTTTACCTAGCAGATCACAAATGGAGTGTCCAAGCTAAGTCCATTCTCAAACCTACTAGCCTATGTATGGTTAGAATCTACCATGAATGGTTGTCTAGATGCTTAGCAAACAATAATCGCTTTTACTATTTGACCAGGTTGTCATATTTTAAATATATCCATCACCAACAATGTAGGCTACTAATTAATATGAAATGTAGCAAACTAAATGTGTAATATAACCAACTTACTATTTATTAACATAGGGCGTGTCAAACTTAAGATAACTAACATACCAAATTTACAAGTTATTGTGAGTAAAAAATAGATCAAATAATACTTCAAGAATATTGTTCCAAACTAAACTAATTTTCATTCATGAAAATAAATATTAACTAAACTTATATTGTACAATAGTTTTATTTTTAACATTGTTTGGATTGGAATGTGGAAGGTTAACTTGTCGACCGAATTGTTTAAAAAAGATCGAAACCGAACTGAACTGACGAAAAGATAAAACAAAACAAAGCAATCAACGTCATAAACAGCGAATATTCCAAACCGATTGACTCACTTCACTTCACTTCAGGCCTCCAGGGCGGACTGGACTGACTAGAACTACATTGCAAACTTGATCATTGTCAGTTTACAGACTGGGGGCCCATTTCATAATTTGTAATTTCCATTAGATTTGCATTGGGCGATCAGCTGGATTTACTAATAATATTAGTTTATACTTTATTATGATTATTTTATTATTATTGCTATCTTTCATATGTATTTATTTACAGTCTTGTGAGCACGGCCACCTTTAACTACTTGTGAGTCAACAGTATTAGACGTATATCTTTTGTTTTTCATTCAATTAACTCGGACTGAATATTGTGCGTCAAGAGGACCCAAAAGAGGGTCGTTATTTTTTTACTTACCCTATTACCATAGACTAACCAACACAAGTAGACTTCTCATCCCATTGTAAATTTTGAAGCACGTTTTTGGTGTCTAGTTCATGTACGTGACACTGGGCGCTAGTGTCGACGAAACTTTGTTTCTATTATTTTAGGGTTAATTTCTCGATTTGTGCTTTACTGTTTGGTTATATAACTAGGGGACAAGTTATTGTTTATGATTAGATCGTATTATTTGGTTAAACGAGGTTTTAAATGGCTGTAATAACGGGAAACAAATTGTAAACAAAACACGACCTCTACATAAACGTACAGAACTAACAATAAAATTGTCTTCAGCTGTTCCATAAGGAAACTAAACTACATATTACAATAAAAAAAAACACTTTTAACTCCCCTGTTGCAGAAAAGTACTCGTGAAACTAATGCTATTTAAATAAGGGGTAAAAGTTGCCCAATATTTTTCAGTATAAATCCAATCTGGCAAATGTAAGTTCACCTAGAGTCTGTAGGTTTGCTGAAGCGGGGGTATTTTCATTTTCTTGTTCCTATGGTTTATGTGTTTCCGGTTTTTTGTCTCCTGTTGTATGTTTGTTCGCCCAGGAATTCGTTTAAATTGTAAGAGAGGCGCCCGATGGGATAGTTTTTAGCTGAGAAGAGAATTTTCTTGGGTTTTGAATATTTTAAAGCCGGTTTGGTAGTAGGTCGTATCATTGGTTGTGTTTAATTTTTATCCCTCTATATTTAAATATATATACAGGGTGTCCCGGAACTCTCTACCAATATTTTATGGCATTGCTCCTGGGTAAGAAACATACCTAAATATCATATTTAAATTGTCCGGAAGTCCTTAGTTACGCACACAGCCACCATTTTGTTTTTTCAGTTATTAATTTTTTTCTAAAGAATGGTTTAACATACGAAATGGAAACTTTGCACAAACATTTATGACAACTAGACAAAGCTACAAAAAAATTATGACGATTTTTCAAATTCAAAAAACAAAATGGCGGCCATTTAAATTTGTATAAAATCAACGGTTTTTGAGTTAATTAAGAGACAAAATTTTTAATAAATAAATGAATAAAGAGTTTAAAAAGACAAGAGAACAAGAAACACCACTCAGTTTACATGCACATTGATTAATAAATATTCTAACCTATCTATACATAAGAAATATAACAACCTATAATAAATTTTGTTGCTTGCGCAGGGAAGTCAACCGGACCGTAGCCTTCCTTCGAAAACTAAGCCGAGCGATTATTAAGGCGGGGATTATTAGGCGAGCACTATAACCACTCAGCTGCAGCCAGTTTGTTTAATCTATGGTTTAATCAAATATATAACTATTAAAGCCAACTTTTTCACTTTTTTGTGTATGCTGAATAAAAATCATAGATATGATAGAAGTTTCATGGTGTATACTAAACGTACATGATCAATTATGTATGTTTAACTTGATGAACTATAACCTAAATTCAGATTTTAGCAGGTCCTGTAAGAAGAACGGAGGCGTTGCGTTGTATGCCTCTAAAGATTATGCACCAAAATGTAAGGCTATAGACGTTAGTGGTTTCTGTTTGGAACAACATCATGAATTTGCTTGTCTCAGTGTGCCTGATTCCAATCTCATAGTTATAGGTGTGTATCGCTCACCCGATGGAAATCTGGAGTGGTTCCTTGACAGCCTTGAAAAACTAGTCCTATCCCTTGAAAATAGAAGAACGAAAAATAATCTGGTCCTGGGTGGTGATGTTAATATAGACATTTTAAAAGGTGAGAAACACTCAGAAGACTTTTTAAATCTTTTGAGATCCCTAAATCTTTATTGCTTGGTGTGGGAACCTACAAGAGGCAATTCGTGTCTGGACAACGTTGCGACGGATTTACCCAAAAGACTCCTGAAAACGGAAGTGAAGAGACTTGCTGTAAGTGATCACGACGCAGTCAGCCTCCATGTACAAACTGCATCAAGTGCAGTACCTGATGGTTCTGGTCGAAGAGTATGTAGGCCTATTTCAACAGACAAGATAAATAATTTTATATATCGCCTAGATAACACAAACTGGGACTTCCTTTATAATACTGGTGCGGCTGAAGATACCTTCAATTGTTTTTTTCAAAATTTCCTTCTTATGTTTAATGAATGCTTTCCCACAAGGTTACTGCCTACAAAACGCTCCAAGAAAAATCAAAATCTTCCGGACTGGAAGGACCAATCCCTAGTAACGTGGAAGAAGTGGGTGCTCCTAGCCTATGATCTCTACAGGGACAATAAAACACCCGATTCAGAGCTACGCTACAAAACTATTAAGAAGCAGTACAAACAAAAACTTCTATCAGCTAGACTGGAAAGAAATGCTCGCTTCATAGAATCTGCCAGTAATCGCTGTGCAGCAGCCTGGAAAGTTATCCATGAAGAAGGTGCTCCGTCCAAATCCCAGTTGATATCTTCAGTGACTGCGGAAGCTTTCAACGCCCATTTTATTGACTCCGTCCAGCAGACCAGAGATGCTATCAACGGTTCAGCCACTTCTGCCCTAGATATGCTGGAGAAACGTGACCCTGCAGGCTCACGGTTCAACATTACCCTTTTATCCTCTGAAAGTGTGATACGGGTGGTCCAGAAGCTCAACAACTCTCCAAGCAAAGATATATTTGAGGTATCTGTCAATCTTATTAAGAGTGTTTTTCCTAGCATTGTTAAGCCTTTTACCTATTGCCTGAACCTATGTCTCTCTGAAGGAGTCTTTCCCCAAAGACTAAAGATAGCCAAAGTTATACCTATCCATAAGAAAGGTGATCCAAACAGTCCTGAGAATTTCCGCCCTATTTCCCTACTCCCAGTATTTTCAAAAATATTTGAATCTGTAATTAAGGATCAGTTGTACAAATATTTCGAAGAGCACAATCTGCTCATGACCGGCCAGTGTGGCTTCAGGGCGGGTCTCTCGACCATAGATGCTCTAGATAAGCTTGAAGCAGTAGTACTGCATGGATTTGAGGCTGGAGGCTTTACTGGGGCCACCCTGTGTGATCTCAGTAAGGCTTTCGACACGGTCGACCATCGGATACTGCTGGATAAATTGAATTTTTATGGAGTAAAGGGCTCTGAACTCAGGCTCATGGAGTCATACCTGGCTGGGCGTGAGCAGAGGGTGCTCATAAATGGACATATCTCTAGCCCTTGTCAGATCACTCATGGTGTCCCACAGGGGTCTGTACTTGGCCCCCTTTTGTTCATTATCATGACCAATGACCTCATTCCAAATTTTGGAGGAAATGTCGTCTGCTATGCTGATGACACTACCCTTTTCAGTTTCTCTAAAGACCTGATAACTCTAAATGGTCAAATGTCTGAGTCCATGGGGATAGCATCAGCATGGTTCCGAGCTAACTTTTTTAAGTTAAATGAAAGTAAATCCCAAACCATTGTTTTCACTTTAAATCAGATGGATCATGAAGTTTCAAATGTTAAATTACTAGGCCTATATTTGGATCCAAAGTTAGACTGGCACTGTCATATTTCTCATGTCTGTAGTCGTTTGTCTAGGGTAAATTTTCTCCTGAGAAGACTTAGAGACTCTGTACCCAAGGAATGGTTAAAAACAGCCTATGTAGCATTTTTTCAGAGTGTACTTCTGTATGGTTTGCGTCTGTGGGGCTCCGCATCTGGGGTCGAGAGGGTCTTGCTTCTGCAAAAGAAAGCAATAAGGATTGTGAATGGTGCAGATTATCTGGACCATTGTAAACCAATCTTTGTTGCCGAGTCCTTGATGACAGTTTACAATCTCTTCATTTTGCAGTGTCTCATGTCATGTAAGAGGAAGCTTGGCACTCTCGAGCTCAGAGGAGGGGTCCACCACTACAACACTAGGAATAAGCAGGATCTAAACATACCTTATGTTAGACTAAAGAAAACCCAGGCTAGTAAGGAAATCTTAAGCTTGAAATTAATGAACAAATTGCCTTGTACAGTTTGGAACCTGCCAATCATTAAATTCCAAAAGAGGGTGAGGGAGTTCCTATTGGCTAACCCACTTTACTCAATCCATGAGTTTTTTGAACTTCCTGACAACTTGTAAGTATGTTTTTTTATGAGTTTTGCAAGTGTGGTTTTATTTTATTTTCTATGCATGGAGTGTTGCAGGAACAAACAAATCATGTAATTTTTGCAATTTTTTAGTACTTTAACCTAGTATTAGTTTATTTGACTTTTTCCATACATGTATCATGTTCACGGAAATAAAGCATTTCATTTCATTCATTTCATATAAAATAAGCCTAGTGCCATATCTTGCCAGACAGATGTTTTGTGCCACAGTTTTGAGTTTTATTCTTTACCACCATTCCAATCCAATCCAATCCAAAACAACACAACTGTCAACTAACCAACTAACCTCTAAACAGAAAACAGACTAACCTCAACCTCACTCAATGACAAAATAACGGTAAATGTAAACAAAACAAGCGTCATGAATTACTAACTATTTAGTTATTTTTGTGAGTATATCTGTTTCTTGTACATATTATTGACTTTTTCTTAGTCAATGTTTAACTTGCGTCATAACTTCTAACAGTATCAATCTGGTTGGCGATCATAGTTTACACCTACCCAAACTTGAGCAATGTTTAACTTCATAAGAAACAGTAAAATACAACTTTTATCTTTTTAATAACACCTTTCTAAGGACATGTATTCATTTCATAAACATCTAAAATATTGATCTATAAGTGTTTCCTGCTCAATTTTAAATAAATAAATAAAGATCAATATTATAGATAGGCCTACTGTAGGCCTAATTGATTTTGGGCATCTTCATTATTGGCTAGGGTTTAAAAATAGCCTACTTGTTAGCCTAGATATAATTATTTTGATTATTGTTTTCAATTTATATGACTTTGTATAATTTAGAGTTAGCCTATTCATATTTTTAACTTGAACAATTAAAGCTTTATGTTAGGCCAAGGCAGCTGGCAGAACTTGGGTTTATGATAAAATTCTGTAGCGAAGCTGGTGTCTGCATTATAATTTATGAGCCAAAAAGGACATGCAGCAAACTAAACCAAAAGGGTACTTTCCTGCTAAAGGAACGTTTTACTTACATTATTGTCATCTATGATTTTTTAGGGTAAATTTCTAGATTAAGGCCACATACTTAGGAAATTTAAGTAATTTTGACTTGAACAATGAAATTTCATCGTGTTTTACTTACCGGTAACCTAACATTTGGTAAATCAATGATATTATTTCTGGTATTATACATGTTGCTCACCCCTACAACTAAGTGACTGGAGATCATGTTTATATGCACAACTGACACAAACACATACAGACTACGCACAGTCATGATTCTCTTATTCACAAAGACAGGTCTGAAATGGGCATCATACTCAGCATTGGCTAGAATTCTTACTGCTCTTTTTTGGATTAGCAAGACATTGTTAATCTCTGTAGACCCACCCCAGAGCCTGAGCCTATACCAAAAAGCTAAGTTGTTGGCTTTTTTTAAAACAGTTCTTTTTCAAACAACGTTTGAGACTTCTTGAAAGGAAAATAAACTTAACTGGAAAGTTTACTGTATACCAAGTTTATAGGCCTATGAGGGCTCAAAGTCAGTTTTTATGATAGAACAGGAATCATTAGCCAAGTTAAATGTTTTGGCGTGATGGGATTCAGGCCTGTGCCTTACTCGTAGGCTATTAATTGCTAAAACATAAACCTTGCTGATCCTTCCATTGTATATAAAATATCCTTGATTTGAAAATAGCCTATGAAAGGGAGAAAGATAAGTAATAACCTATTAATAATTAACGAAAATTGCTATGTTACAAACTCATAAATTTAAAACTTAACGTAGTGTGTGCAATATGAGATGTCAGTCAAAATTTTTAACGCTACCTATGTCATCGATTGCTCTTTGCAATTGAAAAACTGAAGCACAATGAACAGCTCATCTTAATTTTGACAAATGATTTAGCAATTTGTAATAAGTCCGGCTAGGGTACTTATGTTATTCCTATGTTACCTGTATCATTTTTTGTGTAAAAAGTTATGCCAATAGAAAATACAAAAAAATAGTAATCTAATTTGTTTAGTGTTGTTAAAATGGCTGACATCATATCAGCGACTCGTCGGACACTTCAAAGCAGATCATCTAATTATGAAGATCTGGAAAATGCAAATGAGTACTCTCCTCAAGTACTTCAGAGACAGGCCCATGACAATGATGAATTTTTGCCTCCATTACAGGAGTTGGAAATGAATTCCGTCTCTGTTGTTCCTGATGGTAAGTATTTAGATATAGGCATAACTAGTTAGCATTCACTGCCGACTTTTTTTTTTACCACTCATTAAAGTATTATTATTAAAAGTTGTAAGCAATGCAATATGAAAACCCCTCTCATGCACCATAAATATTACCAATAACGGTTCCTTAGAGAAAGGAATTATAGGCCTATAAAATAGCAAGTGTGTAAATCAAGTATCCACCTTTCGCCCAACAAGTCCATGGTCTTAAAAGGTAGAAAACCAGTAGGATGAAAAAATTCAGTAATAATTGGCTTGAGGTTGAACTATTTTTAAACAGTCTAAGGTTAAATATCTGTTAGGCCTATAAAAAATTATACAATTTTTAATCTTTGTAGTCTTCATAGAAAAAAAGATTAATGTGTAGGTTTTATAAATAACCACTAAACTAAATGGAAATATTTGATAGGGTGTCAGAGATAAAAGTGAACGTGAAAAAAATTAGGTCTTCAAACATGCTGCTGTTCTTTTTTAGGAAGTACAGTTCCATCATATCATAGAACGTCACAATTAGCATTGCCTAAAACTCATCGGCCCGATTGGCATTTTAGCAGATAAATGATACAACGGCTTATTGAGGTTTAATTCTACTGTAATTATGTATATAAAAATGCTGTATCATTAATATAATCCTATTTACAGAAACCTTTACTGTGACACAAGCTGTGAATGCTTTTGGCTTTGGAAAGTTTCAAGCCAAGCTTTCCCTGTTTACCGGCCTGTGTTGGATGGCAGACTCCATGGAGATGACTATCCTCAGTATTCTTTCTCCAGCACTCCACTGTGACTGGCACATCACTCGCTATCAACAGGCTCTAGCTACTACAGTCAGTATCTATCTTCTTTATAATTTTAATTTTTAAATTATGTCCATGTACAAGAGGTACAGAAAGTACATTACATTATGGAATGAAAAAAGATCAAATTATAGGGCACTTTTCTTATTATATGAGTTGAAAGCCTCACTTGAATTCTACTTTCAACTTAATTGCCATTCAAATTTAAGCACTTATTATAGTAATAATTAAGTTTGGCAATTCCTTTCTCGTAACATTCCACCTCTTACGTCCTCAACCAGCATGTCACTTCTTGCTGCATCTGTGCATCTCTATATGTCTTCATTGATGGAACAAGTGGTAATCAGTTGGTGCAAGGTCCGGACTGTATGGTAGACTAGGAACTCCCACTTTCAAGATCCCGATTTGGGGCGATGTCGTGAAACAAACAAAATCAAGCTCAACTTTCCCCTTTGTTTGTTTTGGATCGCCCATCTAAAGCTTTGCAACATTTGGCGGACATTGCAAGGTTTTACGTGACTCCTTCAAATAGTCCAAGGATTAAGATTGCTAAGTAGCTTTCATGTTTAGTTACAAAGACAAATTTTCAAAGCTCGCAACTCGTCAAATACACAATTAAAACAAGCACAACACAAACATAAAAACGGTAGGCTATGTATAGCCTGCACAAACATTTAGATAGCGCTTTCATGATAATACTGATAACCGGAGGGTTGGTTACAAATTCTGTACCTCAAGACACCTTTATGCTTTTTAAGCTGACTGTCTCATTAACTTTAGGACTACATATTTAAATGTGTAAGACTTTATGTTCCCCATTATTACACCATCAAAAACAAGGAATTTTAAACAATTTGTTTACTAGCCCTAAAATGCAGTATGTTATAAAACCTCTATAGCACAATGAAAGTCTAAATTCAACTAAACACGTCATAACTTAGTTGTGGTTACTAGTTAAGAAGTAAACTACCGGTACCTTCTTCTTAAAAAACTAGAACAGTATTTGAAAATAAAAAATATATTTAATACATTCACTGATTTTAGTTTTAATGTTTATAATCAGCAATGCATGATTCTTCTCTCAAGCTGTCTAGCGGTCTTAACTCAAATATCAAATTTTGCAATAGTGTACAAGAAAAACAAATTTCTTTGTTTTAACTAACATTATTTGCTGTTTTTGTAAAAGGAAGTGAGAATTCTAATAGGTACTTTTTAAATTTTAACCAAACAAAGTTGCTGCTTTTTTGGGCTTTTTATAGTTTTGGAAAGTAAAACAGTCTACATTGATTTTCTGTTTTTGTAAGGTTTAGCATTCTATCCCATCCTTGTTCTTGCCAGTTTCATGTACTTAGTATTGTCCCAGTTAAACCAAAACATGGGTCTGGACTGCTCTCTGTTATAGCAAAGCGTTGTGCACTTTCTCCAATACCACCTCTGAAAATTGCCACCAACGTGAACAACAAGAAAAAAAACTTTTTTCCTTCCGTCTCAATTTTTAAAACCTCATAGCTTACATTCTTGTTTTTTGCCATCACAAAAATATCATAAACAACATCTATGGGGCTCAGCAACAAAATTTTCAAGTTTTCTTAGGGTGATTAATTTTTAAAATTACAGATAATGAACAAAAGTTTTCATTTTTATTTCAGGTTGTGTTTCTTGGAATGATGGTGAGCTCTACATTTTGGGGTCATATAAGTGATCGATACGGACGTAAGCAGGTAAGATTGCCATTCAAACACACCTCATATCATGGATATTGGAAGGTATTATTTTTGCTTTCTCGCCCTATAAATAGTATATAGAGAAAGTACCTATCGTTTTTTTGAAACTTTTTGAAATTGAGTGGTTTAAGCTCGATTTATTAACGGCGGTGCTTGATCTCTCAAGCTAACTCAGTACTCAGTCCATCATTTTTTGCAAATACAAATTTCAAAGAGTTTGATTAAAAATAACTTTAGGACTGAGAATATTATCAAAGGTTTCTTTTCGATTATATTTAATTGCGTTTGGTATCGTGGTCTAACTATAATGTGTGTGGATAAGAGGATAAATTGAGCAAATTTTGTGTGTGAAAAAAAATATTAAAAGTTTTGTTTGGATATGTGAGTCTGCTCACAACCAGTGTTCTATAGGGGGAAAGTGAAAGATTTCTTTTTCTAGGCCCTTACTATGTGTGCTGTCTTACTATTCTACTATGGACTATTGAGCTCCCTGGCCCCCAACTACACTTGGATTCTGATTCTTAGAGGTCTTGTTGGTTTTGCGATCGGATGTGTCCCTCAGTCGTAAGTAATTCAGGATTATTCTTTCTGAACACATTTATTATGTATTATTGATTGGTTTTGATTTGATAAGTAAAACTTTTGGCTTTTAACTGTTTACCTTTTTAACAGCATGTTTTTTATTTTTCAATCCAAGTTGAAGGAATTCATTTCAATTGAAGGCATATGCGATAGACAAATGTCAGTAAGTGGGTATTTCTATTTTACTTGAAGTAAGCTTGATACTTATTGTATGGTTTTCATACTTTATTACCTTTCATGTTTGATGTTCATTGCTTAATTGTGTGACCTCCTTGTCATTTGATTACTAATATGTAGTTCAGCCTATCTTTACCATAATGTACAGACAATAGTATATTTAATTACTGGTGCCGAAAGTGGCATTTTTGGTGCACGCACACTCAAGTTTCAAGTTCAAGTTCAGCTTGTCTCACATAGGTACACTAAACTTCACACTGTCCTCGGCTTCATACGAGGCGAAGCCGAGGACGGAATAATTGGTGCAAGTACCGGAAAATCACTTTTGTTACAAGTTTATGACAATACTTTCATCACAATGCAAAACATATTTTAGTAATAGACTTCAATAAAATTTAAACCATTATATTTCATAATTAATATTATTTTAATATAAAATACAGGCAAATTGGTAATATCAAGCCTACATAACAATGTAAAAATATGAAATTTAAATGTTTATTGTGCAGTAAACACCCTCCACAAGCTGAAAACACAGCCAAACTAGCTTACTGCTTTTGTATTAATGTCTTTATATTTGTAGTGTTAAAACAGTAAATACAGCTGATTTAAATTATTAAAATAAATGGTAAAGTAACACTAGCGACGCATAGTGCCTTTAATTTGATGTGCATTTCAAAAACCTATGCTTCTATTTAAGATTTTCTTCTTACTCCTTGTGGGCCGTCCCCCTGAAGTGGTAGCGGCTCATTGAAGTTTTAGTAAAATAATATTGTTTAATGCCCAGTGACAGTGTACCAAATTGTATAGCTCCTTCTGTAACTGTAAAAAAGAATATTAAGCCGTCCCGGGACTTTTCACCACCCCTATATTTTGAATGAGTGCTCTGAAGTGTACGAATACAGCTTGTGAACATGTAAAAAGCAAATTAATTACCAATTTAACTGAATATTTTAAATCTAATCTTATAAAATGTAATATTTCACATTTATTGTTTTCAAGTTTGATGCACGTTGACGCATTGCTGTGGGTTGTTGGTTGTTTGTTTGAGTTTGCCATTTGATGCTAATAGTTAGTTGTAGTTGCATGTTTGTCTGTTGTTAGAGTGACCCTGTATGCAGAATTTCTACCGTCCAAGCAAAGAGCCAAATGTGTAGTTCTTCTTGATGTGAGTATAGCATGCTGTAGCTCTGTTTTTGAATACACAATTAGTCTTTGTTCTGCATTTAAATTGCTATGTTTTACAGAGTGGCCATAAAAACAAACATCAAACATATTTGAACATTAAATCAAATAAATCCAAGAAAGACAGAGGAAAATATTGTTTTAGTTGGAATTTGAAGCGCAAAACTTGCAATTTGATAAGCTTTAGTAGATTTTTAATAGGAGTATAATAAATTAAATACGTCTTCCAACACTATCCGATATATTCACTAACTAGTTCAGTGACGTGCTCCGGCCGGCCAACTATGTTAAATGTCTACCTTGTTCGTGTTGTGCTTGTGTTCAATGTATTTAAGAAGATTTGACGACATTCAATGAATGAAATATTTTAACGTTCTGTTTTGAAAATGACTACTCAATAGTCGAAACTAGTCAACAGAAGTTCGACAGAGGAATTGTCGACGTCAAGGTATGTAACCTGCTATAAATAATCTAGCCTTCATTAAATTTCAAACAAAATTATACCATACAATACCTATCTACTATGAATGGTTTTATCGCCTTAAGGGGTAAATTTGATTTTTTTTCTTATAATTCTAAAAAAGTTGTTTTTAAATGGAGGAAAACCATGGACACCCATAAAAAAATGTTCTAATAAGTGCCTCCATACATTTTTAGAATATAAGAAAAAATCATATTTACCCCCCCCCCCCCCCCACCCCAATATCTCCTGAACCGTTCATAGTAGATAGGTAAAGTATGGTATTATTTTTTTCGAAATTTAATGTCGATTATTTTTGTTATTTATTATATTTCAATAAAAACACACCGTTTTTGAGGTATTTGCGATAAAGTCAAAAAGTCCCAATTTTACCCTCCCCCCACAAACTGACACTGAAATCAGTGTAATTTTTTTTTACAAATTGAGGGAAGTGTATTCAACAATTTGGCGCTGGTTTGAAACTGTTTTTTTTATGTCCCGGTTTAGGTCTAATTGCACCGTACTATTATTTAAAAACTATAAATTAAATTCACTTATATGCTCCCATCTATACTTTCAAGCTTCCCTAAGGTAGTGTGTAAAGACACGCCAATCCTCCCCGTTTAGATATTGATAATATTCTATTTCACTCAAGATATTGCATCCTAACCAAGGCTTTCTTATGCTACCCAAAATTAGACTGACAGACAGCCATCAAGTGAAAAGTGGTTTTTTGCTCTTTAAGGTTACATAATGAGCAATTGATATTTTGTTCGGTCCAAGGTTTATAATTCAGATTTACTAGCTCTGCCCTAGCTTTAATTGTCAAAGAAATTAATTCCAACTCGCTGAAGGCAAGGGGGCTCTTATCTCCTGGTTCAAGGTCAACTTTCAATAGCTGTTTGTAAAAAACATAATTTTGTTGCTTGTTCAATCAGTTGTGTGGAATTTGAAATAAATACGTTACCATAGTAAGTTTGTCAACACTTATGCAAACATTATGAGTACAATATCCTCATAGTTGCCATGGGAACCAATCAATGTTTACTTCAGGTCTTGGAAAGCCTGTAGGGCAGAGCCGTAGATCAATATTGAAGTGGAAATAGTCTTACTTTGGAGTGCACCCAGTAGCAATATACTACTACAACCATGAAGCTAAACTATCATGTTGGGGGTCGCTATATAGTTGGTGGTCATGGAGAAAATATTGGACATATCCGTATTATCCACAGTAATCACACACTCTCTTTTTATTTATACATATATACAGGGTGTTAAAAAAGGTGAGGACCTATAATTTACATAGTGATTCCTTGGGTCAAAATAAATTTACAATAAATTGACAACATATCCTCCATTTCGTTTATTTTTTACATTTATATCCGTAAATTTTTTCAACCGATCTCAAATAATGAAACTTGGTCTAAATGTTAAGGAAAAAGAGACCCATTTTAGAAAATGTCTTTATTCAAGTTAAAATTTCAAAATTGAGGCCATTTTAATTTAAAAAAAAAGATGATTATATGAAAAAAATTCAACCATGATTAGTGGTGTTTTTTTATTCTTCTAGTCAACTACCTACTTGATTGAAGAAATAACTATAAAAAATTAGTTAAATAATCACAAAACAGCAAAAAATTTCATTCCTCTCTTAACAAAAGGATTTTATATGAAATAATTGCTATTGATGTCACAGTGTTTCTGGGCATTGGGAGCCTGTTTTGAAGTGCTTCTTGCATTGTTCATCATGCCGACCCTAGGATGGCAGTGGCTCTTGGCTCTTTCCACAGGACCTCTGCTTGCATTTGCTCTTATTTGTCCTGTAAGTATGATTAGTTATTTTCATTTTACATGATTTTAAGAACCTGTGCAATGCACTACATTACTACTAAACTACTATTAAATAAAACATTAAATACAAAAGTAAGCATAGGAATGATTACTACCCTTAACCAGTTTGCTCTGACAAATTCTTTCCAAATTTTTATTATTTTAAATCCCCGACATGTACCACTGGAGGACACTGTTACCATGGTGATTGTACACTACAAACGACATTTTGGGTTTCTGTGGGTGGTTTTACTATGTATTCGGGTTTTTAGAAGGAACATGAACTATATCCATAGTGGGTACATGAACAAAATTCGAGTTTCAATACTTTAACAAAGCACCCTTGTGCCAGTTTAGACTCTTAACCATTCAGCTAAGCCTCCTATCATCAAAAAAATTCTAAACCCCTAGGCCTTTGTGCTTTATATTCATCCAAGTTCATCTAAAGTTTTTATGTAAGATAGTTAGTAACAAGCCAAGGGTTTGGACTGTTCTCAAGCAATAAACTTAAAATATGCCAACGTTGTGGATAAACAAAGAATGAGTTTCCTGTTGAAAACTCACTAACATTATTATTTATGTTACTCAACCTGTTGTAGTGGCTCCCCGAGAGTGCCAGGTACCACGTAGCGTCGGGTCAGCCAGAGAAGGCATTGGCAACACTGCGCACAGTAGCTTCTGAGAACGGGAAGCCGATGTTGTTTGGTCGTCTGGTGGTCGATGACTCCATGATTGGGGAGAGAGGCAGAGTTAGAGATCTGCTTATTCCACAGTTACGCAGGACCTCTATCTTGCTGTGGTTCATTTGGTTAGTGAACCATTCATAAAATAACTAAGTAACTAATAACTAATATTAAGTAACTAATATTAGGATTATTATGTACAAGGCTAGGGATCAGCTAGCTTATCTGGAAGATAGAGTCTAGATTAGCCTTGATTACACATAAAACACATGACACAACACAGAAAAACTTAATATTTCGTCCCAGTTAGGGACTTCATCAGAATGGAGAAGAAAGAAAACTGGCAGTTACACTTCAAATTCAAAAGTTCCATTGAAACGCAACATTTACACTGTAACTGCCAGTTTTCTTTCTTCTCCCTTCTGATGAAGTCCCTAACTGGGACGAAATATTAAGTTTTTCTGTGTTGTGTCATGTGTTTTATGTGTAATCAAGGCTTATCTGGACTCTATCTACCAGGTAAGCTAGCCCTATCCTTGTAATAATCCTAATCAGCCAATTGGCCTTTCCTTAACTCCTAAGTAATAATATTATAATTAATAACTAATTAGGCAAAAGTATTACTACCAATAAGAGGTGTGTGAGTGATTAGTAAGTTTAATTTAATTGAGTTTAGAATCAGATCACCGTTATGTTGTAAATAAAAACATTTAGCTCTTTAGCAAAGCTAGTTGAAAAGACAACATTTATATCTAAAATTCTAACTATCTGAGTACAGTAAGTAACATAGAGTACATACTCTGTTTTATATTTGCTAGAGAACAGTTACATGCAATGTATTATAAGATTTACTTAATAGTCTATTGAAATAAGATCAAAATCCCCAAAGCAGAACCACAGGCAACAGTGTGTCATTGTCTTAGAAAGACGAGGAGGGCTACAGAAAACCCAGCCTGCTCAACTGGTTAAACAAATTTTTTGTTAATTTAAATTTTGGTTTTTAAATTCAACATTTTTTTATGAAAAGTTATTTATTTTTACAGGAAAAGTTTGGCCACATGGCCCTTACTTACACTTAACATGTATAAGTTTCTGCAGAAAATGCTGCATAACAAGTTAGTAAAATTGTTTGTTTTTTTTTGGAGAAAATATTTCTTACGAATGTTGACAACTTTATTTTCTACAGAAAAACTCTCCGTTCTACAAACAGTAACGTTACAAAATACCATGCATTACATAAACGAAAGCTGCAAAGTCAATATTTGGTACATCTACGGTGAGGAAGAACGCATAGAATAACCTAATTACCAAAGTGATTCAATGTAATAACAGTAGGTGTTTTCGTACCGATACGAGCATTTGAAAATATATTTATTTCCAAATATTCATTAAAACTTTCACATACACACGGGTTCATTTACACGTAACTTGGACCGCGGAAGCCAGTAGAAAATTTTTCCAAGTTTGTTGCAGAAAGATTAAAACCAGGCTTTGGGGATAAAAATTTATCAACAGATGAATTATTCTACCAAGTAATATACTTAATTCTAAATAAAACTACAGTAGACCCCCTCTTAACCGACCTCGTATTAACCGATATTGGATTATCCGCCTTCGATCGTAAAATAATACAGTTTGTTTTAACCGACCTTGCTTTGAGAGCAGTTCGGTTTAACCGCCGCTCACTAGGAATCTCGTCATTTCCGCTCCCACGCTGGGCGATGAGAACTGAACCATACGCTGATCTCCACAGGATATGACTAAGAATAAGTTATTATGTATTGATCACAAAAAATATAGTATAGCCTATTGTCAGTTTGTCATCATCATTCATAGCTCGAGCACATCTGATCTGATTTGTTATTTGTGGGGCAAATTTATAACATCATAAAGTGCGTTACGATTTTGAGAACTGATTATCTTATCGCTGGAGTAAACAAACAATGCAACTTGTAGGGAGGGCAGGGAAGGAGGGTTAACAACTCCAAGGTCAAGATAGTTTTTGTGCCTCGAGCCTCCAGTGAGAGGCTATAAATGAACATCCTGTCTGGTAACAAAATGGTTGCTTGTATCTTTAATTTCGACAAAAGGTTCTGTACTGTATTACGATGGATTTGGAAAGCATCAATTAATACATTACAGTATTAAAGTTATTAAAATAGGAATTTTATTGACTCTTTCCTAGTATTATAATATATTCCACTGAAAGTAGGCCTATTTGACTTAACCGGGTTTTGTGTTTATTTGTGACTTTTCTATCAATATGATAAAGGAGATAATAATAGTTTATTTTATAAATAATGCAAGTATGACTAAAAAATTATGATTATATAATTCCAAATGAATAGCACTTCATTATGTTATGATTTTAGGGATTGCCCGTTTTAACCGACCTTTTGAGTTATCCGACCTAGGTCCGGTCCCATTAGGGTCGGTTAAGAGGGGGTCTACTGTATTCTAATCTGCTTTTGGATTATGCCATTAGAAAAAAAATGTAAAAGCTCGCCAATCCAGACATCAGGAGTGAACATCAGATGTTGGTTGCATTCAATGGAATTGGAAGAAACTTCATTTTAATTTATTTTTAGTATTTTATATCTTTACTAAAATAAAAACATGGCATAATGGCCCGTCGGCCAATGATTTCCTCTTGAAGCTCTAAAATTAGCAGAATTTACACTAGTCCCAAATAACAGCTGTTTTTAGAAGAGGTTCAATAATCTGCACCCCTGGATTAGCGAGTGACAACTATAAATAGGTTGGTGGTTTGTCAAATGATCTTCTTGCCCTAAAGAGTCTTCCATTGCAAATTCATACATTAAATATTGAAATTTTTTTGTGTATAGTATTAAATACGTGATTAATGAAACTTTCAAAATTATTATAAGCAAATAAATAAGTGATTTATTCACATAAATATAAGTAACAGTTATATTTAAAGATCTCAGAATGAGGTCCTGCATGATTTCTTTTTAGGCTACAAGTCATCATTCAATTTTAAGAACTTTATTTGATTATGAGATTGCTCTATAAATCTCAATACAACCTCTAAACAATCGATATGAGCAGTAATATAATAATGATACAGTAAATCAACAGCTTCGATCTTTCATGCAAAAACTACCAGACTATGCAAAATGTTCAGTTTTGTCTAATATAGTTCCTTATTTAAATGTTCACTTGCAATTATTCCCAAAATTTAACAGTCACTAAATACGAGGGATGTCTGTCGGTTAAAGTCTTCAAAGAGCTTCTGTTACGGCTAAGATTTGAGCTAGCTTAAATATGAGACCAAATTGGTGTTCTTTACTTCATTCACTACTATTCTAGTTGGTTCCCATCCCTATCCTTATCCTACGAGCAATTGGTGCCCTAGATTACAGGAATCTAAACAAAGAACACGATTCATACTTGCAGGAGTGAAGATTTTCCTTCACCTAATTTTCGACTAATATAATGAGACCCATAGTTGCATAGCGGTGGAAATCAGTTAGAATAATAGTGGATGAAGTAAAGAATGTGGCGGAATGAGGTCTTATATTTGAAATAGCTTGCTTGGGCTAGACAGGAGCTCATTGGAGACCTAAATTTATGGGCAATCCAAGGTATTACTGTTTTCCAATCTATCTTTTAGTAGACTATAAAAAAAATGTATTTGTTTACTAAACTTGGTTTAATTATTACTTGTGCCAATTACTATAACCTTTCATATTCAGGACTGCTTGTGCCTTCTGCTACTATGGAGTGGTGTTGATGACAACAGAGTTATTTGAGGCTTCCGAACGTCGGTGTTCTGGCAGCGTCGAGATGAAATCTGTCGAAACTTGCACGGCCGACTGCAGACAGCTTAACACTCAAGACTACATGGATTTGCTCTGGACAACCCTAGCTGAATTCCCAGGTTTGATTTTGTGTTTTATTTGTGCCATTGGTATTTTTACCTATTTTGGAAGGGTACAGTTCAAGGCCTCACCCTAAACTTTTATCAGAAAGAGAATCTATCTCACTTGGAATAGAACCAGATTTTAGTTATTTGGAACAAAGTTTTTGTTAGCCTAATTCATAGTTTTTTATATTAGGAAATCAAGATTTAGTCCCAGTATAATATTCAACTTATAGTACTGGACCATTATCTTGTAATTAAATAAATGGAGGAAGCCTGTTAATCTGTTTAGATAACACTTTGTATGCTAATGGTTGGTTTTGCAAACACTTGGCTTAGGAATACATTAAGTAAGAAGTAGGAATGGATACAGATCTACCTTACCTAAGAGAAGTTACCTGCAGTTAAAAGCACACAAAAAATTCACTTCACAATTAATTTGATATTTTGCTCCTACAAGTGGTAGAATGAATATTAGTAATTCCAAAACAATTCTGTGGAGCTTACTCTGAATATAAGATAAGATATGCTAAGTTATATCCAATCCTTTTTCTTCAATGTATTTGTAAATGTATGCAAATGGCAATTGGAGATCCTGCATAAAACCAATCTAAATCAAATACACATTGAATACACTCACTGAAGCAAAAGTTTGTTTTGATTTTTTAATATAATTTGTCAGTTGAGCTGATTTTTTTGTTTTCCTAGAACTGCCTTTGTTTATAGTGTAGGGGTGTTTGAATTGTGAATTTATGAGTCGTTTACATTTGAGTCTTCCCCTTCCTGTATTCAAACCAAGCAATATATTTATTTATATTTATATACAGTAGGCCTACCAACTTCTATATTTTAGTATGATTTAAGCTCCGTTGACAGTAAGAGTTATAAAATAACATGCAGGAGGAAAGATAGTTTGTTGATCCTTCCATACTGTACAAATATAAATTTCTACAACAAACTCATTAAATAGCTTGACTTTTCGAGTTTTCTTGAAGTCGAGTACTGAAAAACTTGCTCGAAAATACTCAACCCCTTGATAGGATATTTTAACAGAATCCTACTCATCAAAACACTTTAGGGCATACAAACATTATATAAACACAAGGAGGCTTAATATTACACTCTTTGGAAGTGAAAATACTACTATGTAATAACTCATGAGTTGTTTATAAATAAGAACTTTATAATAACCGTAATTCTTATATTTGTATGGATAAATCTAATCTACAATTAGTTTCTCCAATGGATTGTTTTTATTTTGTAGCTATTTTATTTGGCTTGTATCTTAAACAGTAGTCAGTATATAATTTATTACTTTGTGGAAAACACTATTCATCGTCAATAATTCCTTAACAGTTATTTCCTTTTGTTATTCCCTTAGATTGTTCGAAACCATTGTGTCCTTTTCCTTTTGTGTTAAAACCTTTTACCTTACTTTGTTGGGTAAATGTTTTGATACTTGTGTAATGTGACCTGAACTATCATGATTAAATATAAAATGAATTTTGCAAAAAATAAATTAACAGAGTATGTTTTGTCTTTTTCAGGCATATTTTTAACTATATTTGTAATCGAGAGGTTTGGTCGCAAATACACTATGGCCGTCCAGTTTGTTTTCTTCACCTTGTGCATTTCACTTTTATTCATCTGCGTTGAAAGGTAATTAATACTAAACATTAAGTTTTTAATAAACTTTCCTGGTTATTTTGACAATGGGTACAGTGAGTATACTGTATTATTAATGCAACCATAACTATATAGATTTGCGCTTTGTGCTGGCTTTAAAAATAGATCTATAATGATCCTATTCAACATATGATGAATAAACTCATCGTAAATCATTCTAAAGACAAAGGAAGTATGTGCTAAAAAAGACATTTACCTTTGGACATTATTCTAATTAACAATTTATTAAAATGGCAAACAATCTAAAAGTTTCTCTATACTCTAAAATATTTACTACTCTGGTCTCATGGGCCCATTTTCAAGTGTAACAAGACATTATTCCTTGTGATGGGTATATATTTAAAAAACTTTTAATACATAGAATATGGCTGCATAAAGATCATAAAAACCTATTAGGAACAAAATAATTGGCCAGTACAATTATTTAAATTTGTTCTTTATCTTCCAACGCCAGAAGATAAATGATTATGTCCTGAGGACACTTAAAAATAGATCCATTTACTTTTGTACTATTAAACTTGCACCACCAGGTTATTTCGTAATATAAACTTTTCTATAATTTAGTGATCGGATCATAAAATTTTATTGATTTACTTTACTCAGGATAATCATAAAATATTACAGTAGAACCCCGATTAACCAAAATAAAGGGGGGAGAGCCGTTTCGGATATCAAATTTCGGTTAACCTGTCGTATGCTAAAATTAGCCTGTTTATTACCACGGTGTGTAGGAAAAATGAATTTATTACAATGTTTATATAATATAGTGTTGTTCTATTTCAGCTATAGAAATGTTTAAACTAAACAACTGAGGTTACTGATGCATTTTATACATTACATATTACTTATATTTTAGCCCTGTATTATTTTATGGAACCGTTTTGGTTAACCCGAGTTTTAATTAACCTAAATTTGGTTAACTGGGGTTCTACTGTATGAACTTTCCTCTTTGTTTTACATAAAAATTTAATCATGCTTGCCTGTAGTTTTATTACATGTGTTGAAACAATCTTTTTTCTGCTTTCAGTCGAGCAATCTTAACCGTGACGTTATTCTTAGCTCGTGGGGTCATTGCTGGAGTGTTTCAAGCAGCTTACGTCTATACACCTGAGGTATCGGTAGCCTATAGTACTTTATTAATTGAATTACTAATTACCTAATAAATGTTTAAAGTTAAAAGTTCAAACTGTGCATTATGTTCTATTTGTTTACTTTCAAAATGTTGGACTTATGTAATCAATTTCCCATGACAGATTGAAATTGTACATTCCTCATTGTAGTGTCTGTCAATCAAACAACAGTGATTGGGAAATTCCTTGGTGGCTCAGTCATTAGCAAGACAGATTTGGGATCCATAGCAGTGATGTCGTAGGTTCGAATCTTGGTACTTACCGCTAAATTTTTCCAGTACTGTTCAACCCTTGTACTGTACAGGCTCACCTCTTGCTTGGTTGGATACTTCCACGCACAGGCCTGTGGCCTATGTGGATGAACAATTTCAAGGTTAAAAGAGGCTGCCAACCTCTTTAAAAAACTTTCCAACTATCATTTAGAGTAAAGTTTGTACCAAACATATTTTTGGAGCGTAACATTTGTAGGTTGGTAGTAAATGATTGATTTTTCCCTTGTCTCAACGGGAAGGGAACTGATTATAATCCTATTTTTCAGGTGTACCCAACGCCCTTGAGGTCAGTAGGGGTAGGGACGTGCAGTGCAATGGCGAGACTAGGGGCTATGGTCACGCCGTATATTGCTCAGGTGAAGGTTATGCATGAATTGTAACAGTAAAGTCAAAGTCTAGAATATCCAATCCTTGGTTAGTCGATTTTATTTGTTAACCGACTCTCGCCAACGACCAAGTACCCAAAAATCACGTGCTATTTCCATGCGGTATTTACCAATTACCCACGACAGAAGAGCGAGTGAAGCAATCACTCCAGGGGAGAAGGCTCTGGGAATATGTAAAAAATCATATTGTCTTTATACCAAATATTCAACTTATTAATAGATATGATACAAAGTTGGCTTTACTTCAATCGTGTTGTTGATATTTTTTTTATCTGAATACTAATCCAAAAGTTTTAATGTACACCAGCCATGCCGCTACGGCTTGGGTTGCTGTCTGACAGCATGTTGGCGTTTGTGCTTTCAACATTAGCTAGTAGCTACTGCCAATCTAATTTATTGGAGTTTATAGTCATCCAACAAGTTAACCTTAGTGTTCAGTCTTGTTCAGTAGCCCTAAGTGTCTAGTTACATTGATTTTGAAATTACATATGATGTGACCTGAGACTTCCTTTACTTTTCAATCACAACTCAAACGTTTTAACGGTTCAAATAAGAACAGAGCATGTTTTTTAGTGTTTTTTCAGACTTATACAACTTATAATACAAAAACTACTTCTACAATCGTCTTTAAATTTTAATAGCACGTAAAAGATATATTTTTTTCTGTAGTTGTAGATTGTAGATGTTTAGGAAAAAAGTAATTGTGTTGTGATTTTTGTAAAAGTATTTTTACTTGAACTAGGTAAAAATAGAATTATATGTCAATGCAAGGTTGAATTCTCAATATTAAAAATGTAAAAACCTTTTTGTATCATAAACTGTTTTAAGGGATGTAGAATATATAAAAAAAAATATTATGCCAGTTTTGAGGTGATCCAGCCAGTTCCTGGTGACCTCATCCCCGTGGCATGTAGGGATATTTTACCATTTTCCACCACCCTGCAGAGTATTTATGATTTTTTAAATGTCAAACAACATGCTCATTTCATAATAAATTACAAAGTACTCTTTGAAGATCAGTCGGTATAAAGATGTAACCGGTATTGGCTTATATGAAACATGTAATTTATTGTAAAATTAAGGTATTGTTTGAAATTAGTTGATTTTTTTATATACTGATTAACAACACGTGTGCAATGATGGTTAAGGACTTGCCAATAGAAAAGCAGTAATTAGCTCCTCGTACCAGCACACCTCTATATCCCTTATGTCTAAGTCAGAGCAGGTTTTGGTTGAATATTAACCCATTGGGGAAGGAATTAATGCGCTACCTGCAGCACCCTCTGGCGGCAATTAATTTTACCGAATTTGTAGACTTTTACTCTAACTGCTATAGAAAGAAAACCTTAGGTAATAAATTAATAATTCTTTAACCATTTTGTTCACAGTAAAATTGTCTACAGAAAAGTGGTAATTGGATAGTCAAAGTTCTAAACTAAAAAAAATATATATATAAAGATTATAAAAATAAAAATTTTACAAAACAATATTTTGAAAGTAAACTTGATATAAAAATTCCAAGATTAATCCAGACACCAAATAACACTACTATTATAAAGTTCAATCAATTCCCTACGTAGAAAAATCAAAAGTTGTGTACTTTTATAAGTAATAAAATTTTTTTTAAATTGTTTGTTTACCTTATCGCAGCTGATTTTTGGTGATATGTGGTTTCCATGGCAACACAAAATTGTTTGTTATTCGCTAAAATAAATGAGTAAATACGCAAATCAAGAAGCAAGTTATTTATAAACATTATAATAGTAAGAAGAAACAAAAAGGGCGAAAAATAATAATAACTAAATAACTAATGGCGCTGCCTTGCGGTGACACGAGCGGCACTCGTAAGTCGGCTGTCGGGCCTGCAGCGGCCGTACGAGTAACGCTCGTAAGTCGGCGCCAATGGGTTAAACACTTACTAATTCTATGTGGTAGTAGTGATATGACGAGTCGAGTATTTTCTTGACTCGAGTCAAACTCGACTCACGACTATGTCAACTCGAGTTGCAACTCGAGTCAGACTCAACTCGGTATCATCGTGAAACTTCGGCTTCCATCGGTTGAGTTCGGGTCGATTCGCAGCACAGCCAATAGGGTTATAGTTTGGCGAGTTGGCTCAACTCGCATTCAGCCAATAGCGTTTACGTTTCGCCAGTCAACCGAGTCAACTCGTTAATTCCCAAGTTCTTAAAGGTTCGGCTTTCTACATATGAGTTTGGTTTCTTGACTCGCTTTGAGGTTGTGAGCGAATAGTGTTTAAGTTTTGCAAGTTGGACTCGGCACGTTTCGAGTTCGTGTAGCTTCGGCAATCTCCGTACGAGTCCGTACCAACTCGAGTTGTGAATGAGATGACTCGAGTTGATTCGAGTTGGGTCTTGACTCGAGTCAACTCGACTCGCCAACTCAACTCGTCACATCACTATGTGGTAGGCCTTTTATATTCAAAACAAAATTTAGGTAGAATCATGATAATCCAAAATTCATGTGACTTAAGGTGTCAGATTACCAAAATCATCTGATTACCAAAAATAGTACTAACACTAACCTCTGGACTTCTAGGGTTTTAAATTATGTAGTTTTTGCAATATTTGACAAAAGATTTTAATAAGTTACCTGATTCAATTTACAGGAATTCCTTGTGAGTAATTTTATGCTTCCTGGTAAAGTTGTTGAGTTTTGAAAACATTGAGGCACACTCAGACGAAAAATATGTTAAAACATTTTACTTAATAAACATAATAAATGTCCCATGGGCACTTGTGGGATTATCAAGTATCAGATTATTAAGGGCTAACTGACTATGGGATTATCAAGTGTCAGATTATTAAGGGCTAACTGGATTAGTAAAGAAGTAACTAAAATTCTTCAATCGTAATTTCATATTCCAGGTTATGCTTCAGTCCTCGCTAGTGGTGGCAATGGGAGTTTACGGTGTGGCAGCACTGCTTGCTGCAATCGCATGCGTTCTTCTACCCATCGAGACAAAGGGTCGAGAACTCAAAGAAACTGTTATATTTACTAAATAGTTATATTGTACCATTCACTAGAGTACAAAATGTTTAGTTTTTTCGTTTGAGCTTTCAGATTATACTAACTGCTTTACAAAAGCTTCTGAATTCTGTAAAATGTGTTAACTTGAGTTGTGTTTTAATTTTTTTCTATTTATTTTTAATTTATGTACGGTTGCATTTAAAAATTTTATTCTTGTTAGTGATGTATTACCTCAAAGTATTTAGTTGTTTATTTAATAAGGTTTAAACTTGACAAATCATGTATAGGGTAATTCAGTAAGAGGTTACAATTTTAATTTAGTGGCACTGTTTTCGGGTCGCCGGAAGACTGCCCCCCGGAAAACTACCCCCCCCCCAAGCAGGTTCCTACGTCATATTGACGTCACAGACCGAGGGGGGCAGTTTTCCAGTCACGGACACGCAAATTTAGTTGACAAACACTTCTAATCTAACCTAACCTAACCAACCAAACTTGCTGCAACATTTCAAAATTCTGTTTTATTTTCACCACATGACTTTTCTATTATCCAATAGAATTACTCGAATTAAAATTACAATTACATAGCATGATTTGTCTAGGGGGGGTAGTATTACAGTCGCGGACACGGCTTCCATATTGGTTAGTTGGCAGATTTTGTAACGTCACGTTTCACCTGGGGGGGTAGTTTTCCGGGGTATAGTATTCCGCATCCTCCTGTTTTCCTATGCAAGAGACAACAGTGGATATTTTGTCAATGGGTGTAGATTTTAATGATTTTGTCATTATGAAACGTTAATTGATCAGATTTATAGCTGCTGAAACCTTTTTTAAAAGGTGGGAAAATTTTGTTGGATTGGCTTTTTCTATTTTAAAATTTATATGGCAATGCTCTTACATTCAATGAAGAACATTATCGTTAGATGATGATAAATCATTTACCGCAGCATTAACAATGATCCCAACTCACTAACGGAGATAAACAATGAGATTAAGAGATTTATGTTATTCAAATTTTACTATCGAAAGTCAGTAGAGCTGCATGTGACAGTAGGCCTAATTTAACAGATATCACTTTACACACATGTTTAGTGTCAGTCTCTAGCATATGTGTTTACACAGAAGTATACCACATAAGCAAACTATAATGTGTATTATTTAATTAAGTGTAAGCTTTTACTGGATCACTCTATACTGTATAAATATTTTAAGATAGAACATTTATATAAGACTTGTTGGTGTCTATCTTTAATCTATTGACTGTTGAAAAAAGACTATCACTATTTGAGTACTTCTATGATATCTTAGAGACAGAGAGGTATAGGGATAATAATATTATGTATATTCAAAGTACTTAAGCCACACCTTCAAATTAAAACTAAACAACATACTGATCTACATGTTCAATTTTGAGGTTATGTGTTACCTGCTCACCCATACATAATCTACTTTAGTCAGCAGTGGCGGTCCCAGGATTTAATTGGGGGGGGATTGACCACCTGGGGTATGGAATATCCTATACAAAATGTGGAATTTAAAGCCTAAAAACATATTTTTATTCGTATTCAAGCTCTAAAATATGCTCAAGCTAATAAAAGTAAAGTGCTAGTAAAAGTATGCAAGTATTTATGTTAGCTAATAAAATATAAAATATTTCAGGGGGGGGTGTATCCCTCCCATCCCCCTCCCTGGGACTACCACTGTTAGTAAAATTTGACAGTAAATTTGTAATCCATTGATATTTTTAATCTCTTACTATAATTGTTCCCTATGGTAATGAAAGAACTACAAAGTTTCAAATGAGAGGTGTGTTTTTTACGTTAATTTTGTTTTAATTTTACACATATTTGTGATTTTAAGATTCCCATAAGTTAGAAGGTTATACACACACACCCAACATAAGGTGTCAAAGTGTCTTTCATTGTTGATTCTCTGATATACAGGGTGGTAAACTCAAGGAGGCCACCATTGGGATATCGGAAACGGTAAGAATTAGAGAAAACTTTAAATGAGGGACATTCCTTTATTTTTTGTGGCAATTAAAAATATGAATTTGGTTTTTTGAAATTCAGCTGCCATTTTCCAACATGGCGGCCAACTTTGAAATTTCTTATGGAACACCCTATATTTTATCTTATTAAACTTTTTTATTCCTGACATTTTTTCACTAACCCATTCGTTTACTAGTTACAGCCTATGAAAAAATGACTTCCAGTGTACATTTTGCATCATGTACCGGTAGCTCCTACACGAGTACGGTAGGTTTATAGTGAAAATGCCAAATGTAAATAAGTCTTAAAATTGCATCCACATTCCAAAAAAACAATAAAATATGTTAAAAATATTGATTCTATTATTTAAAAAATGGTGGCCATTTTCTTAAATGGCAGCGAACTTGAAAAGTGGAAAACTAGTCTTTTTGGAATGTGGATGCAATTTTTAAGACTTATTTACTCTTTCCTTTTTCATTATAAACCTACTCGTTTGGGAGCTACATGATGCAAAGTGTACACAAAGTCATTTTTTCATAGGCTGTACAGTAACTCCTAAACGAGTGGGTTTATGAAAAAAATGTCAAGAATAAAAAAGTTTTTAAGTTGCAGCATGTTCTATCCGAACACATGATAAAATATAGGGTGTTCCATGAGAAATTTCAAAGTTGGCCACCATATTGGAAAATGGCAGCTGAATTTCAAAAAAACTAAATTCATAATTTTAACTGCAACAAAAAATAAAGGAATGTTCCCCATTAAAGTTTTCTCTAATTCTTACCATTTCAAATTCCAATGGTGGCCTTGAGTTGATCACCCTGTATATATTTGAGTCATCAAATTTCCATTTTTAGGATTAGCTTATTTCTTAGGAACAGTAGAACCCCCTTATCTGACCTGAAATTGGTTATGCAATTCTCAACATAAAGCATTTACATTTCTGAATACTCATTCTAAATATTTATTTATTTTTCATGTGTGTTTTAGCTGATAAATATTGTACTTTTATCTTTGTGAATTAGATTGTGCATTTTCTTCCTTTGTTTTTGTTCTATAATCATCTAAGGAGTGGTGAAGTGGTCGAGTGGTCCTCCCAAAAGATATGGGGGGTTCTTGTGTACTTCTGTTAAAATTTCGTTGAAAACTTTTACTTTTAATGCAAAAATCTCACCTTTCCCATGTACTCACAAGTTGGCTGTTTAACAATCATCATTAAAATAATTCAACCTTTCAATAAGATAATCCTTTTCCTGGGAGAAATTTACAATGTATTACAAAATGTTGATTATGGATGACGATGGTTTTATGAATCTTAGTTGAGTTTAGTTTAATTGTATCTCTTACTCCCTAGTCTGTTGCATTACTTGCATTTGCTTTGTTGTATATTTATTTATTTATTTATTTATTCATTTGCTTAAAATAGAACAAGGGTAGCATAAGTAACTTAGTTACTGCATCCTAATGAAGATGCATTGTTAGTTGAATAAAACTTGTTTACATATTGGCATTTTAAAAAAGGTCTCCAACACAAATTAGTGTAATTGAAGTATTTTTATTTTGTTACTTAAAATATAAACAGTTAGTTTTGTGAGCAGTTGAATAAACTTACAATCAAACTGTCTTAAGCAGCTCTTAGGAAACATCATACTTCACAGACTTGGATATCTGTCAAATGTCAGGTTATTTCCTTGAGCTTGATTTTTACCTTGAAAATAGTTAAAATATAAAAGATTCTACATAAAATTCAGAATCAAGCCAAACATCATATATCTATTTATTTGCTCTCTCAACTAATTGGAATATTCTGATAACCCACCGAATAATTCAAACTATATACAAATTCAATTTATCACCATTTGTATGTGCACAATTTACTTACAAAATAAGTTTTAAAGATGTATTAGCTTGTACAACTTTTTAACCTGTGATTTACAGAAAAATAAAGGTTGTGTAAAATCATACTTATTAAAACAACTTGTACATTTAATTGTTGATCTGAACATTCTTATTGTTGCAGTTTGTTTATTCTATATCTGAGGACGATAAATTGTCAAAAGCTCGGAAATTGATTTTTTTAAATCAAATTTAAAAGGGTGGTTCTTTTATTTTTAGTCTTGAGATTTTATAATTATAAAAATCCAATAAGTGATTTGTATACTCTTTTGTAAAACCATACATATAGTTTCCTGAATGACTGATAGAAAAAGAAATCACATTTATCAGTTAATTCTTTCATAACTAGGATATTTAAATATTGTCGAACTACTGGGTCTAATATCTCCATTTGTTCTGTATTTCCATATATGCTAAAAAGCAGTTGAGGGTTGTCATGATTAATAGTAAAGTAAAATGATTTGTTTCCGTAATTTTACAGAGATCTTTTATAAATTAAGAAGAACCTATTGATTATAATTTTTGAAACTATCATTTACAACATTGCAGATATCTTGAAACTATAAACATTAAGTTGAAAGAAATTGGTGGCTTTAATAAAGTTTGATTTCCATTTTTTTTTTCGTCACTTGCAAGAGGATGGAGCGTAATGTACTTATGCCCTTTCGTATTACAAGAATACATTTTTGAACTTCTATATTAACTTTACCAAAGCGCATATACTTGTTAGTCAGTTTTGTATTTTATTTTGATTATTTTTTGTTATTTTATTTATATTAATTTTGTAGTTAGGGACCATCTACTGATATATAGGTACTGTCAGTTAATGTATTGAATATTTTAGTTCTTATTATATTACTGTATAACATATTGGATGAAAATCATTTATATATTCATCACCATTTATATTCCATCTTAAAACACAATCTATAGAAAAAAATTACTTTAAAGCAATTTTTGGAATCCTAAATATTGAAAAATAATTATGGATGTTAGTACATGCACGGATTTGTCAAACTCTCTAAAATGTATCACAAATATACATTAAACAATATACATGCAAGATACATAAAAGGTTTTACCTTTTATCATCTACAAATTAATTACTAACCTAATATACTAAGTAATTAATTGTAAAAGTTTAAATGATCTATGGAGTATATACTGTATGTGTTTGATATTTTATGGGAAGAATGTTAATATTGTTGCTAAAAGCATTTTTTCTGATATTTATTTTATTTATCACCTTTATATTTTAGTAATATTGCACATTATAATTTAAATATTTAAATGTAATTTTTTTCTGTTACCCAATCACTAAGCCACAGAAACAAATATGTTTTAAGGATTGTAAAACTAATATTGTTCACATATGCTTAAATATTTTACAGCAAGTGTTAAACTTTATTTAATCAGTCATTCGTTTGCTACCCTAAACTAAAGAATATTTGTATTGCATCTCCATTTTTCCATTACAGTATCTGAAAACTTTACTCTCCTATAAATGTGTTATGTTGGTCACTATGGGGGGAATATATAGCATTATTTTTAAATAAATGTTTGATTTTGATGTACAAGGTCTGATATTAATAGTTTATATACGTATATTTTTATATAACTCTAATAAAAACGTTTTGAATCGTGTTCTTTGATAATTTATTATCCTATCTGTTTCCTGACTCTAGGCAAAGTTTATAAGAAAATATTAATGTATTAATGTGCAGCCAACAACTTTACTGTCAACCTGTTTAGTACTACAGTACCTTGCCTACTGATAAAAGGTTCCATTACCATGCTTTATTATTAGCACAACACATAATTAGTTTCATGTTAAGCTGTACTTTTGTATGGGTTATATACACAGTACCTAGCAAACTAAAATTTTGAAATCTAACTAGGAAAAACACTTAAACCATAAACATAAATACATTAATTTATAAAATGTAGTTGCAATAAACAACAGAAAAGCAGTACAAAAATGTAAACCCAAATCTCTTGCATTGAACAGTTATAATGGCTACAAAGATCAAAGACCCACAGGAGAGTTGTTAAAACCTGCCAAAATAATAACTACCAGTAAGAAACAATTTTACAATCATATTGAAATAAAATATGCAAAATTATTTAAAGGAAAATATCTTAAGCCCACACAAAACATAAGTACATACACTTGTAAATAAATGTCTTGTTTAATAAAAAAGAAGAAAAACATATTCAATTAGACATTTTTGTCCAAACCTGAGGTATCTTCATTGCTATTAAGTTTTTTAAAATACAAACAGTTCTTTACAGTAGTGCAGAAGCATTTGCTGAAAAAGACACTACCATCAGATGCTAACTATATGTATTTAGCACCACTTGTAGTGCATATACTTTTTATTGATAATTTACAATAAAGTCAGGGCTCTTATCTACTAGGTGTACGATGCAGTTTTCTGCTTGCAATGTTGAGCGGAGCTAGAATTTTACACCAATAATTTTCTAAAGTCAAAGGTACATCTGTTTCTCGTTAATGAGATATAGACTTGCAGTAGCCAATTTCAATGGTATATTTGGTTCACATAAATGGAATGCCTATTTGCAGTATCTAAAGTAAATTATAAGTCTGGTTCACGTAATGAATTGTCTACTTGCAGGAACCAATGTCTATGTTTCTCCTGTTCTCATTACTTGCAGTATACAATGGTTCACATAAATAGAATGCCTATTTGCAGTATCCAAACTCAATATTTGGTTAACGTAAATTAATTTTTTACTTGGAGTATCCAAACTCAATGGTACATTTGGTTCACGTAAATGAATTGTCTACTTGTAATATCCTAAGTCAATGGTTCATTTTATTCACATATGCCTATTTGCAGTATCCAAAGTCAATGGTACGTCTGCTTTAGGTCAATGGAATGTCTACTTGCATTTTGCATAATTTTAACCCAATAATATCTTTGGTTCACATTGATGGAGTTCCTACGAGTATTTGCCTAGAGTATTTGCAGTAGGCCAGTGACGTAGCCAGGATTTCAAAATAGGGGGTGGGGGGGTCGACCGACCGGGGGGGTCTGGGGGTATTCCATACCCCCTAGGTAAAAGGGGGGTCCGGGAAAAATTTCAAAAATATAGGCCCTAAAACGGTATTTTTTAGCTCTTTTGGCATTGAAAATAATCAACCCCAACGTCAATACAGTATGATTATATAATTTTACATTAAATTTAACAAAAAAATATTATATTCAAGACCGGAAGGGGGGGGGGGGGTCCGGACCCCCAAAGTCTGCATT